TTTAATAGATTAACTATAAGTAAATATATAGGGATACTAAGATTAAGGGTTATAAATACTACTTTTATAAAGATACTAACTAACTATATATATATTATTTCTAATAATAGATTATTAATATATTATTAATTTAATATAGTCTATCTATTTAAGGAGCCTATAACTAAGTATATAGTATAGGATTAATATATTAAGGGCTATTTAGCTATTATTAAGTTAAATAATAAGGAGGAGATCTTATTTAAGGGAAAGGGTAAAGTAAAGAAGTAATTAATTAATAATAGATTAATAATAGATTATTAAAAGTTATATATAGTTAATAATTCTAGTTAATTTAAATAGTTTTCTAGTTATTTAATATTAATTAATATATAATATTATAAAAGCCTTTAAAGTTTAATAAATTAATAATTTATTAAGCTTAATAAATTATTAATTTATTAACTTCTTACCCTATATACTTATTATTTTATTACTTTTATTATTTATTCTTTATTAAAATAAATATTAAAAAATCTCTATATTAAATATATTAATAACTTATTAATTCTTTATTTAATATAACTCTTATTCTTATTTTTATTATCTTAAATAACTATATAAATTTATTTAGTTATTTTTTAGTTATATCTTTAATTTTTAACCTTTTTACCTTAGCTTTAGCTAACTTTCACTTTTCCTATAAGATTTATAGGTCTAATTACTTAAAATCTAAAGGTTTAACTAGGTTATTTAAAATAGCTTATCTTTAAAGAGAGGAACTAATAAAGAATTAATAAAGAATTAATAAAGGATTAATAAAGAATTACTTACCTTAAGTTAATAATACTAGAAGATAATATAGATTTAGTTCTTTATCTTTTAAAAGGGCTTAAGCTTCTAATAAATAAAATTAAACTTTCTATAGAGAAGTTATCTAAGCTTATAATATTACTTTATAGCTAGCTATTAAATATAGAGGATAGTTAGTATTTCCTCTTCTTTATATCTATAATTTATTAATAATAAATTTATAAGTAATTAATAAGTATTAAAAAACTTATTTATTCTAGTTATCTACTTATTATATTAGCTTTTAAGAGAGGTATCTTTCTAAGTTAAATAAATATTATATTTTTTAGTAATATTATAATAATTAAGACTTTACTAGTTATATTATTTATTTCTATAAAGGATTAATAATAATTTAATAAGTAATTATTAATTATTTATTATTAAATAATATAAATAAGTATAGAATAATAGCTACTAGTATTATAAGAGGCCTTATAAAGCTATTTAATATAGTTTATATTACTTAAATAAGTATTCTACTACTTATTAATTATAAAGCTATAAGCTCTATAGAGATTAATAGTAATAAGACTCTTCTTTTTATCTTTAACTTAGTCTTTTAGCTAGGGAAAGCCTAATTAATTAGTAAATAATTTATAATAGATTAATAATTACTTATTATCTTTAAGTTAATTATATAGAATTATATAATTATATTTAGTCTTATAATATAAGAGCTATAATATAAAGTACTAGACTAAATTTAGCTCTTCTAAATACTCTTATATAAATTAAGTAGTTCTCTCTAAAAAGATAAATTAATATTATAATTAATTATTAAGTAATTAATAATTAATTATTAAACTTATAGATATTATATATAAAATAGATATAGTAAAGTTAAATAGAGAATATAGTATATTATTACTAAGTATAACTTAAATTAATCTTATTAAGATATATTCTTAAACCTAAGAAATAATTAATAATAACTTAATAAATAATTTATAATTTATTAATAAATATACCTTTTATATTAATTAGATCTTAATTAATAATAATACCTCTAATTCTAGTTCTATATATATAAAACTACTCTAAATAAAGATTAAAATTCTCTTTAAGATAGGAGAAAATTTAAGTATATAATATTTTATAAGCTTTAACTATAGCTAAATTTATAATAATCTATAGAAGTAGAATAACTATAATAAATTAATAAAGGATTAATAAGGGATTATAAATAACTTACTTATTCTTTTATAGATTAAGTAAATACCCTATATAATTTTATTATCCTTATTAGATTTAATATACTTATAATTTATATTAATCTAAAAGGTAGTAATATCTAGATAATAAAATAAGTTAATTTACTTCTTTAAAAATATAGCTATAAAGAAGAAGTAATTATTATTATAATAGATTTAAATATATTAATAATAAATTAATAATAAATTAATAATAGATTAATAATTACTTACTCTATTTAAGTTTAATTTCTACTTAAAAAGATATTTATAATAAGCCTTAAATTAGCTTAATCTAAAGAGATAATAGATTATTTAATAATTATAGAGTATTTAGCTTAACCTTTTATAATTAGTAAGGTTTAAATAAATATCTATAAGGCTTATAGCTCCTTCTATTTAAATAAGCTTTTTTATAATAGCTAAATAAAGCTAATTATTTAAAAATAAATTAATAAAGTATTATTAAATAATTAATAAATAATTATTAACTTATATAGTAAAGTTAGAGGTTAATTTTAACTTTTAATTATATTTAAGATCTTATAAAGAAAATCTTTAAATATTTTATTAAGTAGAGGAGGGGAATAATAATAAATTTCTTTAAAATAAAGAATAAAATAAGGTAAAAGTAAATCTTAAGATATAAAGAAGTTTTAAGTAATATTATAATTAAGAGTAATAATTTTCCCTTAGCTATAGTATTTATATATAATATCTATAAGAGATTAGTAAAGAATTAATAATTTATTAATAAGGGATTATTAATATACTATAATACTTTTTATATATAAATAGCTATTATATTTTACTATAGCTATTATATTCTTTAAATAGAAAGGTATTTTAATTATTAATAACCTTTTTAATAACTTAAAGTAATTATATAAAGTTAGAAGAGATAATATTATAATAATAACCTTTATTTATTATATTAAGAGATTAATTAATATAGTAAATATATAACTAATTAAGATTAATAACCTTCTATAAAGAATTAATAAATTATTAATAAGAGATTAAAAGCTTTTTACTTAACTTATATTAAATATATTAAAGCTATATATTAGCTTATAGGATTTTAACTAACTTATAGAAACTTTACTATAAGCTTTATTATCCTTATATTTATAATAAATAACTTAAATCTAATTATTAATAAGTTAATAAATAATTTATAAATTATTATTAATTACTTATATTAAAGTAGCTCTTTCCTTATTAAGAGCTTTTAATTACTTTAAAATCTTATTAAACTTAAAGAATTCTTATAATATATCTATATATAGTATATTTCTAAGAGTTAAATATAGATATTTATATATCTTAATATTTATATATTTATATTTATAATAAATTATAGGTATAAACTTAAGAAAGGCTAAAGTTATAGCTTAATTAAAATAAGATTACTTATTATAATATTAAAACTATAATTTATTAATAATTAATTAATAATCTATTATAAATTACTTATTATATTCTATAGAGCTTTTCTTTAAATATTACTTAATATATTTATAAATATAATATATATAATCTTATTTTCTAAGGTTTTTAGGTATTTAGGAATTATAAATAAAAATATAACCTTTAAAGTATAAATAGCTATTAGATAGATATTTTAATAACTTAATATATTTAGATAAGTAGAAAGAAGGATAAATAACTCTTTTAGCTATAAAATTTATAATTTATTAATAATTTATTAATAAGTTATTATTAAATTATATTAAATTCTTACCTTAAAGCTATAAAAGTTATTATTTATATTTAAATTATTAAAATCTAAAAGAAAAAAGTCTTCTTCTTCTTTTTTAAGTATTTAATTAATATTTTACTTAAAAGAGTTATTATAAAGGGGAAAGTTATTAAAAGCTATAGTAAAAGTATAATAAATTAATAATTTATTAACTTTTAAAATAATTAAGGAAGAAGAAAGAAAAAAATTCTCTAAGAGATATATTTAAGAAGATAAGGTAAAGTATACTCTACTTTTCTCTTTTAAATAAGCTAATTAAATACCTTATACTATATCTTATCTAAGGTTAAAAAGTAGAGTAAAAGTAGAGTAATTAGTGGAGCACGCCTCAGGTGACCCACAGGGCCATACCTTAGGTCAGTAGTAGCCTCCTGAAGATGGGGAGACCCTGAAGCTCCCGTCTGAGGCTGCCACATCCATTCAGGTTGTTGGTGCAATGACTGACTCTCCAGCGGGTGTCTCCAGTGACCTCCAGCGCTGCGCGGTCCCCGAGGCCCTGTAACGTTAGCGCCCAGGCCCGCCCATGGCGCCAGTGGCATTGCTAATTTAGGGGGCTGAGGCTGAGCCAGTGCTCGTGTCCAGCGGTAGTTGGCGAGCTTCGGGCTGCCCGCAGGCTCCATTTAACTTGCAACAGTCCGGAGAATCTTTCTAGAATGTCATGATCCCGGACTGTGGCTGTTTCAGTGAGACCGAGCGCCAAGTTGCAGAATGAGCTAACGCCTTCCTATTGGCTTATAGCGAACTGTCAATCCATCTGGCGGTAAATGAGGTCTGTGGCGTCAGAATCTTGGATGGCTAATGCAGGACGCCACACCCATCCAGATGAAATATTATTCACCTTATAAAGTGTCATCTCTGACTATTTTTACACACAGAGCAAGTTTGAATGCCATTTCAGCTGCTTGGCGGTCTGTCACCGACTGGTCGAATTTTTTCACTTATCACCACCTACCCTATAGTTGCACGCCGGCCTGAACGACGCAAGGTTGGGCACAAAGTTGAAAATTTAGAAAAACAAAACCTAGCATCTCTGCGAAAATAGAAAAAAAGAACACAAATAGAAGTCGTTAAGAGTTCGTGAACTCGTAGGATCAAATCAGACATGGCGTGGTGGCCAAGCCTTTAAAAGTTTAACCGATAAACTTGCGCATTTAGGCACATTGAAGACAACATGAATGAACGCCAGAACCATGAAACCATTTAATATGAGACGATTACAATTTTGTGCTTGGCTGTTCAGAAACTCCACGCGGGTAGTTGAGCGTTGACGACCTACGCTCAAAGTAGAATTGTCTGTCGTCCACGTATTGAAAACCGAGTATCTTCTCAACGGCGTGCCAGTCGCCCTCCTTTGTTCCGGCCAGCCCTTTGGGCGTCCAACCTTTTGTGTATCCGTTGCCGCATCCAACAATCCATGCGTCGTTATTCCGATCAATTAGGACGTTTCCAGGATCGGCATAACCCCAAACTACGCCAGCCGCATGTAGTCTTTCGACGGACTGTCGGATTTGCGCAGCCCATTTCGGTCTCATGGATGCATCTTCTTCACTGGCAGCAGAATGGATCCCATGCCATTTGCAGTCAATGTGAGATAGCAAGAGCCCGTGGACATGGCCGTTTTCACTCTTGAGTAGCCCATGCATCCTCTGAACCAAGGTATCGCTGCCAACCGATTCATTTATCTTTCGAAAAGCCTCGAGCTGGTGACGCAATGCAAGATGGCCGCTGTGAACTAGGCGAAGATGGGCGATTGTTCCGTCAGGCAGAAGGACCGTCTCTGGATGACCCCAGTGAGACGGTGGAGATATGTCTCCCTTGAAAATCTTGACCGCTGACGGAGAGAATGCGCGGAATGGCGCGCACTCACGCTCCGAGAGCGACACGCGAAACGAGGAGCCATAAGAGCTGGCTTGCTCGTCGAGAGTGGCAATTGGGCCACTAGGTCCGGCACACAGTTTGTATTGGGTGCACTTGGCGAAGAGAAAATCATGAACAGATTCCAGCCCAGTCGAAGGCGGCAATGCCTCTAGGATTGGCATGAGGGGAGCCACAGCCCAGTCCCAGAAATCCTCCTCCACAAAGCCATTTATTTCACCTTCATCGGCGACCTGGATGTAGAAGAGGTATTTCTCTTTTTGATCAAGTGAGTCTGAGAAGTAGTCGGGGTCCATGTCGATGACAAACATTTGGCCTTTGCATAGAATTACCAATCGTGCATCATGGTATTCGGGGTGGTATGTGAAGTCAACGAGATCCCATATTGGTGATGCAACATGTTCCCCCAGCATACCTGTTGCATCATCCTCCATTATTGAGACGTATCAATGTAGATGAGCGACTTTGAAACAACTGGGGGGTTGTTATTGACTCGAGTATCGTCAATCACGCAAACGTACTGCCAATGGCTTGTATGAACCGAGGGTGCTGTTTCGGATGTGCCCTTTAAGATGTTGCGTATTGGTAAAATCTTCCGCTGTTCTGCGGGTTAGAAAGAATTCCACGGTGAGATGTCTGTGTATATCATTTGTTCGTAGAAGAAAAAGAAATGCGAGTGTTCATCATCAGCTGGCACGATGTATAAGACCGTGAATTTGCGTGAACACGGCGCCACGTGATTCCAGGCAGTCACCCTCGTTATCTGGAACTCAAACGGCAAGAATGTTATTCGTTCAAACCCGAACTGGCATGCTAACTCATTTTACACATAAGTGGACTCCAACAGGGGCTGGCTTCAAGGCCAAGAACTTGGCTTCCTTCCTTCCACAAAATCATTTGCCCACCTCCATTGTGTTCTCCTTGCTTCAAATATGTAGTTGCTGGTAACTGGCTGCGGTAGATGGACGCAGCAACTTTTCATCCAGCTCTGATATTGCAATCTTGATACCTTCTTGCGCGTCGCCATACCGTGCTCACCAAAAGTAATGGCGAGCCCGTCCTGGCACAGCGAAGTCGCCCTGGGCCTGACGCAAGTTTATACCAAGTTGACACAGGCTCCTTACCTGTCGCCTGACTCCATCCAACACCCACCGTCTGAGGGATGGGGTGACGAGGAATTGGACGTTGATGGCCTCCAAACCACCCTGGGCCGCTCCGACACCGCCGTGGACCTCCTCCGCCGCCTCCCCTATTTGAAGCCGGTGGAAGCAGGCCCGCAGACCGGACAATGGTGCATCTTCCCCAAGACCAAAGCCATGCGCTACTTGCGAGACCACAGCTCGCTTCGGCAAAAAGACCTCGAGGGTCTGTACGAGCTGGCCAGCCTGCCGCCAGACATGGTCAGCTTAACGCACCCTGCCGGCGAATACACGCACTACGGCCCCCAATGGTGGCTCGTCGACTGCAAGACCGGCCGCATTACCAAATATGCAGGACCTCCTCGTGGTGAGGCGCTGGCAGAAGAGTTCGAGGCCGAGTGGAAAAAGGCGCCGACCTACGCCCCAGCCGACTTCTTCCAGGAGGTCACCACGATGCTGGGGAAGGACTTCTATCCTGTTCCAGGCCTGGTAGATGGCATGGAAGCTGACTTCTGCACTCCCGATCGCCGCGAGTCCACCACGATCTATGAAATATATATGCTGGCAGGCTGGCAGCACGGCCACGGCCCAGGGCCTTACTTTGATCGCGAGAAGTGCGGCAAAGATATCGAGGCGTTTCTGAGGGATCAAAAAGAGCGTGAGTCTAGGAAGCGGAAAGCGGAGATCGCCCGCGACGAGCGACGGCCACGTCCTACACAAACAGATGATCCTACCACATACCCGGACGGGTATGACCGAGACGTGATCGTCACGGGCCTGACACGATACTACGAGACCCTCGCGCAGATGGCCTTCTTCCCCACCTCTCTCATCCAATACCCGCCCGGCGGGCGTTGGGACGATGACGCATTTCTTCCGGCGGATAAGATAAAACTGCTGGGCTTCAACGAGTCTGTCGTCGACCTACTGCGGCATCTACCATACCTCGATGTCGACGAGTCACACGAAGACAACTGTTGGTCCGTCAACGGTCGCAGCGAGCCGCAGCGTTACCTCGAAGATAACCTGATACTGAACGATGAACTCTCCGTCGGCAAGGCGACGCCGGAAAGCCTGTACGCCAACGGCCTCTTCCCCTTTCCAGAGAAGATGCCCGGCGGACTGGTTCCGATCGCGGGCCGCGAGGATGGTGAGTGGTGGATCATTGATACCAATGCCGGCACCGTGATCGTCTATGATGCCGGCAACAAGCAAGTTGCGGATGCCCCCGACGACAAGCCCTGGCTCTGGGCGCGGACCCTGTCGGCCCATTCTTCGACGCGCTCGTCAATAGCCTGTATTCCCTGGACTTGGTACCCTTACCGCGGCCTGACACTGAGATTGCCGAGTGCTACCCCGAGGTTTGGGGCGTGGTACGGGAGGAGGGGGAGGAAGATGACGAGGATGATCCAGATCCTGAAGTTGAGGTATGTGATGCTTTGCCCTCGTTAATGTCTGCTACATAGTGGTTGTTTGTGAAACTGATAACATTGGGAATGATTCTAGGAAGCCCGTGATATATACCGCGCGCATGGGTGGCCGGATGTGGCCAAGTTCCGGCGGCAGGAGTGCTACGATGCCTTGGTGGAGCTCAGAACAAATCTGCTGGAAGACGGAGAGGGTGACTACGGGCCTGCATAGTTTGTTTCTTACGGCTCTATGTAAACGAGGAGTAATGTGTCCTCCCATTGGCCGAGATACTCAACGAAGGCGTAGAGCAGCATCTCATCCTAGAGCAGTAGATAACAACTTTAGCACCGGTGGTGATGTGTCGTCAGGTTACCACAACGCATGGAGAGAGAATAGTAAATAACGGAAGAAGAATGAATAATACTTGTAGAACAAGTTTTACTTCTCGCTTGTCTTTGAAACCACTCGCTATCTTAAATCCCCACCATGGGCGGGTATCGTATCTGCTTAAGCTTCCTCAACTCTCATCTCCTCCAATTCGTGCTTCTTGTGTGCAATCGCCTCATCAACCTGGCATCTGTAGTGCTTGAATTGGCGGGCGGGGATCCCCTTCTCAAACATCTCCTGGATCTCGGCGTAGTTGCGGCCCTTCATCTCCGGTAGACAGAAGTATAGGTAGACGCACATGGGGACGGAGAAGGCGAAGAATACGAAACAGACTTGATACCATCTGTTAGCAACCATATCAAACATAAACGTAAATAAGAAGGGGTATAGTAAGCTTACTCTTTCCACCCATATTCAATTCGTCGCTGTTGATCAAATAAGGCATGACTTGCAGGACAAGGCAGGATACGGCGGTGGCACTCATGATGTTGATTGCGTACGTCTTTTGGCGGAGCTGCACACTGGGAGTCTCACCGCCAACGGGGTAGGCCGCGGCGCCAAGGGTCATCTAAGATAGAGATTAGCGACGGACAAGTATCATCAGTAAGGATATGTTTTGGTCGTACCTGGTACAGGTAACCCCAAACCACCATGAAAGAAACGGTGGCCTTGAGGGCAGAATCGTTGTTAACGGTACTGATGCCACCGATGATAAGCAGCCCAACGGTGATGATAATCATGCCACCGACAAGCATTGGACGGCGACCGAGGCGATCAACCAGCGGCCAGGAACACATGTTGCCAAAGAGCTGGATAGCGAATGCTGCCTGCGCGATGCCCAGAGGGTTGTTGACACCGGCAAGACGGAAGTAATAGGTCAGGTACCCAGAAACGAAGTTGACACCGACAAACTGCTGCGCAATGTAGACCATGCATATGATTAGGGTACGGCGGCCGTCAGACCCCTTGAAGCACTGCATCCAAGAGCCTCCCTCCTTTGTGAGTTCCTGCTCCTTGCGGATGGTAAGTAGGGCGACGGCAACAGCCGCGTCGGCGTCATAATCAGGGCCGTTGAAGCGGAGATATGACTTCTTGGCGTCTTCGATGCGGCCGCGGATGAGGAGCCACGAGGGAGATTCGGGCAGTAGAAGAAGCCCAAACAAGAGCAAGCTCGGCGGCACGACTTGGGTGATGATGGGGATGCGCCAGGCGAGAGAGTCGGAGCGACTGGAGCAGCCGTAAATCACGAGGGAGTTGACCCACTGCCCAATGACAATCATGGTGTTCTATAAAACTGGGTTAGCTCATTCGGATTTGCCTGTTGAGGTTGAATCAGTTCTCACAATAAGAGCGAGGCAGATACCGCGAAGCTTGACAGGTGCCATCTCTGCCACAAAAACGGGACCTAATGAGTGCCCCAGTCCGAAGCCAAAAGTTCCAAGAAGCTTGCCCCCGAAGAGGGTTGCGATTGAAAGGCTGAAGTACTGGACGATAATGCCGGCAACACAGAGTAAGGCTGCGAGGAGGATGGTCTTCTTTCGGCCGACGATGTCAGAGATGAATCCAGTAGCGAAGGCCGAAACGAAGAGGCCGATTGTAGTAGCAGCATTGAGGATTTGCTGATCTCGGGCGGAGATGAGCAACTCGCCGTTTACTTCATGGCCGAATTCCTCAAGGAATGGGGTGACGGCGAGAAGATTGCCGATTGTGCCAATCTCGTAGCCGAAATTTATCGGAAGCAGGAAGATCAAAAGGCCTTGGGAGTTCCAGTCAGATCTTATGGCTGTCTATTATTTGGGGCTTGATTCTTTCTTACAAAAGGAAAGAACACGCCGGTTCTCCCAGATGTCTTTGAACGACACACCGCCTGTGTCGGCTCTAGTATTGGCTTCATGGAGGGTTGGCTCCACGGGATTGGCATCTGCACTGGGACTTTTGACGTCGTTGGCCGCCATTGTCGCGAAGAGATTGATGATGACGAGATTTCAAGGGCGACTTTGAGGTTGGCTTGATCAGAGTTGGTGATAACTGGCTATAGGGCGTGTATAAGTAGTTTTGGGGAGGGTGGATCAGTGACATTCGCCTTGTGGTTACAAGAGGCCGACCCATGCCCCATGGGGTCTCCGAAGTGGCTGCGGAAGATGGTGCCGAGGGGTTTGAGGGTGCTTTGCGGGTGCTTCCAATTGCCAAATCCAGACCTCTTTGCTCTTCAATGGGCATGGTATGTCAGTCCTCATGAATCGACTGCCGAGAGCACGGGGAGCGGCAGTGATGGAGTGGTTGGTTGCTCAGTGTCTGATCCGTAGAGGCTGAATGTCCCATCCATGCTCATATCCGAGTCGTCAGAATTTGAAGACACATAAACTACTGTGAAGCTGTAGCAATTGTCCCGTCCAAGTCTTTACAGAACATTCCAAGCATTCGAACACGCCCCAGCCAGAAAGGGTTATTTTATCCGGTATCCAATTTTGAGAGCCGCGCGTGGGAGAAGTTAAACGACCCGGAATCTCGCGCTTACAACTTGCAAATCTGGATGAAGCATCGTCGTCTATACGCATTACTCTATTCTGGACATTGCCCTCTCCAACGATTCGGTTCGGGTGATGCGATTGACCAAGGCAGGGTTTTCTTCCCCATGGAGCCCCTCAAAGCCAAAATTATTAGCTCCTCAAGCTCCTCTTTTTCTCGCTCTTTGGCCCTTTTTGTCGCTCAGAGGGAGCCGAACTAGCAATCTGGGGCATCATTTCCCAAGGTTTAGCCGTTAGCTCTCTTGGATTGGAGTGATTATTGGCCAGAACGCGGTAGCTGAATCGTAATACTGGAGCGAGACGGATCAATGCCCAGAAGAGGCAAGTAGAGCCACTCATGGATGGCCCAGCGAATCTCATTCTTCCAGTGACATGTGAGGAAGATACTGAGGGGAATTCATCAAGAGTTGGCCGATCACGCCTCCAAAGATCGCGGCCCAATTCGGCAACTGGTAGCATCGCCGCATGTAGTTCCACGCAATATAACTTAAAACTTCCTTGTGGATTCATCATCTCACTCAGTTCAGGTTCGACAGGTCTATCTAATTCTGCGCTGCCTTGCCTGCTCGTGATCTATCAGAATGGCGTCCACACTCTTGTCCTTTGCCTCCAAACCACGCGTTTTTATTCTCACAGACATTACCAACGAGCCGGATGATACGCAGTCCTTCTGCCGGTATCTGACGTATTCCAATCAGTTTGATACCGAAGGCGTTGTTCCCGTCACCTCAACATGGTTGCGAGACAGAGTGGCGCCTGAAGCTTTGCATCAGGTCGTCGATGGCTATGAGGCAATCGTGGACAATCTAAATGCTCATGCACACCCGGATTCACAGTATCCCTCTGCCGATACTGTGCGCTCTCTTATTAAACCTGGCGCTCCCGTTTACGGGATGGAGGCTGTTGGCGACGATGTCCCTCTTAGCCCAGGTGGTGAGTTGCTGCTGGAGAGCGTCCTCAAGCAAGACGACCGCCCCCTTTGGGTGTTAGTTTGGGGCGGCACAAATGTTCTCGCATCGGTGCTTCATCGCATAAGAGACCGCGCCGATGCTAAGGAGCTGCGGGCCAAGCTCCGTGTTTACACAATCTCAGATCAGGATGATACAGGTTCCTGGATTCGCCAGCAGTGGCCTGAAATCTTTTATATCTGCGCCGTCCATGGTTGGAATCAGTACTTTTCAGCTGGCTGGCTTGGAATCACCTCGGACTTGGGCGAGCATGGTGGCCCAGACCAGAGTATCGTGTCAAATGAATGGCTGAGGAAGCACATCCAGATAGGACCATTTGGAAAGGAGTACCCTGATGTCGAGTACGGCATGGAAGGAGACACTCCAACCTTCCTGTATTTGATACAGAACGGTCTCGGTGTTCCCGAACAGCCATCCTGGGGGTCTTGGGGTGGTCGATTTCTGCCTGTAAATGTTAGCGAGAAAGGTCTTCCCAAGCAGGGCCATATTGCAGACGCTGCAGACAAGGTTAAAGGAATGGACGGGAAGGATTACATATCCAACAAGGCCACAATCTGGCGTTGGAGAAGAGCGTTTCAGAACGACTTTGCAGCCCGGATCCAATGGACGTTAACCTCTGACTTTTCAAAGGTCAACCATAGTCCTATCGCAGTTGTTGACGGCAACAAAGGGCTTGATACTGTCTTCATCGATGTCAAGGCTGGCACTACTATTGTGGTCGATGCCTCTGAAAGTCACGATCCTGATGGAGATGCGATATCGTTTAACTGGTTCCAATACCATGAGCCCAGTGCGATTCACTACTTCCACCTCTTCGAGGTTGTTGACCTTGGCATAAAGCCTCTTGGGAATGGAGAGAAGGTAGAGGTGACCGTCCCTCCTGCTGAAAAATCGTGCTACATTGAGAGGCAGAAGCGCGCTGTTGAAAAAGGCTCACCGCTGCACCTCATTCTGGAAGTGAAGGACAACGGGACGCCACAGATGACTTCGTATCGCAGAATTGTAATTCAACCTCTTAGAGGAGAAGCGTCATAGATAATTAATACTACGCTCCCCTCGTGTCCTGATATTGCATTAGGCCCAAAAATGAAGCTTCACTCTCTTGCGACTACTAATCGTACGGATTGCTTTTCACCTAGAATTATCCGTGGATCTTTTGGCTGATGCTACAACTAACCTCAGTCTCTCCGCAATTTCCACGATCGCGAGCCGCAACTCCCCCACACATCCATAAGTTTAGCCTTCATATATATATAAGCTTAATTGCAGATCAATCAAGACTGTCTGTAACAGCTCTTGCAATGCTGAAATAGTTTAATACTTAAATTGTGTTGACCCAATGAGCGTTCCCCATGACTTTTCTTTTTACATTAGGTATGCATCTGTATCTCATTAAGACAAGGAAAGCAAGCACGATGTTTGTCGAAAACAGCTCCCCAATCCCATGCAGAGATAGTGATTCAAAGGCTGGATTGTGCAATTCCAGGGCTTTATTGGCTCAACGTTACGCCCCGTATGACTCATTAGGTAGGTGTTTACCGTGAAGGTATCATCCTTGCACATGAATCCGACCTTCTATATTTGCCAAGTGTGATCGTGGTCCGTTTGTCACAGTCTCCAAATGGAGAAGGATCCGCGTTCGCTATTCAAAGTGGCCAATCAAGCGCATGAATATCGTGTATCACTGACTTGTAAGCAGGTTAGGGATGATACTAAGGCCCTGACACCTGCCTGAAAGCTCTGCCTGCAGTGCTTGGCAAACAAACCTCAAACAATTATAAAGCTGTGTAACTCTGTGATATTTTTCTCGTATCTGGGCAACTTTCTCGCATCTTGCCAAGAGTCACAATGCATTCCTCTGCGCTTCTCGCTCCCGCCTTTGCCGCCACGGCCCTCTCTTGTTTTCTCGAGGTGGTGCCTGATGGCGTCGATAACTTCATTCGGCACACCGTGAAGGAACGAAATGACGAGCCTCTTTTTACTCTAGAGTTTTCAGATGGGACAAGGCGCCAAGTGACAGATGATGAGAGATGGGAAATCAAGCAGGTAAGCCACTTCCTCCTGCAATGATTTCCATTCCCGCACTAGGAGCAGTCAATTAACCGCTTCCAGGCGCATATTCGTTTCATTGATGTCACGGAGACACCAGACACGGCTCAATTTTCTCGTCCCGCCGGTATTTCAGCGGTCGCCGCGTTCCCTTCCACATTGACCCAAGGTGAAACGGTGAAGAGTCTGATAAGCGAGTACAACACGGAGAATGTCAGGTCAACCCTCACACATTTCTCCAGCTATTACAATCGCTACTACCAAGCAACCACCGGTGTTGAGTCAGCCCAGTGGTTGTTTGACCAAGTCTCCAGCGTGCTATCTGAGGGTGGCGCGACCGGCGCTTCCGTTCGAAAGGTTGCTCATTCCTGGGCTCAGTTTTCCGTTGTCGCTACGATCCCCGGAACCTCCGACAAGACCATTGTTGTGGGCGCTCATCAGGATTCAGTCAATGCTTCGAACAGAACTGGGCTGGCACCTGGCGCTGATGATGACGGCTCTGGCAGTATGGCCATTTTGGAGGCCCTGCGGGTTCTCCTCAAAGACTCGCGTATCGCTTCTGGAGAGGCACCTAACACTATTGAGTTTCACTGGTATGCCGGTGAAGAGGCCGGCCTCCTCGGAAGTCAGGCGATCTTCCAGCAATATGCAAATGACGGCAAAGATATCGCAGCCATGTTCAACCAGGACATGGTTGGATACACTACAGACAACACATTCGGCCTCATCACCGACAACACCAGCGCTGAGCTGAATGAGTTTATCAAGCTCCTTATCAGTGCATATGCCGACATTGGATTCACCGAGTCCAAGTGCGGATATGGCTGCAGCGATCACGCGAGTGCCACGCGAGTGGGATATCCCGCTTCTTTCTTGTTCGAGGCCGCGTTTGGAAAGCACAATGGATACATTCATCAGACCGGAGACACCATCGAGAAGCTTAGCTTTGAGCATATCCTTCAGCATGGAAAGGTGATTCTAGGATTCTTGGAGGAATTGGCTTTTTCAACAACCATTTGAAGGTTGTGGCTTGCGTTAGGTAGCATAGACTGTAGGGTGAGAAGGCGTGGGAATATTTTTACTCTACATGGTAAGTAAATACTATTTATCACGGGTGTGAGAGTTCGCCTAGCTTGACTCGCATAGCACATAAAAAACAACAACAGGAGATGCTAGAATAGATATCTCAACACAATGAATACGAAAGCTTAAGAAAAGCTCTGCTAGCCAAAAACTACAGCCATGCAGCTTTGGGCTAGCAGGGCTTTTTTTTAAGTTTTCGTATTCGCTGTGTTAAGATATCGGGTTGCAGTAATCGATCTGATGGAAGACTCTTTTATCCTGCTATTAATGTTCAGGAGCAGTGGGGGAATTTGAACAAGACGTACATACCAAACCATTGCATTCCAGCTGATTGAAATGTGGAGACGAGCAGAGAAAGGAGGGTGCCATTGTCTGAATTGTAGGCCGATACCGGATTTACTACATCGAATACTTCGATGGCCTCGAGTTACATCCGATCGGGGCTGAGACCCACGGGGAAGCACTCCGGACTTCAGTGGCTGCTGCCTCAAGAGAACCTGAGGACACATACCGATGTGAAAAATTGAACATAATGGAAGCAAGCGCATTTTCTCCATGTCTGTTCCTCTCGCCTGGACCAAGACTGTGTGGTGACATCTGATATCCTTGGTCAAACCAACTATCCCCCCTCCCATCCCACTACCCGTGCATTCTCTTGCGTCTCCCATCCTGAACCTCGCAATATGCAAAAAGTTGAAAGTCAACAGAATTTCCACCACAAGCAAGATCTTGTGGGGAAGGTTGCCATCGTCACTGGGGCAAGCAGAGGCATCGGTTATGCCATTGTCCGCAACCTCGCAAAACGTGGGGCAGCAATCCTCGCAACATCTACAGGGGCAGGCAAGCAGATTGATGAACTTCGCGGCGAAGTGAATCTCAGCTACGAGGGCCGCGAAAATCTGCCTCCAAAGATTGTGCACCAAGCTCTGTCATTGACTGACACAGTCGCGCATACAACACTAGCAGATGCCATCCAACGGCACTTCGATGGCCAAGTTGATATTTTCGTCAACAATGCAGCCATCACCGACCGTACATATCCCGGTGAGCTCGAGGCAGACACATTGGACAGATTGTTGATGTGTAATATCCGGACACCGGCGTTGATGGTGGATGAGCTGGTCAAGAGACGACACTTCAGGAAGAACAGCAGGATCATCTTCATTAGCAGCGCCGAGAGTGTCAATTGTGACCCATCAGTCTCAATCTACGCATCTACCAAGGCGGCAAATGAAGCAATGATCCGTTGCTACGCGAATGCATTCGGCGGGAAGAACGACGCGTTCGACTTCATGGCTGAAACTACTGCCAATAGCGTGCTCACAGGCCTGACAGAGACAGGAGGTGTTCAGCAGTATGGGCCCAAGGTGTGGCAGGAGTTGCAGGACTTTTGGCTCGGAAAGCAAACTATTCCGCGGCTGGGGCAGGTTGACGATGTGGCTGACGTAGTAGGGTTTCTATGTAGTCATGAAAGCAGATGGATCACGGGGAGCAAAGTAAATGCGAATGGAGGCAGTGTTGCTCTGATCTAGAATGATATTAGACATTCTCTTCTTAAGTGGATAGATAACCTATCGTGTATTTGCCAAACATCGATTGCCTTCGCCGTACTCTGATAATGATGGGTTTTTCTTCTATTCCTAATTCCGGCTCACACGAAGATGCCGGAATTCAATCCCCGCATGACTGCCCGTCAAATTTTCCAACACTTTCCTTGCACTCCAGTAGCCTTAGTCAAAGACTCTCTTCAGCAATGTGTGTCATCTGAGGATCAGAGTAGTGTCTTCCCCCACACGAGATCACATGGCACGTCAAGGGAGAACTGGCATAGTTTGATTTAGAGTAAAACCCTAGGGGAGAATAAGCAGCCACTGGCGGGCTCGTGATCAAGTCCGTTGCACCCGCCTAGCCCACACTAAGATGATCGGATATGTCTTGTGGGACCGGACATCTCAAGATCCGACGGCGGGGTGTGACTACAACGCCGTTGAGTGAGAGAAGCATCCCCGGTATTACCCCAGATCGGAACGGATAATGCCATGGTAAGAGATGGGGACAACTCAGGAAACCCCGGAGATCGGACTCGGGTCGTCATCTCGTCGGTTTGCATCATCTAGAAAACCAAGGCATGGGGACAGCAAATTATTTGGAAGCTTATCACTCAATTTCATCCACCACATATTCAAACATTGAAAAATGGCCTCTCAACCTCGCCTCAAGATCGCCCTGATCGGCCTTGGCCGCCTGGGTGCCATCCGTGCACGAATCCTTGCCTTCCAGCAGCCTCGCATTGAGCTCGTCGCAGCTTGCGACACAAAGCCTGGCAGTGATGAGTTCGTGACACAGAACCTTCCTCCGTCTGTCAAGTACTATGCCGATCCCGAGGACTGTATGAGGAACAGTGGTGCTCAAGCTGTTCTGATATCTACTGCAACTGCTACCCATGCTCCGCTCATCTGCCTGGCTCTGGATGTTGGCCTGGTATAGTCCCTCCAAATAAGATTGAAGATGGAAGTTGAGAAGCCGGAGCTAACACCTATATAGCATGTCATGTGCGAAAAGCCCATCTCAGTTGATGTGATCACTACCGAGGAAGTTCTGACAAAGGCCAAATCCAAGCCAAATCTAAAGTTTTTAGTTCCATTTTGCCGAAGGTGTGAGTAACTTTCTTTCACAATTTCTTCAATCTAGTCAGACTGACATTTTTGTAGACGATGATTCGTACCGTGCTGCCAAAGAGTTGGTGGAGAAGGGTGAGCTTGGGGAGATTCACGCTGTCGAGACCACTTGCCTTGACCAGCAGGACCCCACTGGTAAGAACCGTTTGGGCCTTTTGTCAACAGATATGTCGCTCATATAGCTATAGGCTTTTTCGTTACCTTCTCTGCTCAGTCTGGGGGCATCTTTGTTGATATGGGTGTCCACGACGTAAGCCAGCTTCTCATCTTGCTCATCCAATGTGTGCTAATAGAAGGACCAGATTGATATCGGCCGATATTACTTGAATGTTACTTCTGGTCTGAAGAACCCCAAGAAGCAAGTGAATCGGGTTATCGCCATGGGACAACAGGCTGTCTATGGCGAACTTGCCAAGTACGGTGACTGCGATAACGGATGGGCCATGGTTGAGTTTGCAAATGGCAAGGTTCTCACCTCTCACCTCGGCCGCACACTCACGAATGGCTTTGAGAGCTGCACTCGCGTGTGCGGAACCAAGGCCCACTCCGTCGTGAACGGAAACTCGACAATCAACCGTGTAGAGATCCGCGATGGTCATGGTGTGAGGACTGCTACTACCCCAGATGCCTTCGTCCTCTATGACAAGTCGTTCATCAATGACCTCGCCGAGTTCGCCACTGCTGTTCTGGATGGGAAACCTCTGACCTGTACGCCCGATGATGCCTACGAGGCCGCAAAGATTGCTACTGCTCTCCAGTACTCTTTCCGAAACGGGGTGCCGGTTTACTTTGATGACGAGGGCCAACCGATTATGGAGGTTCCCAGGGCGAGCGGTAATTAAAAAGTCATTTGGTGATCATGATTGAATTTTGGAGGTATGCCTTGAAAGGTCTTATATTTGTCTATTTTGAACATTATAGCCAGTTATTCAGCCATCCGGCTGAACCAATAGACATACGAATAGAGACAATTACACAGCATCTGCGGCGGCTGCACTTTCATCCCACCAAGTTGCTCGACTCATCAGAAAAGGCTAGACGTGCGTTAGAATGCGTACTTGACAGAGAGAAAGCGATTTAACCAATGATGAACTGACTTACATTAGACTGATCTTGAGATCCCTCAAACACATCCTGTAAGAGCATCGGATCCCAGAATTCGTGTAGCTATGAGAGGGGGAAACAATCGAGATCAGTATTGTCCGAAAAAAGAAATGTACGTTTTGATTGGGCTTACCACATCGTTCATCGAATCCAGTGTTCCCATCGGAAGCGACGCATTAGATAGACCCAAGTCCAAGGCGCCTATCTGCCCATCCGGCATACTCTCTTTTTGCTGCAAGTTACCGCCATCTGGAAATTGAGAGTTGGCCGGAGCTGTAGCGAGACTGATCGTCCTGATGATCTTCTGGCGATCTTGCCCAGCCCTCTCAATGAGCCTGGTTCTCCAGCCAAGCAGCTCCACGTCTTCATCGTCTCCCTCTCCTTCAGCATTATTCCCATGACCTTGATCAACGTCTCCTTGTGCACCGTTTCTTTGAGCAGTAGAAGCCGTCGATATCTCGGTCAGCGCGCGGGCTCGCAGTTTGATGAGCCACTGCAAATTACGCTTGTATCGAGGGGTGCGGGCTCCGTGTTGGAGGAGCGACGTGAACAGACTGATGGAGGCATCGAGTTGGGTGAGGACAAAGCTACTCATAATGTTTCCCGGGTCGCGCAACACGAGCGTCCCTAGGCATAAAGCCGAGTTGAATACATGATACTATGGAAGAGTGTGAGTAGTGTTAACCAGATGCTGAGGCGGATGCACAAACCCAGAAATTCCACTGCCTCGTACTGACGGCGGGAAACCGAGTATGAATGTCGGTCACCAGGCCGATGATGATCTATTGAAGTCAGATAGGAGGTGAGGTAGAGAGTGGAGATAAAAATCATACTGCGCAACGTTCAATAACGGTATAAAATGAGGTTTTGTATATTGATTCCACACGATCAACTTCGTAGAGGGCTTTAGCGTAATAGGGCCGATGAAGATTGATAATTGTCTCGGACACGTTTAGGGCAAAATTGGATTGCTATGCCATGTTAGCTTGACAGGTGAGTTGGCTTGGAATAAAATACAAACTTGGAAGGAAATGGTCAGTGATCTTCGCGATGGTTCTGGAGATGCGTTAATTGCGGCTTCCGCAACTGGATATTGCGACGGCATGGCCAAAAGTGCTGCTCGGCAGCGAAGAGAGAAGGGAATGTTGCGTTCAAACTCGACGCTACAAACATTTCAGTCTCATTATCATACCAAGGGAGAAAAGGTATGCACGTACAGCCTAAGCCCCAGTTCGGTAACTTCAGAATATGCAGGCTTTCGCACTTTCATTGCCATATTCAGGATTCTTGGGCCATGTCAGCGAGGATTCCATATGGATAGAGGCAGGTTCCTCACTCAGCTGAAAGTTGAGATAGTTCAAATCGGAGTATCGAATAACTCTTTTCTCCGTCAGGATGTGACTGTCTAGAGGGGAAGGCGGTATCGCAGTGTTCAGGATTAATGGCAGACCTGTGACAGTGGATTCAATAATAGCTCATCCGACTAAGATTGCAAGTACGTACGGTCTTGAGAAGCAGTGTGCCTGGAAGACATCGGCGGCATTGCATTCCCAGAATACCTTACGTCGTTCCTCGGCGACATCGTGTGGCAAGTTCCAACGGTCATCGTCCCGATGCATGCCCATCTGTGAGTTTCGTTACATCTTGTGATCTCTTCAAAGGAAGAAGTTATACTCACTGCCTGAACCAAACGCATAACAAGGCCCCATATCGGCCATGCATTGTCCCCGTGGCGACCCTTATCTAAATGTCTGTAGGCAAGTCAGCAGAAAATCACAAGCACCGGGATAACTCTACTCACAAATGTAGATGTGCCATCAAATGCTGAGACGGTTAGTATAAGGCCCTCAGGGGAGGAGATAGAGAGATGGCCTTACCAGCGTTTGCACCCCGGCGAGTGTGTTATTGGACAGAAAGTCGCCTTTGACCAAAGCCCGCTCTGCCAAATGTAACCAATCTTCCGCTGATGAATCAAAGTTGGGCATCTCAATGTTGAACATCGTACCCTGGGCCATAACGATAAATACCAGCGCAATTTCTTGTGGATTTATCGGTGACGAGGTTCCGCTTCCCGAGATTTTATAGACTCGGTCAAAAGTCCGCTCGAACTGGCTTCTGGGCGCAACATCATGGCTTATAGGTGTTAGTTGTTGCTTTGTCTCATTGCATGTGGTTATTCCACATACTGCCAAGCGCAATAGCGATAATATGATTCCACTAGGGCCCATGCTTCGTCCTTCGGTGGCAAGCATGAAATCAGGTCTCGAGTGCTTATATGAGCCGCCGAGGCGCTCAGGGGGAATCCAATCGGTGTCGTAGTATATGGATTGTTATGGGTAGGCTGTAAAGAGGCGGAGTCTTGCGGCAGTGCTGGCGAAGGTGCACGGGTTGCCAACGGCGTCTCGGATACGTCTTGTGTTTCCGACTACGATGACATATATTAGTATGTTCTGAATATTCATACTTAAACTACATACCTCATTTAGCCATTCACTGGCCGCGGTAGGACCTAGATACTTGGATCGGCCTCTCTTGCTCAGCATCAATGTGCCAAAAGATCCCACCTGCTCATCCTCATCTGTTGATCGCCCAGCAGCATTGGTGGAACCACTCCCCCCGGTGGGAGGATTGTATAAAGACTCTGGCCTCCCACCTGGGGGTCTCGAGCCAGGGGTATTTAGAGAAGAGGCCTGTGCGGCATAGGGACCCAGCGCATGAGCGAGAAGGGCGAGCGTGTCTAACTGGTGATGGTTCCCATGTAGAGTGTGATTATGGGGGCTGGCCGTGGGTTGCTGCACCGGATTTACAACCTGAGCCTCTTCGATGGAAGTTGGAAGCACCGTGGGCTGATGTTGATGACTTTGGTGACTTTGATGCATGTGGTGGTGATCCAGGATAATGGGATCGGGTGAAATGTTCTGGCCCAGCTGTTGTTGAGCCGTTGTAACGTTCTGCGAGCTCCTGGAGGTTCGGCTACGTTACGCAGCTTAGCTAGAGTCTCATCTACTCCAGTTTGAGAGCAATGGGCAAACCTAGAATTATCTCTACCACCAGTGGCCGGGGTACAAAACTCGACCCGGTTTCTTCGGACACAATTTGAGCACGGCACTGTGAGAAACTGTTCTAGCTTGAAAGATTGATTTTGCTATGTGGCCACATAAAGTCTCTCACCTTGCCGATTGCATTTCATCTTGAGCCTCCGACATTCTAGGCATAACTGAAATTAGCCCTGGATACAACCCCAGTTCCAGTCCGCACTTCCTTCAACTCACCTGCGCAGCTGTAGCAGGGCCGCTGCTTGCGCTGAGGCTTACGAGGTCTAGGGCTCGGGTAAGCCTCATCATGGGCAGTGCCATCATTACCGATATGATGCATGTCCGATCCGGTCAATCAATCCGCTGAGGTTGGCTGCACCGCGGTCGGTGAGTAGGGGATGCTGTGAGAAAGGAAGATAGATCGGAGATGACGAGGAACCAAGCCGAGATGCGGAGAAGGACTCCAAGTCCTGGGGATCACGTTTCCCCGACGACTCCAGACACTAAAAAACTAGTTTTTTGTGTGGGGGCAAAACGTGGGGATCATCTGATGGACCGGCGTATTGTCAAGGGTTATGTCCGATTCTCAGGCGATTTCTGAGCGAGTTCGTCCAACGCGGCAGATCCATCGGAGAAAGGAGGTTACCCAACGGAGACGATGTGGAGGAACTGGTGTCATGGTGAAGGGATATATGCGCAGTTCAGTCGCCATGGACCACGTCAATGGCTCATCGTGCCTTCATTCATAGCATCTAGCGTTTGCAATAGCAATTATGTCTCCTTACCTCAACGGCAACGAGCCTCCCACGGTGGGCGATGACAAGATCAAGTCCAAGCTCGAGAAGCCGCCTGTCGCCGATGATTACATGTACGATTTCAAGTACAATCACGCACTTCCCACGTCTGACGTTCTCGGCCTCGAGATTCCCGCGGATTGCGATGCTCACAAGGAGGCCCAAGCTATCGTGGACCAACTCGCCGAGGTCATGGGCAAAGGTGATGCTCAGGGCTTCGCCAATTTGTTCCTTGAGTATGGTAAGTTTTGTTCTATAGATTTTCTTTTTCAAAAACAGTGGAAAGGAACTCACATGCAGCATAGGTGTTTGGCGAGATAAACTCAGTTTCACGTGGGACTACCGCACGTTCAACTTCAGGGAAGCCATTTTGAAAGCTGCGACGGACCTTTTCACTACCAAGGCCACGAAGTTCCAATTGCTCAAGCCCGATCCCAATGTCGCCCGCCCATATCCCGACTTTTCGCAGCTACAATTCGTTGTATCTTTCGAGACACAGGACGTCGTTGCCTCGGCGGTCATCAACAGCGTACTCACCAAGGACGGCTGGAAGATTTACACAATGCACACCGCGGCCGAGAAGTTGAAGAAATTCCCAGAGGTCCCGGTGGCTGACGGCCACATGACAGGGCCTATAAGTTGGGAGAAGCAGAGAGGTATTGATGTTGATGCGGCGGATCCAGAGATTCTGATCATCGGAGGTGGCCAGAAGTGAGTATTGCCCCCTTCAAGCGACGTGATATCGGGGTTTCTAACGTCAATGTAGTGGTCTTGCGCTGGCTGCCCGATGCAAGGCTCTCGGCATGAACAACCTGATCGTCGAGCGCAGCGCAGAGATTGGTGATGTCTGGAAGAACAGATACGAATATCTCTCGCTCCACTTCCCTCACTGGGCCGACGACCTGCCATACTTTCCCTACCCCAAGCATTGGCCCACCTATACTCCGGCCCAAAAGCAGGGTATTTACATGGAGTGGTATGCCTCGGCTCTGGAACTCAACGTCTGGCTCAAGTCGACGGTAGCCAAGGCCGAACAAGACAGCGAGGGCAACTGGACTGTTGTCATCAACAAAGGAGGCAAGGAGACCCGTACTCTCCATCCCAAGCAGGTAGTGATGGCCACTTCTCTGTGTGGCACACCTATGACTCCCGAAACTCCCGGCATGGCTGATTTCAAGGGTGTCATCCGCCACTCCACGGCCCACGATAGCTCACGCGACTTTGTTGGAAAGAAGGTTTGCGTGGTTGGCACGTCGTCGTCTGGATTCGACACAGCCTTTGACTGCTCCCGCCGCGGCATCGATGTCGCCCTCCTCCAGCGCTCCCCCACCTACATCATGTCCCTCACCCACTCCGTTCCCAGAAACATCGGCAACTATGCTCCGGATGCCGACCTCAACCGGCCGGACCTCGAGGAGCAAGACCGCCTGTTCTTTGCTACTCCCGTCGGCCCGGGTGAGGAGCTCTCTAGGCGCAACGCCAGTGTGCTCGCAGGACTTGATAAAGAGCTTCTTGACGGTCTTAACGCCCGTGGTCTTCGGACCTGGCTCGGTCAGCGAGGCACGGGTGGTTCCACTCTGGGCCAGACCCGTAACGGTGGTTTCTATTTCGATGCTGGCGCCTGTGATCATATCATCAACGGAAAGATCAAGGTTGAGCCCGGATACATTGAGCGTTTCACCGAAGACAAGGTGATTCTCAGCGGTGGCCGCGAGCGCGAGTTCGACTTGGTTGTGTTTGCCACCGGGTTCACCAACACTATCGATTCTATTCGCTCAGCTCTTGGGGACAAGATTGCTAATCAGTGCGACCCAATTTGGGGAATCGATCAGGAGGGCGAGTTCAAAGCAGCATACAGAGAATGCGGTGTGCCAAATCTCTGGATCTTTGTTGGATACCTCCCGTATACCCGCTATCATTCCAAATTGTTGGCTCTGCGTCTGAAAGCCTTGAAGGAAGGTGTGGGCTCTGCCCCTTACAAAGTATAGAGATAGATATACTACATGATAGATCGCATTGTCGTTCTCTAGTAGAGCGGCGTTGGAATTGAAATAAGATTGCCCCTTCATCTGCAAAAAAAAAAAATCATTCGATTCTGAGAGTATAGGTCTATTTACAAGCCCAAACCGACATAGAAGCCCCAATTTGACTATCAATGTCACAACCCCACACCATTTGTTAACCTCCAGTACCAGATTCAGATCAGACATACTATCAATTTTATAAATTAAAAATCGGGGCTATCATGTATATGTACTTTACACTTAGACTTGGAGACCTACACAACAGACAAGTCCAACGCGGCTCTTCTCGCTTTACAATGAAAATACTAGAGCTGCTTGGAGTATCCCAAGAATTATTTAACAACATAAAACGAAAAGTAAGAAGAAAAAAGAGGGTTTCCGTTTAATCTAAATTGGATATTAGAATCTCAATTGGGACTGTTACTCTTATTGTACTGATCGAGCTGCAAAGCGATGAGACGGACATGATTTCTCAGTCCGTAAGTAGGCCAGTCCAGACATGAGGCATAACAGTAACAAGTTCACATATCTCATTTTTATATCAAAGTTGGTATTTAACAAATGCTTAACCCCTTACTGTGAATTTACCGGGCCGTACCAGTCATCAAATCCGAGGTCAAAGCCCCATTTAGGAGTGTTGATTCGCTTGGCTTTCCCGCCAGCAGCCAGACCGTCCAGTAGAGCTAAATCGCTCTCTGGGAGCGCAATGACCTGTCTATTAGAGGAGATACGCTTCTCGGTCACAGACTTAGGCAGCACAACGACGCCCTTATTAACGTGGTAACTGATCAGAATAGTGGCGGCTGACACGCCGTTCTTGTCTGCGACCTGTTGGATTTCTGGGTCTGACATAATCGGGGCACCTAATTGTTAAAATATTAGACCAACTATATTCCTCATAGTCTGCTGTGGCACGCGGGACCAAGGGATTTACCTGTAGATCCAAGGGGAGAGTATGCTTCAAGCAGAATTCCCAGTTTCTGACAGTACTGCTTGAGCTCGTGCTGAGGAAGGAAGGGATGTAGCTCAACTTGATTCACGGCTGGTACGACCGTCCAAGTTTTTTGGAGTTCCTTCAGGTATGGTATGGACCAATTTGCAAGCCCAATGGCCCTGACCTTGCCAGATTTGTAAGCCTCCTCCATCTGTCGCCATGTTTCGCTCTGGTCCCATGACCGATCGACCGACCTGGTACCGTCGGGGTTGACTGGTAGAAGAGGGTGGGATTCGTTCTGCGGATATATGTCAATATCCATTCACGTAATCGTGGCGACCAGTGAGAATGCCTACCGGAACCAGTCGAACAGGCCAATGAATAAGCTGGTTGGTATCTGGTTAGCCCAGGCCTAGGTGAAAGTGCTGCATCAAAGGACTCCATACATAAAGGTCAAGATAGTCTACACCTAGAGCTTCGAGAGACTTCTGGAGACCTTCCTTCACATTGGGATGGTCTGTGTTCCAAAGTTTGCTAGTCAGGAAAATTTCTTCCCGGGGCACACCACTGTCTTTGATTCCTTGGCCGACCTCATTCTCGTTTCCTGGGAGTATTCTTAGTATGTCGTTCGCGTGGTATGGGTGTCTGTGTCTTGTTACCGTAGATCCTGACTCTCGTTAGTAAAACTATCAATGTTGCCATGGGTCAGGTCACGCTGCATCACTCACAGGGCAGCATCAATATGACGGTATCCATCTTTAAGGGCATAAGCCACGGCCTTGCGGACCTCGCCAGGCTGAGATTGCCACGTTCCTGTCCGGATAGTATTAGCGCGGGACTGTGTTAAGGGAGGCAGGGGATTTCACACACCCAAGCCAATGGCTGGGATCTTAGCCCCTGTATTGAGCGTGAAATGGGTTGGCAAAGTCATTTTGATCGAGCGGTACCGTCTCCCCACGTTAAGAGATCAACATCAATGGTCAAGAGAGCAATAAATACAGTTGAAAGCCTCTTAAGTAATAGGGTTTTTGGGAAATGCCAAAGTATTGGTGACGTGTAGTCCATCATCTTGGAACGAGCACTGCTCATCTCCCATGTGGAGCCTGGAGAATGCGCCGATCGACCGGTCATTTTGTTTTCGTCCGATCCGATGGATTATGTCCGATGCCCCCTCCACATTTGCAAATGCTTAATCCGGCTACCCTATGCCAGAACTGGGAACAGAACAGAACGTCTAGCAGATCTTGAGCTGACTCTTAAATATCCAGTCTTGGGTAAAGTGCAGTTGCCTTCTAATCGAATGTACCTAGAAAGGTCCTATAAGATTAATTGTTAATGCCCTTAACGTTGTTTGTGAGTGGAATCAGAAGAACTTAAACATCCCGCTTGGTTACGCAGATTGAGCGCATGTGGTTAGAATGTGCGATGCATCGGGCATATAGAAAACTGATTTAACGACAAACAAGGGTTAGCTCTTATAGAACTAGGCTTAGTTACCCTACCTGTTAGTCTGAATATGAACCTAGTAGCCGGGGGCAGTCCTGACTGCTTTGACAAGATTAAGGACTTACCTACACATCTCACTCCTACGCTCCCAATCCAAACACAGCATTCAAACACAGCAGGTTTGATCATCTAATTCCTTTACAATGAGCTACACAATCCTACTTTCTGGCGAGAGAGCCAGCTTCACCACGGTCTCCTTTGACGCAAATCAGAAGAAACTAGCCGTGACCGCAAACTACCCAAGCCCATTCAATGCGTCATGGGTTGAGCCTTCATCTTCGCTCGGACCCATTCACCGGCTGGTCGGGCTATCGGAAGGCATCGAGTCCGGTAGTTTGTATACGTTCGAAATTGACCACCAGCAAAAGACATGTAAAATAACGAGTCTACAGACAACTCTAGGCGCACCAGCTCACTGTAAGAGAGTCTTCCTTGTTTGCCAAGGTCTGAAGAGCTAATCTTTCCAATAAACAGTCATCACCCTGCAAGACAAATCTGCACTGGCACTTGGGACTGTAAGTAGATAACTGAACGAACAGTTTATCTTCCCGCGCTCACAAAATACAGTACCTAGGAGGTTCTATTGCCCTATATCCCATTTCTATTACTGAAAAGGCCGGCCTGTTACTGGCAGATACTCCGCGAACAGAAATATTTCCAGAATTCCCCTACAAGGCGCTTGGCCACGGCCCAAACGAGGGACGACAACGACAATGCCACGTGCACCAAGTACTGGAGGATAAGAGAGGCTTCCTCTATGCCCCGGATTTAGGTGCAGATCGCGTGTGGATTCTCAAGCGAGATCAGACGAAACTTGACCTCTGTGGCTGGCTTCAGTGCTCCCCAGGAACCGGCGCTCGACATGCCGTGCTCGGCCCTGAAGGTAAGTGCATCCGATTCTTCGACTTTGGTACCCCAAAGGTTGACTGACTAATGACGCAGAGAAAATTATGTACGTGATCGGAGAGTTGTCGCATACGGTCATAGCCTTCGATCTATCCACGTCCCCCGAAGAGAATATTCAGCCTATTGACGGCTTTGTACATAACATCATCCCTCCCAATGTTCATCTTGACTATCATTTCATGATGGACTCTTCAGAGTTGTGTGGGCATCCCAAGATTCCAAACATCTTGTACGCAAGTAACAGATGGGAGAGACACATACAGGAACGTCAGCCTGACCTAAAATCTGTCCCTGAGGTCCCTGACGGGGATTCCATCGCTATCTTGTTGCTCTCAGCGGATGGCAGGAAATTGGAAGAAATGAAACATGTCAGAACCAAGGTCGATACTATTCGTGGCATGAGGCTTAGCGACGACGGCAAGTATGTCGTGGTGCTCGGGCAAGAAGGTGGTGGCATCGAAGTGTATGGTATCGATGGAGAGAGAGGAGACACTTGGAATTTAGTGGCTAGCTTGGATGAAGGGTTAGAAAGTGGCATCAAACATGCTGTTTGGCTATAAGGCGTGGTAGAAAAAGTAATCATGCCTGTCTCTAGGGCTATTGTTGTTAGTTGCAGCTTGGACAAGGCCGTTGTTTATTTCTACAATCTCTCCCTACAATCAACCTCTCAGTCGCTTGTGACTTGGAGTTTACTGATGCTCGGGCACTAAAATGGGAACCTTTGAGCCTTGATTTTTGAAGTCGTGCTGTCTTTGGTACATTCTGTTTCTCTTCTCTTTTTGCGTCTGCTCTGATAATCTATCACCTGAGTGTCGAGTTCACATGATCGCAAGATGATAAAACATTGAAAATCTATTTCACGGTAAGCTGATGGGAATTTTTGAAATTCAGCCCCAATTGAATATTAATCGGAATTTAGCTAGTTAGAATACACGAAGCCAGGCTTTCCTATCTCCTGCGCTGTCCTCTTTGGCCAGAACTTAACACTCTTCACCTCATGTTTTGAGAAAGATACATGCTATTCAGGAAGATGCCCAGACTGTTCCAATTCCCAGCCACAAGCTGCATGATGGAGATGGATTGATAGAGAGTATCGACCTGTCGCAAGGCATCTAATACTCTACCTCATCACCAAAGACGGCCGCGATCTGCTCCAGGCTCTTCCCTGATGTCTCGGGGACGAAGAAGAAGGAAAACACCGCGGCAGCAAAACAGAAAAAGCCGAAGAATAGGTACGTTCCCCAACCAAGCTTGAGCTGCATCTCGGGCACAATCACACCAATGATGAAGTTAGCAAGCCAGCCCATGGCTACCGAGGCACCGACACCCTTTGCGCGCTTGGAGCTTGGGAAAACCTCAGCGGGTAGAGTCCATCCCAGGGGTCCATAGGAGGCGGCATAAGCGAGGACGTAGATGTCTGGGCAATTAGCAATGATCATCGTAAGTGTGGGAAAGGGCAAGCTTACAGATGAGAGCCACACCGAACCAACCCATACCGGGGTTCTCGACCCATTTGTTGTTGTACTTGCTTACGATTCCGGCCATGATCATATGTGGGACTCCCATGGCGATACCACCGAAGATTGACATCTTGCGGCGTCCGACCTTGTCGAGGAACAGGAACGTTGGGATTCCGGCTACAAACTGGCAAATATTGATCATGCCACTGAGAATGAGAGACATTTCATAGTCTTGGCCAAGAGCAGAGAAGAAGATGGGGGCGTAGTACACGAAAGCGTTGATACCTTCACTTTGATTAGTACTGCTATAGAGGTGTAAGCAGGCGGTTATACTCACCGGAAAATTGCTGAAAGAACGGGATAGCCAGACCAACAGCGGTACGGCGCAAAGTCTTTCGCTTGAAGAGATCACCCCACTGCTTGAGGTCAAGGATGAATGCGTTCGAGTCGGTTCCGTGGTCTCGTGCATTAGCTTGCTCCTGGAATTTTACTTCACTGAGAATAGCCTGCCATTCCTGTTGGACGCGGCTGTCCGTGCCAGGAAGACGCCGGAGCTTCTCGAGCGATTTCAGACTATCATCATCGCGGAGGCGCATGGCAAGCCATCTTGGAGAAAACGGGAAGAACTGGATGCCAATGCCAACTGCCAGCGCCGGAGCCATTTGTAGAAGAAAAGGCAATCGGAAAGCCCAGTCACCTGCCATGCTGCGAGTACCATATGTAATCCAGTAGGCGATAATGGCCCCGATGACAATGGAAATGGCCTCTAGGACAAGGAGCGACCCTCTCAAGTTCGGAGGTGCGATCTCAGTGATGTATAAGGGTGCTCCCATTGCGAGAGTACCCACGCCAACACCACCAATGGTGCGGCCAGCAACCAGAGTGCCATAGTTGTGCGAGGCAGTCTGTATGATGGCACCGACGCAGAAGAATGCTGTGGCTACCGCCAAGCCGTACTTTCTCGAGTAGGTGTCGGCAAGAAGAGGGAACGTCAAGCAGCCAACGAAGGCACCAAGTTCCAGCATACCCGTCATGAAGCCGGTGTTGAAGCCATAGCTAGGGTGGCCCGGGGACACCTCCGGGAAGTACTCCTGGAATTGCGGCATGGTGAGAATAAGTGATATCACACCCTGGTCGTAGCCGAAGGAGAAGCCACCGAAAGATGCCAAGAGAGCGGCACCAAACACGTATGGCGACCGGATGATGCCACCCAACCCGTTGGAGTCATAGCTGACTTCGGCTGTTTGATCCTCCAGGTGGACAGCTTTGTCTGATCCGGAAACTTTGTCGTTGCCGTCCGCAACAGTGCAAGAGCTCTCTTTGAGGTCCGCCATGATGAGAGCTGTCGAAGCGGTGGTGTAAAGTGTGAGGTACGTATTGAGGTCTCGATGTTCCTCTGATGTTTGAAGATGACATGGAGAAGGTCTGCCAAGATGTGACCTGAGAACAGATATTTATGTTTACTAGAAATGATCCAAGCCAATATCCTCGGTTGCATCAGAACCTGGAGCTACTGCCCCATGGGGATGAGGTGGATTCACTCCTCATGCCGCATGGAGTCATTCCAGAACGTGTGAAAAACCTCATCAAACACGCCCGGACATGAGGAGCCTCCACAGACCGGACTTATTCTCACTATAGCGTGCTCAGCGTTGTTGCGTCTTTTTCACTACCAGAAGGTCCGAGCCCTAGGTGAAAATAGGACAAGCGTAGCATCGGACATAATGCTCATGAACAGGCATCTCCACATCCCCAGGCCAGCAATCCATGTTAGCGTGTCATCGCAGATATTCTCTGCCTCGCCTCCGCAATCAGCCATGTAGACCATCCTGGCCCAACGTTACGGGCCGGCCGATTGCTGCAATCGGAGTTGGGGTAAATGTGAGTATTGATACACCCCACACTGTCCAGTCTGACGAAATGGTCTAGACTTCTCTTACGACCATCATTTCCACAGGACATGTACGAAAACCAATTCCGTGGACAGCTTCAACCAGCCCACACTGGAATATGGTGGCTTTGATCGGAAAACGAGAAGTATAACGTGATCTTTTTACTGCTGCCGAGCCACAATGAGTAGCATCACCCATGCTTTAAGCAAGCCCCTGGCCCAAGAAGTGCATCGGCCTTGTTGATATTGGTTGCTTCAAGGGCACCAGCGTGTAATCATCTCATTTCATTCACGCCACATTACATAATACATAGGTTTGCGTGTGATGTAAAGGGGGTGTTCCAAGGCTGATTTGTCCGGCAGGTACACACAATTTCTTTAGTCGGGCCATGGAATAGCGAACGACTTATCCCCGATGTTTGATCAATCCAGGGGCCAAGCCTGCTTTTCCCTAAACGACATAACTCATCGCACCTATAGTGAGCGGAGAGAGTAGAATCCTAATAAGAAGAAAATCTCAATCTTAGTTTACAAGCCAAATCCAGCAAGCGCTGTCTGACAGACATCGTAGTCTCGAAGAACGTCCTCCCTACGCTTAGGATCCCGCAAAACAAAATTCACCTTGAACGGCTCTGGTCCCATCACAAGTCCAGTGTGGAAGCCCGTCTCGATATTAAGATCAAGAGGCTCGGCGGGTTCAATCTTGAATGACCACAACAGCTTAGCAATGGCCGTGACGATGGAGTTTTGTGCAAATGCCTCCCCCGGGCAGAGCCTTCTACCAGCACCAAAGGTGTAGGTCGCACGTTTATCGGTATCATCGGCACCTTTCTTGAGGCCGAGGGGATGGTTGAGGTATCTTCCTGGAATGAATTCATCAGGCTGGTCATAATCATCAGGATTACGCTGGATGCTCCACACGTTGGCAAGAACGGTAGTGCCTTTGGGGATTCTGTATCCGTCCACGATATCGTCTCTATCGAGAATGCGCGGCAATCCGTTGGGAGCAGGAGGGCATAGACGGAAGATCTAGGACACAATAGTTGTCAGCGTTCATGCCGGGATGACTTGCATGTGGGCATTGCTGGAAATCATACCTCAGCAATACAGGCCCCAATGTACGGCAGGTTGCTAAGATTGTCACCCCCGGGGCTTTGACCGGGGCTGATCCGGGTTACCTCTTCGTGAGCCTTCTCCTGCACATTAGGGTATGCTGCCAAATATAAGACAAGACTCATCATGGACGCCCAAGTGGTGTCCACTGCCGCATCAAGTAATCCGCCACCGAGATAGGCAAGCTGATCAGGAGAGAACCCCAGTTTACCATCTTTGCCCCTTCCGTCTTCTACTTCATTTTCCAAGATTTTGGTCATTAAGCATCTGAATCTTGTAGATTTGTTCTGACCAGGCGTGGCCACGTCAGCCTTACCGCTGAGCTTCTGGGCGGACTCCAGATAGCTCGCATACTCGTCAAACATGTAGTCCCTCACATATCTCGCATCCGTCTTCCATGATGCAAATCTCTCAGGGATCCATCGGAGCATAGGCACCATATCAACAGGGGGTGCATTTCCAGGTTCAAGCAGCTCGAGCCACAGCTTCTGCGCCTGGAAGAACCGGTTAGAAAAATCCTTTCCTCGCTCTTCAAGGCGCTGACCAGTGATAGCAAGAAGCGGTGTGGCTAGTGCCCACTGCTTGAGATAGTCAAGAGTCTCAGAGGGAGTAGTGTTAAGTAGTTGCTTGGCGAGGGTCGCAGCTGTGGCCTCCTGCATAGGAACGACTTGCTTGAGGCCACTTGTGCCAATCAAATAAGCAACAGCAGCACGCCATTTTCGAAGGTACGGTGTGTTTTGGAGGTTAAGGATGTGCTTGTCTGCATGCTGACAGAAGACATGCTCGTTGGGGATGTAGCTGTAGGGTCTGCCAGAGTAATGTGCTGCGCGTTTACTGAAAAGTTGATGAACGGTTTGAGGGTTATGAAGAATGACAAGGTTTGACGGCCCAACTTTAAGGCCAAGGATGTCACCATAAATCTTGGACCACTTGCTGAACTGGATGAATGGTTGTTTTAGCGGAATTTGGCTTAAGTTCCCAAGTCCCAAAACTGTCGGGGGCCCTGGTGGATAGTCCTTGGGCCGTATTGTGGCGAGACAGAAGCGAGTAAGCACGAACGCAAGCGCAAGTGATACACAGGCTACTGAAGTAGCAATTATATTTGGGGTGGAAAGCATGAGTAAGGAGATTGCAATAATGATCTGGTTCTCCCCTCCATTTCAGAAGAAAGACCCCGCGATTGCAACCGGGAGGCTCTGCGTCTTATCTACTTGGTCATGGAGGGCAGCTGGTAGCGAGGATGTCGATAGAACTATCCTGCTTGAGGCACACTTCATGTGCTGTCACCCCATCTTGCAAGGTCAGGCTCCTTACCATTGGCTCAGCTTCGAGCTAATGTGAGCTTCATGCAGCGAAGGGTGATATTCAATCACTTGTTGGTCCTTCCGGCCGACGACCAATGCCGCCTTTTCGATTTCACATGCCCAGCACAAAAGTTCTCTTTTCGCTAAGGAGCTACGCAGTCAAGTGCATTATAAAAGGCGGCAACTTTTGAGGCTATTGGGGAAGCTTATGCCTTTGTGGACTTTAGCTGCATGGGAGATGCAGAGGCCGTCTAGCGTGTGATGGAAAACGAGAGGAGCATATACTAGCTGTGACGAGTCGCATTGGCTCGCAGTCTGAACCAGGTTCGCAGGGCGCTAGATGATGCCTTCTGATCTATCTTGGTCTGGATCAGGTCACGACGGCGTCAGCCTCAACAGGCAGAGTGAGTTGGCCGAACATCATTTCCTCGCGTGGCATATTCCCCCCTGCAAGCCTACGCCGCGATCCCAGTATCGTGGTGTAGCCTGCTCGTTGATTATCGTTACATCGTGTGACGCTGACCAGTAACTCTACGGCCATACCCTCCCTTGCCTCCCCATTTAGATTCCCTCCTGTTGGTCAGCCAAGATTGAGATCTTTCGTCAGACTGTTATTCCCTCATTTGCTGACATGAATCAACCCCCATCTAAAAATGTTGGAGTAACATCACTCGTTTCGATACATCCTGTTTTCTCTGTATTGATCTTGAGATATCTACCTGGCAGGGGGCAGATGTAGGTAAAGAGTGACACTGGCCATCCCGGGGCTACGATCATGGAAGTCTCACAAATCATTATATCTCTCCCGGTCCATTTCAAATTTGGTAGATGACCTTTTCAACCGATATTCAACTGTATCCTGTACGTGATCATCATATCGATAGTAGTAATAAGGCTTTTCTTCAGTGTCTGATTTAAAGTCACATCCTTATAGACACATATGTCTGTCGGTCTACTTCAATGGTGTCCCATGATATAACTCGGCCGCCCGGTACCGGTGCGCACTACCAATTATTCAATCTCAATATCCCCATCCATTTCTTTACTTTCCCACAGTGATTAAACCTGCGTTAAAAGTTCCGTGAGACTTTGAACCCGCAATTAAGCTATGCGCAGTCAGGAGCTGGTGTAGGGGACTGGTTTGACCACCCATCCTTGCTATATAGCGTTGATTCGAGTGCGCTTACTTGGCGCCTTCCGTGGCCGAACTCGAGGCTTTATCTGTATCCCGGACACCAGACCGTTGCGTTTGTGAAGAGGAGTAGGCAGTGCCGCTCGATGGGGGGCCTTGAAACATATCAACGGCCCTCACATTTGTGTTCCCGCCGCCTTCTCCCGCCCCTATAGCTCCAGAAGACGGGAGTTCACGCGGAGAGGCGTTGGTATGGGGAACATCCTTGTGCGCTCCCCCTGATGGGAAGTCGGAGCCCGCAAGACCAGCGCCGCTGAGGCCTTCGGAGGAGCGCTGCTTGCGAAGCTCCTCGGCTGTCGGGGTTTTGTTGCTGGATGTGCGAGTGCGGTAGTAGAGCGCCGTCCCGATGGCGGCTGTAGCGACGACGGGAATTGCGAAGCGAATAGGGCCAGGTTTGGTGGTTCTCGGATTGATCATGATGTTTACTGTATGTACTGTAAGCGCCTAGTGGTCTGCACCTTTCTTCTACAACATAGACAGTGATATCCCGAGGCTTATATTCTCAGAAAAAAGAAAACGACCCGCTTCTTATCCGATTCAGAGTGATGACGAGCTCCAAATCCATGATGATGATGACAGCTCGATCTGGCCACCAGGCTTAATTTTAAAGCTCTCATAGTGCTCCCGAGGCAATGGAAGAATTATTATTAGATTGCCAAAATTCCCTATGCTATTATGAGCGCTGCGGGTCATCGAAAATTCTATGATTTCATACTTGATGAATAAGAAGAGTCGATGATTCAATGACTTGCCCAGATGCAGGCTCTACTAAATCCATACATACCATCGCTAATTAGTGTCCCTCGTATAAATTCTAAAGTTTATTTGATAGATTCAAGCATAGAATAGTGGATCTTACATCTTAACCTTTACGGTAGCATATCATGAAAGCTTCTTAGCTGCCAGCTACCACCACCAACCTCGACCCCGATTTACATTTTCCTTCCAACAATGATAGGGGATCCTTTATCACTCATTATCATTTCAGGGCCCACAGTTGATACTTCATTTGTATTTCTGTCAAACAGGGTATCTTAATTTGGGCAGAACCAGTCCAACATAAGCATAGAAAAAGAAACCAGATGATATTTACGCCCATCCTTCGTACAACTTTCAGAAGGAGAAACGCGTATATCTTGCAATCGATAATCTGATTGGGTCTTGATTGATCTGCAACATCCATCCAACCGAGTATGAAGCTGATTTTGAATCCGTGTCATGACCATTTCACCCGACCGCTTGTTTTTCGGCCAACGCACGACCCCTTGTACAAATACCAAATTTCGGCTTCAGGCGTTCGCACATCAGGAGTTTTTAAACTAGTTATGCATGAGAATCCAAGGGTGTTTTTGAATTTCTTCCAGAGATAATCGTTTGCCAGGGTCCAAAACGAGAACCTGTGTTCTTGTCAGCCACCACTCGCTGGTAGTAGATTAAAAGGATGGATTACCTTGTGAATCAAGTCTGTGGCCTCTGCGCTCACAGAAGAGGGAACTTTCATATCCAAGTTCTTGATCCTTTTCTGTGTAATTTTCAAATCATCCTCAAATGGAGCTCTTCCAACAAGTAATTCGAAAGTCAGAACTCCCAGACACCAGACATCTATCATAGTATCGTAGTTCTTGGCACCTCTTAATAATTCGGGCGCGAGATAATCCAGCAACCCGCACAATCCCGAGCAACGACCATCTACCATGGGCTTGCTCCAGATGAAGCCTGAAACTTTCATCTCATCATCAGATCCGATAAGAATGTTTTCAGGGTTGATATCCCGGTGAAGAATGTTCTTCCCATGGATATATGTGAGTGCCTTTGCCAACTGTGCAACCAGCTTGGCAGCCTGGGGTTCGGGAAGCTTCATATTATTTTGCAAGAGATCATACAGACTGCCCTTTCTGGATAGCTCCATGAGGACGTATATATTTCTGTCATCCTCATATTGCCCAAACACTCTGAGTACGTTTGGGTGATCCATCTCGCTTTGGATCTTGATGCTGCCGCGAGCTTGTTCTTCGACTTTTTCATGACGTAGATCGGTCTTATTCATGGTCTTTAGGGCGTACTCCAGCCCTGTCTCGCGATCCTTAGCAAGATAGACCCGAGCAAACCTTCCCCTGGCCAGCTTCTTCTCTTCAATTTCAAACATATCCAAGTTCAGGTCTTTCCCGAACAGCTGGCCGGATTCAGCGGTGAAGGGTAGGGTATGGGCTTCCATCTGGCTGGCCTCCGGTATCAGTGCGTTCTCGGAAAATGCCATGTTATCTAGTATTTTTTTAATGTGATGCCGCGTTCGTTGTTGTAAATACTGAAGGGAAATTGAGCAGTCGGGGGTATTTTATAGGAGCCAGAAATTTCTTACCTCAGAGTGCCCGGGGGGCTCTGCGGGGTTCATAGAATCACGTTGTAACACTATGAACGAAGTCACACACGTGAACTCGTTCATGCAGGGTGTGTAAGACGATAAGAGCGGGTCACGCTTCGCAGTTATTCCAATAACGGAAGAGAGTTCGAGTATAAAGTTAAAAAAACAACAATAGAAGATGCCAGACGCGACATCTCAACACAATGAATACGAAAGGTTATAAAAAATGCTTTGCTAGCTCAAGGCTGCAGTCATGCGGAAGGAAAAGTCTGTAAACCTTCATACCGATCACCCACTTGCCGTCGGGACGAGCCGCTGTTATTCCAATAACGAGACAAGGAAGCTGTTCTAGCAATCGTCACAAAGAAGGAAAAACCTCGTCTTCTTCTCTACCAAACCATCCAATTGCGTCACAACAGAGTTTGGTGCTCCCCTCATCTAAGTACCAAAGGCCCAATACCTCTGCTAAATATTCACAGAGGATCACGATTAATAACCGAGAACTCAAGATGTTGAGAAAAGGTTTGAATTTTTTTTCATTGATTTTCGGTTCTAAGCTGATCTACAGCATGCAAGCTGCTTCTCATGACAAAGGGGAAACAGCCTAGTAAAGACCAACAACGACGTCACCCTTGACACGGGCAGTCAGGTGAACCTCGGCCTCGAGGTCGAGCTTGATGCCGAGCAGGAGAGCGGCATCCTTGAGCTTGCCGTTGTCCTCGGCGCCCTTGACGATCTGGCCTGGAATTGCAAGAATCGTTAGTGTCTGCCCAATCCACTGTCTCAGGGAGCCTGAAATTGGACGAGGGACGAGAAGACTTACCAGCAGGAGCGTTGAGGCCGGTGGCGGTGGGCAGGGGAACCTGGAACTGAGCACTGTTCGGGGATCTGGATTAGCAATCCCGGAACTATCTAAGGCATTGGCGCCTAGGGGAGGAGATAGAGTCAATGCTTACGGGGCAGACATGTTGATGGATTTGTTTTAAAAACGGGGTTTTTAAGTGGTGTTTGAAGTGGATTGTTTGAGTTGTGAGTGATGATGTAGAGAAGAGAAGAACTTGCACGGGGATAGAAGGTCCCTTTTATGGTCTTTGATAATACTATGTCGGTTTCCTTTTCCTTTGCCGTGAAAATTTTTACATGATGTATTCGCTGGCCAGCTGAATTCAATGCAAAGGGGTCAATTTCCCGACCGCATTATCGTGCCCCTGCAGATGCTGAATTGTGAGTCCTGCTCAGCTCACCTCGCTTATTGGATTCTTTGCTGTGGTCCAATGAGAGCTCGCCAGCTCTTGATTAAATGTCGGCGTACAGCTTCTGCCGCAGGCGCATTTTCATGCTCGCGCAAGCAGATGCGTTTAAGGGTCCAGACTCCAGGCAAGTCGTTAGCTAGCAATAATCTCCGTCAATGCCTATGCTTCACGGCCAGAGAAAGACGGCCCGGTCCGTTTGTCCCCAGTCCGGGGCAGAGAGGAGAGATTGCTTGGGAAGCATCTCCCTGACACGTCGCACATGTCTCATATTATGCATACACACGTGTAAACAGCCGCAAAATGAACATTCATGGAGGAAGCGAGTATGAAAGTAATCACCTACTGGTGAGACCAGATCCACCATGCCTTGCTAGGAATACTGGAAGATGTGTGATGTTTGGACCCTTAGATTTGAAGCAATTCACTCATTTACAAGAATAACATCATGCTATAGTGTGAAGATGCAAGTCTAAGAAAGATCCATTTCAAATTCCGCCCTTTCTTGCTACATAGTAAGAGAAGCAGGAGTTTCCAAGACATTACCGAGCAAATGGCGATGGCGCTGCTCTCGCTACCTACAAATATCTTCTCTCCCATTCGAGGAAATCATATACATCATGAGGGTTATACCAATCTGGCCCTTGGTCTTCATCCATGCATATATTGTCCACGTCAGCTTTAATATTCGGGTCCATTTCTGGCTGCAGCCGTTTGAATCCAGCATATATCGCCTCTGGAATCTCGTAAAAGTTGGGATTTTTAGGGGAGAGTTGTCTAGGATAAGTTTCAACAAGATTGTCATCGGGGTCCTCATCAGGTTTATAAATCCCTTCCAAGTCGCTTATATCGGAAAGCTCATCTTCATTTTCGTCATAGTCGATGTTGGTATCATCAAGAGGCACTGATTAACTTGTAGAGCAGGCGGTTGAGTGGTTTGATGGGCTTCGTTTTGGTCGACTCGTCTCAGGAACAAGGCCTCCATGAGACTGGAACCCAAACGAATCAAACCAATCCATAAAGTCCTCTGTATAATCTTCTCCATTCCGTTGGAGATCATACAAATCATGATCTGCTGACCAAAGTTTGGCTACTTCATAGGCCGTCCAATCAAGAGTGTCAACCATCGTTAGTTGTCTGTCGCTAAAAAGTGACTTGCTGAATGGAATGTTGCCGTGGCGGAATTCCGGTGCTGCGAAGGAGTATAGCGTGCTAAATAAGTTACAAATATCACTATTTATAGCTGCAGGGTTAGTATCGAGATAGGTCGGGTGGCTTTTGACTGGTTTCGTAGGTTGATGCCTTTCTCGACGGAGGTGCTGGAAGGGGCTTTGTCGGTGATGGCCATGGAGAAGGCGAACAGACAAGTCCTCCCATAGCTCTCGCCGTTGATTCATTGGTATTTGCGGCCATTGCTCTCGCCCGTGCTTTACAAAGAGCGAGAAGCGACTGAAATTGGTCGTCCTCATTAATCGGGGGTGTAGCATTTAAGCCCTCAGTCTGAGAAGATTTATCCTCGCTCACAATTTCTGAACAGCGCAAAGTGGTTTCTCCTAGCGATGGAAATGATGATTTCATATCCGACAAAATATCCTCAGCAGTGATGAAGACTGCCAACGGCTCTCCTACATATGCAGCAACGATCATCCCATACCAAGTATGATCTTTCACAACCCATGATCCGGACGTGCCCTGAGCTATTAAACAATTAGCCAACATGAACAACTAAAGCGTAATTAAAAAAGAAATTCAGTATGTATTACCTAGGGGCAGACGGAGCTGCAGCTTTCTGACGGTTACTTGACCCCCTTCTAAACGCATCGGTTGAGAACCAGGTAGGAGCCAAGCTTCTTCCACTTGGCCAAGTCCTAGGATTATGCAAACACGTCCATCTTTCATTTCCGAATTTGAAGAATAAGAGGTTATCGCTTCCCAGCTACCAGCTTCTTGTGCTGTGGACGAGGTTGTGTAGGTATTATGAAGATGCTGCAGCGTATGAGACCTCAAGAGGGCATAATCGCTTCTATTGGTCGGAGAATCCCTGGGAGGCTGTTCATTTTGAACAATCTTTCCAAAGCAATTGATGCCACAGACCTCGTCGAATGAAATCCACTGTAAAACGATCTCGGAAGGGTCGAGTTGCCCCAAACGCGGTGAGGAGCCGGGCAATGGTTCCATCATTTCGCTCTCCTCGCTGTCATAGCTATCTTCAGAATCAGATTCCGAATCGCTTGGAAGAGAGTCATTGTATGAAGAGTAAACTTCATCCAGATCATCCTCCTCTTCGTCTAAAAGCCCATGTGCCACCGTTAAGATAGTACCGAGGTGGTGTTTGTGGCATTCGTCCAATATGCCAGACGTTAGAATTCCTCCGATTCTAGATAAACGTTGATTTCGGACAGTATTATCTTTCAAATAAGTAGCGCAACATAGCCAACCACAGGCTGACAGGGAGGTAAAGCGAGGACGGAGCTTGGCAAAATGAAAAAGAACATCTCCCCCGCTACAACGCAGGCTGGAACTTGGTACCGCATATTTTTGAAGTTCTTCTAGGGGGATCACAGTCTCCAAGCCACACAGCTCGATTCCGCCAATGCAGAATTCAACCGGTCGATTGAGAAAACCTTCGATCCATGAGATGGACCTCAAGGCCTTCTCAATAACCTTCAAAGCCCATTCACTGCCACAAAATATCCAAACATGTGGGAAGAGGGTGACGGTATGGGGGTGACGAGGATCCACGGCCCCGGACATACGCAGCTCAGCGTTGAATTCGCGCTCCGACCGTCGGCATTTACGCTTTGATGCCTTTCGTGTCAATTGGATCCGTGTTGGCTCCAGGTCCAGATCCAGCCGCTCTTTAATACCTCCAGCTTCGCTCCATTTCGTCTCGAGAATTTCCGGCACTCTCACCTCCCACGGTTTTCCGAACCATGGCTTGGCCTTTTTGCGCCCATGGTGCTGATAGATATGTGGAGAGGAAGCTGGGAACTGTTGGCTGGTTCTCGCGGCCTCTCTCAGGAGCTGTTGAGTATCGGGTAACGAACTCTCATTATCAGGCAATAGCGAAATGTCGGGACCTTTTTCTCTTGGTTCTGAAATGGGGATTGTAATCTCAGTATCGCCACTTTCTGCCGAATGTATAGTGCGCGATGGGGAATTTGTGTTCCTCTTGTCGATTGACCTTTCAGGAGCGCCTGATCGGAAAATACTTCGTACTGAAAACATACTTCCTCGGTCCTCTACTTCCACGGGAACCTGGGTCAGAACCGAACCATGCTTCAAAATGGCTATAGAATGGGGGCAGAACAGCCCTGTGGTCAGTGGGTGTGGAAATGCTACCACCATCAATCAGGCTTTCTGAATTTTTGCCAATTTGGATATTGGGTATAACGTAAAAGGTCTCTTTAAGCAAGAGAAATCGTTCGCGGCAGCCTACATTACAACGAGGTGATCGAGCGGGGCTCTCCAACTTGGGAGGCATCTTTGCCTTCATCGAGGCTTAGCACGTCACCGGGGCTTCGCGGAATTTACTGATGGCGAAGTGCGTCAACTTCTAACCGCTTTGATCGATCCTTCCTGCCTATCAGTCTGACGACAGACACGTGTTGGGGCTTGTAAGGCGTCTTCAGCTGAAGTGAGGGGGCGGGCGCAGGCAAACTCCCCGCAAGGCCTTCGCCAGCCAACCAGAATGAAACCTCCAATGTTCTACCTGCAAGACGACGAAATCGGAGACGGTTCTTTAGATTTTACAGGTAGTTGCGTGCTTCACAATCAAGTTGAATTTGCTGGCCAAGCTTGCGCCAGACAACAACTAAGCACACGAAATCTGTAACTATTAGACATGGCATCAATCAACAGACAAAGAGGCGAAGTAAGAGCGCCATCAGCGTCGAGTTGCATTCGAGAGTTGATCCGGCAGGGGCTTGGCGGTTAGCTTGTGGCTGGACAGCTCGACCCCTGTTTGCTCAGCCTCCATTGACTATGTATGACATCCCTGTGGAGATAGCTGTCTGCTGCATATCGGGCGGTAAATAACTTCCTTCGTTTTCAAAAGAAAATCCCGTGATCTAGAGATTGGCTTAATGATTGAAAGTATCCCATGGCAGCGATCAAACAACTCATCACCTCAGCAGTGACAACATTTCACGGGCAGCCGTCAAGGGACTGGGAGTCCACCGACGACATCCAGCTTTGCAACGAGATATGGCCTGCATTGGTTGAAGCATACCCTCTGCATCCCGATCAGTATTCCCACTTGGCCACATTCGCTAAAGACCAAATCTCAAAGCTGCGAACCCTTCGACTACAGAGGCCAGGAACTGAAGCAGATATAGTCAGATTGGTGAAAGATTTGCACACCCTAATCAATGAGCCCCGAGAAGATGTCATACAACGCTTCCAACGGTTTTTACAACTTGATGAAGAATCGAGTGCCGACCAAAATTCGGTGACTAGGGTTCTTGAGATTCTGGCTTCGCTATACCTCACAACCACCATTGCGATAGAGAGAGATCCTGAGAAAGCAGATCATGCCCCTATTAAATGGGAGAAAAGCATCTGTTTACAGGCCGCGATCAATTCTTACATGGAAAGAGAAGAAGCCACAGAATGGTCTATTTCGAAGTCAACAATTGATCAAAGGTTGAAATTGCATAGTTTGGTAGCAAATTATGGTTTTGAGGTGGACTGGACTAACGACTTCAACGAACACCTAAGAATTGATGAATCAACTAAGGTTATATCAATCTATGAACATAAGGTCTGGCTCTATGCACACTTGCGACCAAATACGCAATGCCCGCTACCCAGAACCGCCATGGAAGAATGTCTCGATACCCTCAATATCCTCTTCCCCCACCACGAACCAAGTACAGCCGCCTTTCTCAAAAGCCGAGGACGCAGTTTTCATCTGCTCGGAAGCTGCGGTCGTAAACCATCGAGGGATCTCAGAGACTACCCCCGCTGGGGACGAAATCTCGACCAACTCCTCAGGGTACTGGAAGGTCCCCCATCAGGAATTCGGCAGCTTCTTCCCAAGCCGAAAGAGGGGAAGCTGCTAGACTTGGTCAACTTTTGGATAGCCGTTTCGGTGGCCTTTTTGACAGGAATTAGCTTCGTATTTGGATTGATGGCCGTTATATTTGCCAAGATGTCGTATGACGTTTCCCTAGAGTCGCTACGCGTAACCCGCGAGCAGTATCTTCTATCGCTAGCTCAGGCCTGTTCCGATAAAGAGGTTCCAGACGCTGTTCGTCAGTTTTGTGATGCAGATTGAATCAAGTCACGACATGAAAATTACGATTCGAATCTTTGATCACATACGATCAAATGAGCAAATGAATATATGACATGGCTAATTTAGCTTGTTCTTCTCAATTACTATTTGTAACAAGCAGCGTGGGATTTTGAATTAAAAAACTCATGGTTCCAAGCGCTCCTAGAGGATCACATTTATAGCGATTATTCACATAAGACTGAACATGCACAATTGTGTGGTACGCATGAAATGTAGCCCCGCACACATCTTCGCCTTCATTGTGTTTCTTATTAAAATTCCCTCAGCCATCTCAGAATCGTGATGAGCGAGCCACGCATATAATGACAGTGCATACATGTGCTCATTGTGCAACGGTCAAGCTGGTGCTGCCTCCGGGGGACTCAGCTCAGAATTTCACCAACAAATTCAGCTTCAAGGCACAAGACATCTGGGCAGCGTCGAATGCAGGCTGTGCCCTGTTTCAGGAATGCACTCGCGTCCTCAGAGGACTGGGAGAAGATCAAAAAGACGTTCCAGTAAGCTTGCGGGTTGGCTTTCGAAACGGCCGTGTCTTCCTCAAGGTCGCCAATCGGCGGGCCTCCTGGTACGAAGCATACACGAACGAGAGTATGCACATCTCCTACCCACCAGCATATCTTGCATATCTAACGCACCATTGTCCAGATGACCCATGTAGCTCCTTCATCTTGGCCAGGTCGGCATATACAAACCAAAACGCAACACATTCCCTCTCACTCGCTAGAGAATGGCTGTCCAGCTGCCTAGAAAATACCGGAACCAACGCCCATCATCGATGTGTGCCACCAAATCCGACAGGATTTATGCCCTCACTGATACTCAGGATCACTCCCGACAATGGATCTTTCCGGTTAAATCTCTGCAAGCCAGATCAGACTCAGGTCGGACGATATGCGTGTCTGAGTTACTGTTGGGGAGGCGACCAAAAAACGAAACTAGGGAAATCGAATCGTTCAGCATGGCTGACAGATATCCCCGTCGCTGACCTGCCGATTGTCGTGGTAGAAGCAATCACCGTGTTGATGAGCCTGCAATTCAACAACCTTTGGGTAGACGCGTTGTGCATCGTGCAGGATGACAAAGAGGATGTTTCCAAGCAAGTCGGCATGATGCCGCAAATATACCAGAATGCAACTGTCACAATCACAGCCTCCACCTCCAGCACCTGCTATGAGAGCTTTCTCAAACCCAAGTCGCCACCGCCATTATACCGAGCGGGACTGGCCCTGGCTGTCGAGTTACCAAACACTGAAAGGGGAACAATGTTTCTTCGCGACTGTGACGACGATGTACCTTTCCGGGAACCTGTGAGTCAGCGAGCATGGACCTTGCAAGAGAACATCCTCTCGCCCCGTTTACTCGAGTACGGATATGAGCGAGTGAGATGGTCTTGCAGGAGCCTTCAGACATCCCAAGGTGGCAGCATCCAAAGTCCAGGACAGTACAGCTCCCGTTTTATTTTCTACAACTCGCTCGGCTCAAATATAGGAGCGCATCCACATGATCAACGAGCGGTAGCATGGTGGAGAGTCCTCAGCGACTTCACGCGCCGAGGACTCTCGTTCCCCACAGATAAGTTACCAGCCATTTCGGCCATCGCCTCCGAGCTCGCTGCGAGCTCGGAACCTCGAGATGATTACTTGGCTGGGCTGTGGAGGAGAGATTTGCCTCTGCACCTTCTATGGCGGGCAGACTTCCCCAGGAGGGCTCGGCCAAGATCGTACCGCGCGCCGTCATGGTCCTGGGCGGCTGTTGAGAGTCCGGTGTTTCACCCTCACGCGTCCGATGGAGAAGAGGAGTGGGCAAGAACGGCCGACTTGGCAAGATGTCTAACAGTAGTTGGTTATTCGGCCGAACCGGTCTCGCCAGCTGCAATGTACGCCGGCGTTCGGTCAGCTCACCTCATCGTGCGGGGTTTCGTGCTGGATGCTAGATTGTTTCGTACAGGGACTGAGTACGAGATTCAGTCGCCGTTGATCCACCTTCAAGAGCGTACCAAAACCTACTATCCCGATGCCATCGAAGACGAGGGTTTCCTGGCGGGTTCAGCGGGGCGAGATGTCAGTCTCCTGCTTATCATTCCTCATAGTACGGAGTCCAGTCCCCAAGGAATAGTGTTGATCCAGCGGGAGAATGAACAAACCTTCAGTCGAATCGGCTACTTCATTCTCAAAACTGGGCGTGGAATCGCAAATAGCCAGGATTCAACAAAGCTTGGGGTTCAGAATACCCTGCCTCCAGGGGATTGGACAAATAGAAATGTTCGTATTGAATAGACTGATGCGAATCAACTAATAATCCAGATCCCTTTCTTTCGGTATATTTCTAAAATATTAGAGATCAGGAAGTACATTGAAAAATAAAAGACTAGACTAGTAAAATATAAAGAATTAATTCCCGCATCCCACATGAGTGGAGGTATCGGATACGAGGCTTCAAACTAACCGACGGTAATCCACGTCGACCAAGTCGAGGCTTGATATGGCATGACATTTTTCGTATTTGCACTTTTGAGCCTTTCGGTCTCAGTGAAGCTCTGTAAGTGTCAAACTTTCGCCAATGAGGTCATGCAACGTCTTTGTCAAAGCCCCACTTGATCGCCCTCGACAACCGCCACGCGAACACGTCGCGTTTCTCTTATTACTTTCATCCTGTCTTTCTGCACCCATCGAGCCTCCAAGTCGCTCGCTTTCGCCAAATCTTCATTTCCATGTCCGACTCGGGCCATTTCTTAAGGCCAACCTTTTCTCAATCTTTCCTCCATGATGATGGCTATCAGTCCAGATCAGCATTCAGCCGTTTTACGCGTCACTGCGTATCATCGCCGAGACTTCGACATCATCGTCGTCCGCTCAGATCCACGAAAGCAATCGATCGTTCAACCTTTTATCTCTGAACCTTTTTTAAGCCCCGCAAGCGCATCCCTCGGGACTTTAAAACACCTCCCAAGTGAGGTCCTAGTAGAGATATGCTCCTACTTAGACATCTTATCCTCCTTCAGGCTCCGCAAAGTTAACCGGATGGCCCGTCAAGTTGTATCAGGATTACCGGCATATCGAGACCTTTCAAAATATAGCCTAGAGAGCCTACGTACAGCTCTACGAACAAAAAGTGCCGGTTGGATACTAGTCTCTGACCTATATCACACCCTCTGCACGACGGAGTGCTCTCAGTGCGGCTTCTTTGGGCCACTCCTGTTCCTACCAACGATTGAGAGGTGCTGTTATCACTGTTTAGATTCATCCCCGAATTATCGGATACTATCACTCTCTGCGCTATCTAAGGTATCCAGGGTTTCTCCAAGTCAACTACGCCGACTAGTGCCAGTCATTAACACTATCCCGGGGAAGTATGATATGCTTGGGAATCATTATAAGAAGAGGCTAAACTTGGTTGCTAGGAGGACTGTCCTACAGAGTACTGTTCTGCAAAAGAGATCTCCTGATATTCAGCATCTCCTGACTACTGTCCCAGAACCTCGGGGTAGCAGTGGGGGTATTGCCTTCCACTGTATGATGGCTACAGCCTTCCCATCCTTGAATATAGTAAGCTCTATTGTTCAAGATGGGGTGAGTTGCAAAGGTTGTCAGGCTGCATTAGAAACAGGTAACCGTGACATTCTTGATTACGAGCTCCGGGATCGATCATACTCAAAAGAGGGATTCTTAATTCATTTTCAATCATGTGAAGAAGCGCAGAAACTGTGGCAAGCAAGCAATGGGGGAACTGTTTCAGTTGAAGAACCTGTATGCACAAGAGACGGTGGGTTTATTTCCAAGTTACAAGCAGAGCAGTATTATAAATAAAATGTCTACTTTCTTATTCTTTCACACTTTCCTTAGTTTAGTCCATATAAGAAACTTCATACCCGCAATATGAGACAATCTGAACTAAAAACATTTGAGGATGCTGGTGAATATATATATATGGTGCTCGTCTTGATGCGGCTTGTCCACTTCTCCGCGCCAACTCTTGAACTGGCCAACTCTCCACCGCTGCCTAGGTAGTTGTCATTTGTTTCTGGGTCCGAAAAGTATTTCCTTTGTTCAGCTAATTTTGTCCGTCTCAGCTGGGTTAGAATCCAGCTCAAGACCCACCGCCCCACGAGTCTTAACGCATTCCAAGGCATTTCTCTTGCGACCTTTTCCACTTGCGTTCATCATTTCCTTCCTGGGGCTCACTGCGGAAGAAATACAATTCCTGGATTAACTTTTCCATCTTGCCTTTACTTACGGCCCTAGCGATCATGGACCCTCCCACAACACTCAAACTCATCTCCATGGAAGTCGGCAGTCCGAGATTCGAAAACTTCTTTCGCATCTTGGCTGGTAGCCATGTCAAGTATATCACTACATGCCCCGGCGCTCTTGACCGCGAGGCTTTGATGGACATGCCACTGAATTTCCCCAATATTCTTCCGCCCTTGCCATACGAGCAAGCTACCTGGAACACCGCTCATATATTTGGCAATGAGGCTACGGGAAATTTAGAATCCAAGTTGTCGACCCGCGAGATGGCCCGCATCAGCAGCGCTTGGCATCCAACCCTCGTCGATTTCCTCCATTTACAGAAGATAAAATCGATGGGACTCTTTGTTCAACTTTGCACGCTGACAACCGATCCGACACATAACCACCGAAACGGCACTGGAGAAAGGGTGATCGCCAAGATGGCCCGGTTTGAGTGGGAAATTCGGTACCTTGCCCGCGAGACCCTGGCGTACCAGTTACTCCATGGCACTGGTATTGGACCCCGAGTATTGGGTCAGATCCACGAGCAAGGTCGCGTTATTGGCATTCTTCTTGAAATAGTTCAAGGTCGTTCCGCTGGGATCGACGATTTACCTCAGTGTCTAGCAGCGTTGAAGCGCTTGCACGGTATGCGCATTCTCCACGGCGACTGCAACCGGCACAACTTCATTGTTGGGTCAGGGGGGAAGGTTACGTTGATTGATTTTTCCGAGTTCAAGGAAAATGCTACAGATGAAGAGTTGGCTGCAGAGGAGGAATCCCTTGCGGGAAAATTGGAAGATGATAGCGGTTTGGGGGATTATGGGGTTATTGATGAAGACTAAAAGACCAGGCTAGCAAGATGCAAACAGTCAATCAAACCAGAGACGCCTTTAGCAGGAGCGATGACGTGAGATATGGATTAATTCGAAGGTACTAATAAAAGAAGCACCATTCATCTGTGGCTGATGAGACAGCCTCGCTGTTGTGATTGATGATAGTGACGTGGGTGGGAAGATCTCGGCTGCGTCATTGGCTTGATCAACTGCTACTAATAATTGAATGGATCATGACGTTTCAGGGGCTCTCAAATGAAGCCATTGGGCCAACCATGAGATCGCTCTGGGCAGCCCCTGTCGGGTCCCCTTCCATTTCTGGTAAGATCTTCTCATGGTGATCAGCTTTGGCTCGCGCCACCACAATAAGCCCAGCTCGAGAATAGTGGTTAAGAAGGATGATGCTATATTCACAGATAAGACCTAAACAGCATAAAAGGACCCGGTGCTATTTCGTTTCTTCCTCGAGATAATTACTTGCAGTTTATATAACTCATCAAACCCTTAGTCTTTCTATACAATAAGGCCTCCAATTGCTCTCCTACCCTTTTCTTCCGTCCCTTAGAAACAGAAGCCAATTGACATTGGATCACAAATGGATTCCCATTACAGCACCAGTGATTTCGCTCCGCCTACAGGGCCTCCCCCTGGCCACCTTTCTCAAGCTCCCAATGAAAAGAGTGCCGCGTTCAGACAACCATCACCTCCATACCACGACGCCCCTCCGTCCTACCAAGACAAGGCTTACAACGAGGGCAGTGACCAAGGACGATTGACGCCTCCAAGAGACCATGAGAAGTCACACCATATTCCCAGCACATCTCCACAGCCCGGGATGTACGTCGTGCAATATCCCGGCGCGATTCCCCAGTTCCCGCCCCAGGTGAACATCAAGAGCAAGACCTCGTGGACAGGCCGCGCCAATGTCGAAGCAGGCCCTCTAACAGCTACACTGGGCATGAGCGGCCGGACTGAATTCCTCGTCGGCGGCGAGCAGGGCCAGAAGGTCGCCGAGGCCACGGCGGAGAACATGCTGCAACACAGTGCCGCGCTGCTGCTCAACGGCTTCAGCACGCAAATCACATACAAGAGCAGCAACTACTTTTACAGTGCGCCCGTCAACGGCGCCATGCTGGATCTTGAGTGGCGCGTCCTGGGCAAGCGCAGCAAGATGAAGCGCTTCTTCGGCGGTGTGCACTCCCTGGAGCTGGTGACGCCGGGAGCTGCCGAGACGGAGGAGCCGTTCGCGACCTGGCATCCTGCCGCGGGGTACCTCAAGAGAAATGGGGATATTGGACGTTTGGAGTTTCATGGCCGGGCGCTGTCTGGAGAGATGGGGGATGTGTTCAACCTGATGGCCGTCTTGACAATTATCAAGGTTTACTTTATGATCCACGAGGCCACCATGAAGTGGAGTGTGTATGGCGCCGCAGTTGCAACCTAGATGCTGCTATTCTATGTATCCTTCTACTGATTCTCCTTTGTATAGTTATATTCCCCTATATGAGCGAATGCAAGACTGTTTAAACGATGGATGAACTGTAGGAAACTTCACAGTGATAAACAAGTCACGTAGGGAGGTGTGTTGTGTCTCTGACCAGTCATTCTGGCGTTAGATATATTATTATATACATAGATTTGTTTCTCTTTAGTTTCAAAGAGCCCACGAGGATCCGCCAGCGATAGCGTAGAAGCATTGTCGCCAGAAGAACGAATCCTCGGTTCGAACCCACCGTCCCGGCGATAGCGTAGCAGCATTGTCGACGTCGAGATAAATCTCGGATGACAGCGAATAAGAACTCTATGGGAGTGAAATACAAACTCGCTTGATTATATACAGTGTGCCTCCGCTAGCGGAGGATACAATGAGGGATGTCATAAGTCATGTCTCCTGGTCCTGTTAGGAGAGTGGGTATATGTGGTTGGAAATGTGACAGTTTTACGTCAGTGACTTGACGGGGGACTTCTCAAAGCTCTTCATGGGCTCGAGACCCCAACGCCCGAACATGGCCTTGTCCTCGTCCCAGCCGTTGCATTCGGTCGTCAACATCTTCTCGCCGGTGAAGATGGCATTAGCACCTGCCATAAAGCACAACGCCTGCTCTTCCTCTGACATGGTTGTTCGACCAGCAGCGATACGGATGATGGTACTGGGCATGACGATCCGGGCGGTGGCAATCGTTCGAAGGATGGTGGTGAACTTGACACGCTCGCGGTCGCCCAGCGGTGTTCCCTTGATGGGCACGAGGGCATTGACGGGGAAGCTTTCGGGGTGTGCGGGAAGGGTTGAGACGGTGTGCAGAAGCCCGATACGGTCCTTGGACATCTCACCAAGGCCCAAGATACCTCCAGAGCAGACGTTCAGACCAGCTTCACGAACGTGGTCCAGGGTTTTCAAGCGCTCGTCGTACGACCGGGTGGAAATAATGGACGGGTAGAACTCGCGGCTTGTGTCGACATTGTGGTTATACGCCGTCAGTCCAGCCTCCTTGAGCTCAATGGCCTGCTTGTCGTCGATCATGCCGAGCGTCACGCAGGCCTCCATGCCCATGCCACGGACGCCCTCGATCATGGCCTTGATGTTTTTCAGACTGTTCTTCCGTCCGCGCATGTCGCGCCACGCAGCACCCATGCAGAATCTGGTGCTGCCGTTCTGCTTCGCCTTCCGGGCAGCCTCGAGGACAGACTCGACCGACTCGACTCGCTTCGCTTCCAGGCCGGTGCCCTTTTGGTATCGGGTCGATTGTGCGCAGTAGGAGCAGTCTTCGGTGCATCCGCCAGTCTTGATGTTCATGAGAGTGCAGAGCTGAACTTCGGCCGGATCGTGGAAACGACGGTGGACGGAGCCCTAAGATCATCAATCAATTGAGCCACCGGGGTAGAGTAGAATGGAAGGCAGACTTACAGCTTGGAAAGAGAGTTCGAGCAGCGGCTGGTAGTAGATGGCGGATATCTCCTCTCTCGTCCAGTTGTTCCTCGTGGTGGTAGCGGCAACGGCCTGGCGGAAGACGTGACGGACATCTTGGATTTCCTTCGATGGCGGGGGAGGGGCCTCGAAGTCGGTTGTCACGCGAGTCTTGTCAGTCGCCAACGTGGCCAAGCTTCGCGTGGATTGCGTCCATCGCGCTGCTCGACGACAAGCAAGCCGAGCCGGGGCCGTGCTGAGAGAGCGTGTCAAAGGCATCAGATCCGGATGCCGAGGCGTGTCTCTGGTGTTTCCGTTGTTTGTGTCTTAAGAGCTCACCCCGGCCAGCTTCTTTTCTCCTCATCCCCGGTCACAGTGTTAATAGCAGTTTGTCTGTTTCCGGATACTGTGTTTCCCCGCTTCCCACCAGTAATATTGCGGGCTTTTCCAAGCTTTTCTCTGATCAGACCAGAGATCTTCATTGGCTGATCTTGTGAGCTACCCTATGCCGACAGCCAAACCTTTGACACTTCACCAGAGGAATGGTCCTCAAAGAAAGAAGAGATTCGGTTTTTTTTGTTAGTATATACATTTGTTTCTAATTTCAAGAAATGAGATTGTAAACCCCAGGTTATTTCATAAACACCCCGACCAAGCCAAGAAAATGATGTTTGCGTCTGGACCACTACAGCTTCAAAGGCCAAACACATGCAGCTTAACAGCCACCTCAAACGGGCCTCAGTTTTCTTTTCCAAAGTCCCCAATTCTTTTTAGACTTGGTGTGAAACGATCACGTGATTGAATGGATAGAGTTGTTTATTTTTAATTTCTCATTTTCACTCCAAGCCACAACAATACATACCCCTGATCGCCGACACCGGAGACATCGCGTCCGCATCGGTAGGTAGGTAGTCGGGGCCTGTCCCGACTTTTAATACATACATTGGTTGCGGCCCATTAAGAAAACAATATTATCTAGAGTATGATAACTCTTTATACTTGCTACCATGAGTAACAGTTGTGAATCCGCATCACTGCTTCTTACGCGATTTATGGGTTCTCGGAAGAGCCAGCTTACTTGCTGGCATTTCACCTGTTGCAGAGAACTCGGTAGATGATGCGCGTCTTGGCAATCTGGAGCTCAACGTGATGGTCCCGGCGTCACCTGAACAGCCTTCCTTATGATTCAAAAACAGTTAAACACCCGGGAGATATCGTACTATCTACATGTATGGTGGACTCGACCCGGGTAGACTAACACGAGCATTACTTAACAGATAAGAGCATGCATTGCCCGTTGCCGTTACCCGGTGCGTGCTACTCTGCACACCCCCAACCCTGACACTGGCTCCGCATTCCCACCTGCCTTTATTAGTGGTTCTGGAGACAACCTCTAGCTCCGGCGAACCACAATCTATGCGGGGAAGATGTTGATAATCGGCGAAGGATGTGTACTGGGATTATAAATATGTTTGCTCTGCTCTCAGTTCCTTTTCTAATATTTCATTACCTTGACTATTTAGTGAGTAGTTGACGCTGATCTCCGTTGTGATACTTCCCACCAGCATATTCACATTCGACCTCTTCCTCTATCATGGACCAAGGTACGCTTGAGAAGAAAGGAATCGATGCCGATGGCATGCAGCTGGCCCAGATGGGACATTCTGAGTCCTTTAAGCGAACATTCAGCCGTTGGACCATGCTGGGCCTTGCCTTTGCCATTCTCAATTCCTGGTCTGCACTTGCTACCTCGCTCTCCCTAGCTCTGCCATCTGGCGGACCCATCGCCGTCGTCTGGGGTCTGCTGACGGCGGGTGTATGCAACCTTGCACTCGCGGCCAGTCTCGCCGAGTTTCTCTCTGCGTATCCAACGGCTGGCGGCCAGTATCACTGGGTGGCAATGGTGGCCCCGGAGTCTCTCAAGACGGGTCTCTCCTGGGTGACTGGCTGGATCAACGTCTCGGGCTGGGTAGCCCTCGTGGCGACCAACTGCTCCATGGCCAGCACCCTGATCATCAACATCATCTCTCTTCTGCACCCGGCATATGACTTCCAGCGGTGGCATCAGTTCCTCATATACCTCGCCGTCGCCTTCATCGCCTTCGCCACCAATGCTTTCCTCCATTCCATCCTCCCCCGCATCAACGGGTTCGCGCTCGCATGGAGTCTAGCTGGTTTTCTCATCATTTCCATTGCCGCCCTCGCCCGTGCAGCTCCCGACTACGCTACCGCCGAGTTCGTGTTCGCTACTTTTATCAACACTACTGGCTGGCCCGATGGAGTCGCTTGGCTTTTGGGTCTCTTGCAGGGCGGCCTGGGCCTCACTGGCTTTGACGCTGTCGCCCACATGATTGAGGAGATCCCCAACGCCGCCGTTGAAGGACCAAAGATCATGATTTACTGCCAATACATCGGAATCAGCACGGGATTCCTCTTTCTCGTCGTCTTACTGTTTGTATCTGGTGGATCAGCGAATGCGGATACAATTATTACATCTCCGGCTGGCCCCCTTCTGGAGATCCTCCACATAGCCATCAACAACAAAGTTGGCGCCGTGTGCCTTCTCATGTTCCCCCTGGTCTGCATCGTCTTCGCCGCCATGGCCGTGCTGACCACCTCCTCTCGCATGTGCTTTGCTTTCGCCCGGGACGGAGGTCTACCTGCATCTCGTCTCTGGTGGAAGGTCGACAAGCGGCTGGGGGTGCCCCTGAACTCGCTGTATCTCAACTGCTTCATAGTCGTCGTGTTCGGATGCATTTATCTAGGTTCTACGGTCGCTTTCAACGCCATCGTGGCAGCTTCTGTTGTTGCACTTGGTTTAAGTTATGGTATTCCTGTCGCTCTTAATCTCATCTCATTGAGGACCAAGCTCCCCGAGAGGGCATTCTCGCTTCCACCTTGGCTTGGCTGGGCCGCAAACATCATCGGCGTGGTGTACACGATTATCACCACCGTCCTGTTCTTATTCCCTCCCGGGCTTCCCGTAACTGGGACGACGATGAACTACTGTATTGTGGCGTTTGCCGTGATTGTTGTCATCTCTCTCGTCCAGTGGATTGTTGATGGCCGGAAGAATTACCATGGTCCCCGTATTACCACCGGCCTAGACGAGGAGTAAGCCGATGACGTAGAAAGTTAGATACTATGTAGCTATCTCAATACAAACTCCATTTTAGATTTCATCCATCGGTCAAGCTCTCCCAACAAATAGATGGTGAACGCCTCGGTCGTTCGTTTATGATGCTGCATCTGGTAAGTCTATGCGATCTGTGATAGCGAACCAATGGATGACCCTCAGCGGCTTCAAAGGGGTGTGTAGGCATCATCAGCACTAAGTCCCCGCTCTATAGCCGCCCCCGCAAATCGGCCTGGGCGCTATCTACAGCACACCGGAGCCGCTATAACCCCTGTAGCCAGCCACCCGTCCAGCACATTCCTGTTTAGGCAACAAATTGGGCCATTCCCAGCGTTGGATTCATTTTACGCCGTGAGATCGTTCATTGGCCCTGGATTGAAACAGAAATTAGTGTTGAGATCAGCCCCATGAGCAGTGAATGTTGCCAGCAAGGAATGCTTGTAGGAGCCGTCGGAGGTCCCCGGGTTGTGATCCATTGGTTACTGATAACTAAAGCCTAAGTGGATAATTCATAGAACAACAAGTGAATCGGCTATTTTACATCTTTTCTTGGAGGGGGCTGATTAGAAACAATGGTTTAGGTAAAATTGAGAGGACCGATTAGGGCTTGAGTCTGCCAGTAATGGTCTCGAGATACAATGGTTTGGCTAGGTTGTTATCAATGCTCTCTAGTACCGTTCACGTCTAACCTTTCCATGGTTATTCCGCATTATTGTTCTCAAAGGTATCTAAATCCCACCCATTCTCATCGTCATACTCGTCTTCAAACGTAGTACCGTGGAGAACCTCATAATTCTTCATCGGCCCAGAACTTTCCCCGTAGATGTCCCCACCGAGCAGGCTTGCCACGCGTTGCCCAGCCTCCTGGCCCTCATACCATGCTCCCTGTAGATACCCAAAAAATAGGGGAGCGGTGGCCTCGCCGGCAAACCACACACGATCTACGTTGGCTCGTAGATTCTGGTGTCTCTCCAGTGTGACACCAACTGGCCAGTTGCTATAGGACCCGTATGCCCACCTATCACATCGATTGACAGTTAGAAAGAACTCACGGAGCTGCTGGGGAGAGGGGGAAGAAGGCTCTTACTCTTGGGTGTTCCACCGAGGGTAGAAAAATGCTGTAGGTTCGGGAATCTGCACGCCTGGGAACATCGAACGCAAGACCTCCATGACCTCTGCCTTAGTCTCCTCGTCTGTTTGGTTCTCCACAACGTAGGCTTGGTCAGCGGTGACCGTCACAAAGATGATATTGGAGCCTTCATGGAATCCTGGTCCGGTTAGAGACTGGAACACCGGATACCTGCCTCGCTCGTGAGGGTCTGCATAGAGGAAGAACTGTGTGTTCTCATCCCAGAAAGTCTCGTTGAATTGCATGAAGATCTTAGTGTAGGTGCTCATGCTGAAAGACTGGATGGCTTCCATCTTCCACTGAGGAAGCTCCGGCTCGAATGTGACAACCTCGTTCTGGAGGACGCCGAGAGAGAACGTGCAAATGGCGTGCTCGGCTTCTATGCAGCTGCCGTCCTCCAGTTGGACCTGGACGGAATCTTCAGAATAGTTGATGGTGGTCACTTTTTTGTTGAGCATCAGGCGATCGTCCCCATCCTTGAGAAATTCCTTTGCTTCCCCATTGATCATAGCATTGAGACCGCGCTGATCCCAGACGAAGTTGTTCTCGTCGCTGAAATGATTGAACGTGGCATTTTCGCCTGCCACACCGAAAAGGAGGCTGCTTGACTCGGGAGGCTGGGCGGCATTGAAATCCCACTCCCACCACTCGATAGCCTGAGCATGCATATCCTTCTGTGGCCTCCAACCAGCCAAAGAGAGCCCAGCCCGAACGCTAACATCCTGGAGATTCTCTGCAAGAATATTTCCCGATTCTGCCTGGCACACTGCATAAGTCTCATCCCATTTATCCATCAGTTCGAGATAGTCAGAAGGGCCGCTCTCATCGTAGCTGATGATAGAGCTGTAGTTCGAGTAGGTATTGTTAATACCGTACTTCTTCCCCAAAGTCCAAATAGGGTTCTCAGGACCATCGGTAACACCCAGCCCTTGGAACCAGTTGGCACCTAGCTCCACGATGTAAGGTGTTCCGTCTGCTTTCTTGCCGAACTGGGTGTGTGTGACACGGCCTCCAATGTAATCGTTTCGGTCAACGATCACAAAGTCGTTGACAGAGGCGTTGGCTAGTGCTTGACCAGCTGTGATACCAGCAACACCAGCCCCGAGGATCGCCACTTTGGTCTTCCGGCAGGTGCCTGTGCTGTTGTCTCGCCGGGGGAGGGCCGCCGAGTCAACCCCTAGAGGGAGGACCAGAGATATGGCGACAGCTTGGAGCAGATATGAACGCATGGCGAGGAGAATATGTAGAGATATGACAGTTGCCGACAGAAAAATGACAAAATGCTATCGCCCATGACATGCTTTATAAATACGAAAAGTCACAATCTGGGCATACGGCATTTTATACTTGAAACTTTTGCTCAACTCTGGATGATTAAATCCTCGCCATTCCGCCCTTCCCATACGGAAGACATCCTATCTTTCCCCTTGGAGATTGGCTCCCTGTACTGGCCAAGGATGATACCTTCTTGCCTCTGTTAGTAACGCCCTAGAGGTCAGATTACGAAGCCCAATCGCAGCCTGCATTGATATGTCATGCGTGTGCAGGAGAAGGAGATTAAGCGGCTCCGGATTTCGGCACCCACCTTGAAGGCTAGGTATGTCGAACTAGCCGGTAGAACGAATGCGGGGAACGGTGTATTCGTTGAGTAATGGAATCAGGCAATTTGATCAATAATTGCTGAAAGAATCCCATCAGTCGCTTCTCCGGTTCGCATTCACTTTCCTTCTTGGTCGTGGTGCGTAGATGAACAGACTCCACCAATGACTGGCCGGCTCGAAAGGGCAATAAGTTGGGCCACGGATCATGGGGCAGACTTGACAACCCACTTCTTTAGATAGGAGGCTCTCTCTCGGCCCGAGAGGCTCCATCTGGCGATCTTAGGCAGATTGATTTAATCAGTCTGAGGGCACTTTTGGTTTCATCTCAAAAGGGGCAGGCAAATGGAGAGCTCAAATATGGGGAAATCCCCTGTTAGTGCATTTGGCTATCTCTATGTTGTCTACATTGTTATTTGTAACCGGAGCCAAGATGAGCAATCCTTAACTTGTGAAATTCTAGGTAGGTCGCCCCTGAAAAATGAAGAGGTGGATGACGAAGCATTGAAGCTTGCCTACCCAAGAAGCCTTTTTCTTAGCCACAATTGATGAGCTAAGTTTCAACAGGTTTAAAGGCAACCTTGATACCACTCTTTGGGAGAATAGTCGACCGCCACTCCAAAAACCGATTTTCCTTTCCATGTATAAGCTCAGTATCATACTTAAGAACGATCTGGCCTATGATAACCTTCATGATCGCAGCGGCGTAGAATCTTCCAGGGCTAATAGCAACAGGTATCAGTAAGTTCATATTACTAAAAGAGTTGAAATGGGATTTACCAAGCCATTCGTCCAGTACCCCAGACATGGTATGTGTTTTCGACATCGGTCAACTTAGATGGGCTCAGCTGTGAAATCTCGAATTTTCCATCCTTATCACTTAGAAGAGATGGCTCGACAAAGCGAAATCCGTTAAATCGCAGTGGGTTAGGGAAATATTCGGGATCCTGCATAATAGCACGCACTGGTGTGCAGGCCCAGTCTCCGACTTCAAGTTTCAGGCCATTTGAGAGCATAAACGGCTGCAAAGCGGATCGGCGAGTGCTCTCTGATAAAACGGGCAAGTTAGCAATCTGCCGAATGATGGCCTTCTCCTTAGCTACATGTATTAAGGAAAGATAGTAGGGATGGAATGGAAGAGTCTTACGAGCTTCAACTGGGGTTAAACGAGCCGACTCCTTAATGAAGCTGTCAAGAAGGGGAAGCCCTTTGCCAGTCTTTTCGAATTCGGCATACCCCGCCTGGAGCTCCGCCCTCAGGGGTTCGACGTACTCGGGGTACAGGCAGAGGTCATGAATAGCAAATGTGACGGTCTAAAGCATGTTTAAATCGCGGTGGTCAGCATCACAAGCTTAACTGTCAAGCCATTTTTTTGGGGTGGTCGTGGGGGCATACGGTGGAGACTGCATGGACAGATCCAAACCAAATAGCCATCAGCTCATGCACAACACGCTTCGCCGACCATGGCTTCTGTCGAGGTGAGGTGTCCATGATCCACTGGATGCAATCCGCCTGTATTCAAATGCCCGAGTTAGCTTGCGCCATGGCATGCACAGCTGGTGATAGTCTTACGTGTTCAGGAACCATCTGTCCCATAGCCTTCAAGTCCCTTTCCTCAACTCTTTGCTCGGCAATTGGCAGCAGAGTGTTGTAAATGACATCTTGCGCGGTCAATCGGCGTCCGAGAATGCTGCCAATCACACTAGACTCCGGGTAAGTATCGTGGTAGCTTGTTCAGGCAGCAGAGGGTTTGTTTCTCTTACGGTCTTATGAACGTCGGAAGGACGCGGACAATCTCGGCACAAATCAAGGTTTCCTCAATGTACTCTAAAGCGGAGACCATGAAGCCGTCGTTCTTGGCTGGGTAAATTGTCAACGGTTAGTACTTCTTGTATCTGAATCATGGGCGGTAGCGTCATACCGAGATCCTTGCCAAAGAATGAAACTGCATTCGACAAGACAACGAGCTTCACAACAGCTGGATACACAGGGTACTGCTTAGTGCCTGCATTCGTCCACTGTCAGCATGAGCCATTTTCGATTCACGCTTCAAGCTTGCCCACCATTAACAGTTGGGTATGAGTCTCCAATCTCTTCTAGTCGGGATCTGATGATAGCGCTAAGATCTGGAAGGATTTGCGGCAGATTGTTGGTCAACAAAGTTCGAAGCGCGCGGATGAAGCCAACGCCTTCAGTCCCCCGACGGTCAAACCAATTGAACTTCTGCATCGTATACATCGGTTGCAACATCTAAGGTCGCTCATGTCAGTTACTTGGTTGCGAGGAGCGAAAGAGCCAGCAGCAATTACCTGCTTGGATGCTGCCTGCAGGGAGAGAACAGTGTCCGGGGCCTGGTCGAGCTCCTTGATGTGCTCAGGTGAAGAGACGAACACGTAGCGGTTATCCGGTGCATGAATCTCGAATGGCTGCCGATTGGACTTCGCTGGGTGAGCTCAACAGTCTTAATCACACGCAACGATACAACGTACCCGGTCATATTTGTGCTGGATGATCTTCTGGCCTCTGAACAAGTATTCCCAACTCCGGCAGTAGCTCACAACCGCCAAGATGAACTTGAGAATGGGCTGCAAAAGGCTTAGTAGACTGCGAGTGGGTTCCTATGGCGCGAAAGCTCTTGCTTGTTGAACTTACGATTTTTGACAGGGCCACACTTGCAATCATCGCAATGACAACAGTGGGTACAACATTGGCCCCCAATGAAGCTGGCAACATCCACTGGACTTCCGTTTGCCCACAAGACGACATTATGGCCAAGTACTCTCAGTTTGGCCGAATAATATATGGGTTGACTTGACAAGCAAATGTCGTTGGATCTCTGAGCAACATTGCTTTGTGGTGAGGATGGGCCAGCCAAGATATGCTAGTTTTTACGATCTTCCCGCCCCCATTCCGTTTCCGTTGTCCATACCCTTTGGGTGAACATAAAACAATGATTGTTGGTCCTTAGGTCCTTAGGTAGAGGGTTCCACTCGGTAAGAATATTACTACTGTGTGGCTTGGTGATGTACATAGTAGCAAAAGAGCCATCCCAATCTGAGCGTTACATCAAATCATCCTACATGAATGCGCCAAGGTCCGCTAGGCTCAAGCATCCTTCCCACCAACCCACTCTGTTGGCCGGATGTCCCGCCTTCGGAACGAAGCACAGTGCCAATGTAACCAAAATACGAACAGTGTAAAGTCCCGACCTGCAGCATGAGCACCACCCATCCCTTCGTGGTATACGATCCTACGTGGTCTACCAAAGACACAAGAACATTGAACCCTACCTGCACGCCTTCATTAGTACTGAACCCCATAGGGTGAGATGACTACAGGGACCACCCAGTGAGGTCGTCGAGACAAGCTGTTATCGAGTGAATAGGGGCATCAGACAGCCAGAGAAGGCTGGGCATTCTTCGATTGACTCGAACACGCACCCGTTGTGGTACCCTTCGCCTCCACGCTTGGTCGATTGGATACAACTTTGAAGGGGGTAAACGTAAGCCGCCATCTGCCGCCCGGCAGTGCATTGAGGAAGCAACTCATGCTGCTGGACGGGACGCAATACATCAGTCAGGACAGGATCTTTTACAGACGAATGGCTCGGCGTAGTATTTATCATAGAAGCTCTACAGGCTCTCTCCTCTGTACCAGAACCTTGGGGCTGGTAGTGAAGAAATTAGGTACATTGAGCCACAAAACTGGCATGGTCCTTGGCTGGTCAGAGCCGACATACTCAAAATTGTAATTCAGGACCATTTCAGCAACAAAGATCTTGAGCTCGTTAAGGGCAAAGAAGCGGCCTGGGCAAGCGTGTTTGCCATATCCGAACGAAAGAAACCTGCCGTCGAGCGTGGCACTGGTCTTGGCCGGTTCACCAGACGTCGAAATGCTCTCCATGTCCTTGAAGGCATCGGTAACATTATCAATGCTCTGGCTTTGTACAAAACGGAACGGCTGGAACTCGCTAGGGTTGGGATAGATGGAGTCATCATAATGAATGGCTTGGACTGGGATTCCCAGGAGTGTACCGCGAGGGATGTTCAAGGTCGAGCCACCGTGTGGCACAATAATGCCCTTGGGGTCAATAACCTGATTGCGCAACGTATTAGAGAAATGACTAGCGCTCCCGAGAAGAGAGAAACTCACAGTCCGTGGTAAACCAACACTGAAGAATGGGGAAAGTCTCATTGACTCTCTAATGGTGGAGTCTGTGAGGCGCAATTTCGTCACTGATTGCCTTGTCCATTCCCCACCCGATGCCTTGAGAACCGCCGCAGCTTCGTCCCGCAATGCTTGGATATATCCCAAAGATTTATCAGACTTTGCGAGGTCTAGAATGATATGCTGTGCTGTGTACCCAGTTGAGTGCATCGAAATATCATTGATGAAGGCTAAACGGTGTGTAATTCTTTCAGGGTCTAGCTGCTTCACGTCGCCTGTGGCATAAGCTTCATCGATTAGCCACTGCAAGCCATCAAGCTTATCATTCATCGCCGTTAGTGATCCATCTTCTGAAAACCTAGCGAAAATTCATGAAAAAAAGCGCTCGCTTACCGGTGGTATCCAGTCATGATCAGCGTTGGTTTTCAGGAGCGCGGTATTTCGCAACCGTTCTTCGACGACAGGCTGGGCAATGCTGGTAACTCTCCGAAAGAGGAAGTAGCTCAACATGCCAATTGCATATCCAGATATCCATCGAAGAGGCTTTGGAGTGAGACTAATCAAGATGGAGCCGCCGAACATACACATAGCGTGGGCGCCGAGGCGCTCCAAGAACTCAACGTTCCGACCTGAAGTCAATGTTAGAGTTGGCTGTCTCATATTGAGCGAGAGGAGGTGGAATAGTGGACTGACATAGGGCAGGGCCGATGAAGGCAGCGTTTGCTGCACCAGCTACGATACGAAGTGAAGAGGCCCAAGGATCAACCAGTTTCCACTCGGTCTTCGAGATCCCCCACTCCCGCTTGAATGCGTGGATGAGCTCCGAGGCGACAGGCCCAGTGAGGTGGGCTAGGTTCCTCGTAATTTGGTTCTTGATGACATCCATATGGAACGGCTTCCCGTCAACCTCATCATCCCAGACGGTCCATTTCGTCTGGATGCTCTCATTGGCGGTCACTAGGACATCGAGGATCTTCTCTGGAAGACTGTAGATGGCCCTGACCTGATCTCGAGGGATAACCAGAAGGTTCCCTCTGTCAAGCGTGAAGATGACGAAGAATAAACCGGATTTTGAGTACTGGGATCATCATGAATCAGCAAAATTTCCCACAAACTGGCTATTCTTGCATAAGAATCACCTTGTGGTAGCCCTCGAAAACCCATTGCCTGGTTCGTGCAAAGGAGGCAACGGTTGCCTTGAGTTTCCCGAGGAAGTTGCCATTTGCAAATCCAATAGCTGGCTGCTTGCTCCAGAAGCCGTGGCTTTGAGCTGATTTCCAGACCACGGTGATAGACAGGACGAGAACAAATGCAAAGGTGGCCTTTGTCGCCGCGCCGGCCTGCTCCACAAACATTGAGGACATGGTGCTTGTTGTCAAGTGTGCGCAGAGATTGGATGACGAGCTGATCAACGAAAGCATGCTCTGGCAACCAGCCTACGTGCTTCTTGGGGTGTCGGAGACTGGCTAGGGGTACGGTCTTGTACACAAAGTACCCGACAGTGGAGGATCCTGGCCGTGTCGACGCACTGTGTAGCATCCGACGTAAGCGGGCCATTATGCACATCAGCCGCTCGCTCTGGGTGTCTAGTTGGGGGTGGCCGATCCATGACATGGGTGTGGACGGTGTGGGCTTGCCATCAGGCCTAGATAGTTAAGATGCCGCGGATGAAGAAGTGGACTAGAAAGGGGAAACACGCCCATGCCATGCCATGCCCACCAACCCTCCCGCGTGGAGACCTCGGGCAATGAGGGGAGGCCAAGACAAACCTCCTGTAGCCCACCTATGAATGAGCGCCACGCATTGACCCCAACAGAGAGCCTGTAGTAAGGTCGTATGAGAAACTTACGTATCCTACTGCAACATCGGTGAGGGTCGAAGATGTACGGTTCCGCTTTGGACTGGACTTGGAGGAGTTATGACTCAACTACCTACCTAGGTAGTTCGACAAGTTGTTGATACATAGTACATTTGTCCAATTATGGAAATCGGTGGTTGGAGTAGGATCAAGGCTAAACTAGTGCCTCCTTGGCAAATGAACTTCTTCATCTATGGGGGGTTTGCGTACACTTTCTAGGCTACAAGATGCCACTAAACTCAATTAAACAGCTTCCATCCTCCTGGCACTCCCCTTTGGAACAAGCCACGGGTATCATACTTGTTGCTTACGGTCTGCAGGAACTTCTTATTGCCGCTGCCATAGGAGCCAATGACGTCCTGGTGGTTGAACGCATAGTTCATGTATATGAAAGGAATCAATGTTCCTCGTGCCGATGCGTCACTCTTGATTCGCGCAAGGACCGACTTGACGGTGCCAAGAACAAGGCTGTCAGCACTCGGGTTATCCCACCAAGTCAAAAGGAGCACAGACATGATGGGACCGTTGCTCGGGCCCAGTCCTAGCACATTCCCGCCGTTGTTCGAAGTCTTCTCGAGGAGGGAAACGGCATACGGCTGGAGGGTTAATGATGATGTGATATTTTGGACATCATGGAGTGGCTGAATACCCGCAAGAAAGATGTCTGCAGCGGACTTCAAGGTGGCACTATCCATCTTGACGTGCAGGTTCATATAAGCGACCCTATTTTAGGAAAGTGGTTAGCGAAAAGGCGAAGATATGAAGTGTTGCGGGATGATTAACCTCTGGTGATTTGTGTTCTGGCTGGTCTGCTCATTGGCGGCATCAATGAGTGTCATGTTGCGCATAGAGTTCAGTGCGTCGATTTGTGGCTGTACATCGGTGAAAGGCTTCAGGACCTGAGGCGGTTCCGCCGTTGGCGCGGTATAGTAGACTTGGTTGAGACCCAGGGTTCCCCCAAAGGCCTCAAACTGCTTCGAGTATGCAACACTGATCATCAAATGCGTCTCGGAGGTAGTGGGGGAGTTGAGCTCGTTGACGATGGCATCAACTTGACTGGGGAAGCTCTGAGGGGGATAGAAAACACTCCCCCCATAGAAGGAGCCTTGTTGGAATGTGCGCATTGTAACCTTGGTCATAATGCCGAGGTTGTTACCTCCGCCACGCATAGCCTTGTACAAATCGGGGTTTGTCCGGGGGCCTGCGGTAATGACCTGACCTGAGGCCAAGACAACCTCAAAGCTGATGACATTGTCTGTAATGAAGCCTTCCCGGGAAGAGAAGAAGGAGAGACCACCTATTGGTAGGGTTAGCTCAAAAGTGACAGGACTAAGATGCATCTCACACAAGAAATTTCTGCCAAGAGAAAAGGAAAGGGAAGCGGAAAAAAAGTAAAGGCTCACCAGAGAGCACTAGACCACCAACACCGTTTGTGTTGGAGCGTCCGCCGGTCACACCCAGGCCGAGCGGCTGTAGTGTCTGATAGACAGTGCCCCACCTGACACCAGCCTCCAAAGTCACGGAATTGGCTGTGGGATTGATAGTGATGCCGGCCATGTTACGCAGATCAACCGTGACGCCCTGGGCTACATTGTTGCAGGCCGGAGTGGGCTGCTGACCCCCTCCTCGGACAGCGATGTAGGCAAGACCCAGCCTGACGAATGGCTGAACACATTTGACGAACTTGGCGACATCCGCAGAGGTGCTGGGTAAGAAGATGAGCACAGGCTCGAGGTCGCTGTTGAAGGTGGACAGGTAATCGCCGTTCAGCTTCTTGTACCGGGGGGTTCCTTGGAACACAAGGCGGCCATCATGGTCTCCAAACGCCTGCAACACAGCATCTGCGGCCGTGGTGCCATCCCTGGGAGCGACGGCAAGTGCACCTAGGGCAATCAGTGCCAAAAACAGGAGGAGATGGCGGGGGCCAAGCATGATTCTGTCAGCGTAGTATATGAGTGGCTTGCTTTGTTTGCGCAGAGTTGGTCCTTATTGGTTATAGGTAGGTATGGAGTTGGGGGAGAAGCAGTGTACAACATCGTGCACTACAAGAGGATTTTAAGGGGTCACCACCAGCCAAGTTCCAGGTCTATGAGTCTCACGGCTGGGCCTGACCGGTCGACTGAAGTCTCTTTGAGAGTTCTGTGCAACCCCATTGTGGCCACCGGTGCAGCCAGTTGAGGCGGGGTTAGCGGATGCAGCGGTGGTCGTTCAGGGGGGGAGGTCCCCGGAGATTAAGGAACACAGGCTGGCGAATCGCTAGCTTACCGAAGTCCCCTGGAAAACACGCCCCAGTGCGGCCGCCTCGGGCAGGGTTAGTGCAGGGGGCGGGCGGCGGTCAGAGCGGGAGTAAGCGGGCAAAATGGATCACTGCCTAGGTGGACCCCCCTTGCCCCCTCCTGCACGGGTAATAAACAACATACATACCTTAGGTAGGCTTGCATGGATTCTATTTCCTAGCCTGATGATGGGTGCATAAGTATTACGGCCCCGGCCTAGTCCATGAACACGCAGCATGGATCACATGCGTTCAATAGAGCACATACAGTACGTACAGTCCAGCCATAGGTATTTCAATAAATGCCGCACTGACCCTCCGAAGTGACCAGTCACAACTTGAGAATGACAAGGGGTGATACACGCGTGCTTCCTGGAAGCTCGGACAAGGGGTTAATATGTGGTGTGTGGGCAAGCTTTGGTGGGATCAATCTAATACGCGTATATGCGGTGTGCGTGGTGGAACCAAAGTTTACTGGGCAAGACAGAATGGATCTGGGTAAATATGTATTCAAAACAAGAAGTTCGGCGAGGCTGCGGCCGCCGCCCTGACATCCAACCTAACTAACTGGCCTGACCATTCTCTCGGCTGGAAGCTGAACCCTGAGGCTCCTTCTCCTCGTCGATGCCGAAATCCGTTTCAAGCTCGGTCCGGAGCTCCAAGCCCTCCTCGCCTGCTACAGCAAAGAAACTCAAAATGCTTATGCCTATTGTAAACCACCATACCGCTCGTAAAGCTCTCGTGTAAACGTCATTTACCTGGTCCCAGACGTCTTGGGGGTATTCATCTTGCTGCACGTGGGCTTGGCTGGCAAATGAATACGCGGCTCCGCCACGGAGCGAATCCTGCAGATGTGCATCCGGGATGCGGTGCAGGTTCATATCGACAACCGAGCTGAAAATGATGCCGGGGACGGTGATGCCCCAGATGAGACCAAAGTTGCGGACGAAACTGTAAGCGGCCGATGAAAGGGCAACGTCGGATTCGGGCAAGCCTGCCATGATAGCAGGCAGCATGGTGGACATGGTAATGCCCGTCCCAGCGGCTGCGATGAGCTGGAAGAAGGCCCACGCCACCGTCTTGGTTCCAGAGTCAAGCAAGGTGAAGAGCCCGAAAGCAATGGCGGAAATGGCGAAGGCGGCAGCATGGACTGGACGATACGCACCAAACTTACTCAGCAAAGCGCCGCCGAGGACCGCCGAGAAGAGCGCGCCCATTGCATAGGGCAGAAAGTATGTCCCGGACTGTAAAACGGTCGTGTTGAGCACTCCTTGGAAGTAGACGGGTATCAGATATGTAGTGGCCTGGATGAGGATAGATGAGAGGAACGTCAGGACAAACGCCGTCGCTGAGGTTCGGTTCGCAAACAGGCGTGACGGCACGCTCGGGTGTGTTGCAATGAAATGCTGATGCAGGTGGAACGCAGCCCATCCAAGGACTCCCAAGATCAGGGGCACGATGACGCGCCAGGAGGACCATGGGTATTGTACTCCTCCCATGATCAAGCCGAATAAGACGGCGAAAAGGCTGGGGATGAGAAGCAAGGCTCCTACGTAGTCTACCTGCTCCCTGACGGCCGTGGTCCAGGGCACATCTGTGGATCGTGCTCGGGGCTTCAGGAAGACGAGAAGCAGTGCCAGGGCAAGGCCGCAGATGGGCAGATTCATCCAGAAGATCCAACGCCAGTCCGCCTCAGCCAGAGCACCACCGACTGGCGGGCCAAGAGCAGCAGCTACTCCGGCTCCGGAGAACATCATGCCCAAGTATTTGCCTCGCTCGCGAAGCGGCACCAAATCACAGCATACAATGTCGATGAGAACGTAGATACCGCCAGCGCCCACGCCCTGGACGGTGCGGCCCGCGATCAACATGCCAACATTGCGGGAGCCGCCACCGATGCCACTGCCGAGGGCGAAGACGAGAATGGAGAGTGCGAGAGGGTACCGTCGGCCGAAGATGTCGGCCATCTGACCGAAGAGTGGCTGGAGGACAGTCGAGGAAATGACGAAGCAGTTGGCGATCCAGACAAACTGGGAACCGCCGCCTATGTCGGCGGTAATCTTGGGCAGCGCTGTGGCTATGATGGAGACATCCAGGGCCGAAATGAAGGCCAGAACGCAGAGGGCAGCGAAAACGCCCCAGAATCGAACGCCGCGCTGCACCTGAGGAGCGTCTTCCGCCATGATGAGGTTCTTTGCCTGCCCGGTTTGAAGGAGGACACAGGCTGAAGAGGAACGAATGAACGAGAAGTGTGGTAGGGTACAGCGAATCTCTGGTGGTATGGGGAGCTCTCTACTTGGGCGTGGAAATTCATAGAATTCAGGTGCAGGTGCGGCTGGGCGTAGAAACAGGCTGCTGCCTGGGTGGCTGAGACAACGCGCGGAACTTTTTTTATGCGTGCCAACAGCCAACACGGCACAAGGTAGCACTGATGCATGTAACCAACCTGCGTGGAGCCAACCCAGCCAAGACTGTTGGCTGCGAGCCCCAACAGTGTGTGACGCAAGGTGCATGTGCACGGTGATATTTTACGTCCATTGTTCATGTTGGTCGTGATTAGAGTCCGTGCCTTAATAAGATACGGTAAAGGTAGTAGTGCCCGCCCCCCTTGTCCTCTCCACCAAATCGCTCGAAACCATCATCCACTCTCATCCCCATCTTGAGCTCAATCTGTCACCCCATATCTTCCTCAATCGTCGACCATGACTGCCTCTCCAGCTCTATCTGCTTTGCAGACAGCCTTCCCAACCGAGCAGATTGCTCTACCGGGAAGTGAAACGTTTGACGCCCGGATCAAGTCATACCTGTCTCTCCTGCAGTGCGAGATCACTCCAAGCGCAATCTTCCTGCCCAAGAGCAAGGATGAGATCGCATCTTTCCTCAAGATTGTCCAGGAGCATGGGGAGACGTTTGCGATCCGCGGCGGTGGCCAGCAGCCTTTGCCCGGCTGCTCCAACATCGAGGGCGGCATAACTCTTGACCTTGCCGGTATCACTGGTGTTGACCTCAACGACAAGAATGACGTTGTGTCCATAGGTGCTGGTGAGCGTTGGGGCGCCGTCTATAGCAAGCTCCATGAGAAGGGACTCTCCGTCACGGGAGCCCGCTCTGGGAACAATGGCGTTGGGGGATTGGCCCTGTCCGGTGGCCTCTCCTTCTTCAGCTCCCGCGAAGGCCTTGTGTGCGACAATGTGGTCAACTACCAAGTTGTCTTGGCGTCTGGACAGGTTGTTGATGCCAATGAGAAGGAGAATGCCGATCTCTTCAAAGCCCTTAGGGGCGGTGGCAATAACTTTGGCGTCGTCACCCGGTTCGACATGAGAACCTTTAAGCAGGGGCCCTTCTGGGGTGGCGCTGTATTCTATTTCCCAGACCAATTTCCTGCCCAGATTGACGCTCTCGTTGGTGAGCTGAGCAGGCCGGATGCGTCAGAGGAGACTCATATCATGATCAGTCTATTCTTTGCTGCCCAAATGGGGCAGGTCATGGGCCTAAATCAGGTCTATTACACCCAAGAGGTCCAAAACCCACCCCATATCCAGCCTTTTGTCGCCATGCAGCCTCAGATGGATCAGCTCAACTCTATGCGCATGACCACTGTCAAGGCAGCGGCGGAAGAACAAGCTGCTATGGCTATGACCGGTGTACGGTAAGCTGCTGACCCCGTGGTTTTCATTGTCTGATATTCGGTGCTGACAGCAATCCAGGTGCGCTTATGTGAATACCACCGTCAAGGCAGACAGCGCCACCCTAGAAGCTGCAGCCAAGGTCTTCAGCGAAGCGCTTGAAAAGGTCAAGGGGTTCGAAGGTATTGTGTTTTCGTTCACACTGCAGCCATACCCGCTATCGCTTCTCGAGAAGACGAGTCGATTTGGAGGCAACATCCTGAATCTCAGCCCGGAACATGGCCCTCTGGTTTCGATCCTCATCTTGATGTACTGGAAGAATGCGAGCGATGATGAAGTAATTCTAACCCAGAGCCGAGAGGTCCTTGCAGCCATCGACCAAGACGCGCAAACACGAGGCACTGCAGTTCCCTACAAGTACTTGAACTACGCATTCAGCTTCCAGGATCCAATCAACTCATATGGCGAGGAGAACAAAAAGGCGATGCTTGAGGTCTCGAAGAAGTATGACCCGAATGGGCTTTTCCAGAAGGGAGCTGTTGGCGGGTTCAAGCTATCTGTCTAAGCTTTTCATAAGTTGTTCTCAAGGATAACTTTAGGTAGATCTGACAATGCATGACCCTGAACAAATACGTAAATTGATCTATGCTACTTTTTAATATTCTGAACCCTTCAAACTAAACTGCCATCTGCACATGGGGAAACTGTGATACTTTTTGAAAAAAAAAAACGGTTCCAAGATGCCGTCGACCACGAACCTGAACAGACCGGACAACTTCCACGCAATACACCCGGCTTAGGCCGGGTCGGCAGAAAGCTAGGATGGGGTGGAGGTAACGAAGTTTAATCACAATCATGGGGGGAGGGGTGCAAGGACGTGTATGTGTGTTTGAGAAAGACAAGTAGGCTTGTGCGTAACTAGCCTGGCGATCTATCTCTCAGTTAAGACATAGCTTCTGATCCAACCGCACATTGGCAACTACGACCTCGGGCTGAGAACCAACAAGTGGACACCAGCGGTGGGCAGTGTTCCATAAGTACCTGTTGTGTGCGTAGATGCACCTATCCGGTTGGTCCATCGCGCCGACTCCTCGCAGGAGGGAGTGGGGAGCTCATCATGCATACCAAAGGTAGGTAAGCAAGCACGGCTGCATTGTCGTAACATCGCCCCTCCTCGGTGCTGCAATAGGCGATCCACTGCTCACTCGGCACTTCCTCTGAGGCTCTGTCTGACTAGGACGGCTTTCTCGATTAGGGAATCCCTCGCTTACGGCCGGAAGGGGGGTAGGGAGATCACATCGGACCTCAAGCCCCCCCAGCATGACGAATCTTGATTGGACGGGAAGAATCCCAACCTGAGCGCCAATAAATACTCCAAAAGAATGGGCCGAGATGGTTGAGGAAGTACCAGCCCAACAGCCGAAAAAGGCGATTCTTCCGCCACCTTTGCATGGTATGTACGTTGGTTACGCCGCGGCTGACTACCGTGGTCCTGCATCCTGTATACGTAACGGTGCTACATACTCTGTAGTAAGTCTTGTGATCCATCACGCGCATTCCTCCGGTGCGTCTAACACACTTTCCTACTTTGTCAGAGTGTGCGGTAGCTTTTGCTTTAGGCTACTTGCACTAATCGTTGGTCCTTTGTCGTATCCGTGGGATCCTTCCAGATATCTGCCTAGCCAGAAATGAAGCCTCAGTAAACCGCGCGACATGTGGCGAGCAAGAATTACGTGAGGGCTGAACGAGTGCCAAGTGTAAAACCTTTACGCTCCGCAACTTGCGGCGTTACGCAAAAGCCCACCGCACGTCGGTTTGCTGCACATCGCTTCCCATTGAACTTGACGAACAACAACGTCGTCGTTTGCGCAAGATGGCTGATACAGGCATTTCCACCGGGTCTGGTATCTCCCAGAACACTTACCTCGGTGCGGGGATTGTCCTGTCCGTCGTCTCCAGCGGCTTCGTCACCGCTCGAATGACCTCAAACTACTTGACAAAGTCTACCGGCCTTGACGATGGTTCGTGCAAGAGTACTTAGAGGTGCTTGGATGGTCTCGCTAACGATGTTTGCGCCCCAGCCTTTGCGGTTCTTGCTGTGGCTTCCCTAGTCATCAGTCTCGCCTTGACCTATCGTCTCGTGGGATGTAAGTTGAAAAGACGGCAAACGTTCAAGCCCACGAAGAATCTAACAAGCGGATAGACCTATCGGATCCGGCGGTAGATATCACCGGGCTTATCACGGTGAGTCGAGGCTGCCACAGTATTGACGCCATCTCATCCTTGCATCCGCTGACACCTCCGACCAGATGTCTCACGTCACGAACTGGTTCACCCCGATCGCCATGTGGAGCAGTAAAGTACCTGTCCTCCTTCTCTACGTCAGGCTGTTCGGCATCAAGCGATGGCTCCGATACACCTGCTGGATCTTGGTTGTTGTGACCGGTCTCATTTTCACTGCGGGAGCAGCCTATACCAGCGCCATTTGCAACACAAATGGCAATCCCATCACCCCCGTGTTCATGTTGGAGTGCTCCAATGCCGCCTCGCATGCTGGCGTTGCTCTCGGAACAGTCGCCATCGTTACCGACGTTATCATCTTCGTTCTCCCTCTCCCGATCATCGTAAAGCTGAAGATGTCGGCGCGCAGGAAGGGGGGACTATTTCTGGTCTTCTTCACTGGTTTGCTGTACGTGCGTCCACTTGCTGCGTGCTATTACCTAGCCCAGGGGGTCCGGCTGACAAGAAACCCAGCGGAATAATTGCCAGCGCCATTTCGACGTACTACAAGTACTCCTCCCTCAACGGATCATCTGTCGGCATGACCAATTCCATGATCACCACGTAGGTAGTCTGGAGGATGTTCCCCCACCTGGTGAAACTAATGACGCTGATAAATCTCTTCACTAGGCTTGTCGAGTGTACCGTTGCCATCATGGTTGGCTGCGTCCCGGCCATCGCGTCCCTGGGAATCCGACTCAATAAAGAAGGAGGTTTGCTATCGAGATGGTCAGCAACGCTTTCACGAAGACTTCTGTCGAAAGACTCTCGCACAGGCGACCAGTCTAGGCAATGGTCTCGCTCTGGGGCGGAGCAGCTGCGAGACAGCACCGACAAGATCAATTCCTCGAACCAGTGGGACGAGATTAACTCCATGCCGGGATCAAGAGACCATACCTCTGATATTCCCCTCTCACATGTCCGCGGGCCTAAAATGGCATCAAGGGGCTGAAAATTCTTGGTGTAAACTCAGAGCGTCAAGCCATCTCAAGGGCTGCTAGGTAGTCTACTATTGTTCATCGCTGGGGGACTCGTAGTGTGTATAGTATAGTTGCGTCGAGCCATTTTTTTCCGTGTCGTAAAGACTCGACAACTTGTACCTTGCCATGGTTTCTTTTTGATTCGGCATGCGAGCCAAGGCAATGCGCGGATAGACGAGATACTGGTTAAGAATAGAAAAGGCTAGAACGGCATGCCTACACTGTGCCAGATTCATTGCGTTAGCAGTTACGTAGCAGTCGCATATAAATTGCGTTCCCGCAAAAGAAGAAGAAAACAATGGAAAACCGGAGTAGATGGCGAGTCTTCAATGGTTGTTCTTGTCCTTGTTGTAATGATAAAGCTACATTAGACCTCCCGCCACATCACATTGAGAAGCCTTCCTTGTACCGAGTCCATGCCCCCCAACCGGGGGGCGTTTTGAGAGGAGTAGCCCCGAATAAAGAGACCTATGTACCTAGGAAGTGCGGGGCCTACTGCAACACGTCAATAAAAGGAGAGGGGTCGCCCTCATATTTAACTACATTACCTTACCTACATTACCTACATTACCTACATTACCTACATTACCTACATTACCTACATTACCTACATTACCTACATTACCTACATTACCTACATTACCTACATTACCTACATTACCTACATTACCTACATTACCTACATTACCTACATTACCTACATTACCTACCATAGTACATTGACGGACTATCCTGTTGCTCCGTCGTTCTATTGTCATAGAAGAACCTACAGCTAAAGAGGTACGATACATTATCGATTCAACATGAACTTTCCTACCATCATACCCAGCGACTCGGGGGTCGCCTTTCCCATAGCTTTGCTATTCATCACTGTGGCGGTTTACTCCATTGCGAGAGGCGCTATTTGGCGAAGCAAACCATCGCGGTTCTGGTCATCTCAGCCCAATATAGGGCTCAAGAAACAACCATTTAGTTGGTTTTTGGGAACAATGCGGTCGGCCACCCGCATAAAATTCTGGGCCAGAGAGGGCTACGACAAGGTATGGATTTGATTGTACAGTATTATGAGTATGTATTGTTGATCCTTATATGTAGTACTCGAGAAACAACATTCCCTTCACTATTCCAACAATGGACCGTGGTCGCTTGGTCGTCATCCCCCGACAGCAGATCAAGCAGGTATACGCCCTAACGGATGGTGTTCTGGATGTACATGAAACCCAGGACGAGAACCTGCAAATGAAATATACAGTTTGGGATAAAGATGTTATAGAGGAGAGGCTCCAGGTCAATGTGATTCATCGCCAGCTCAATCACAACCTGGCTCATGTAACGGGCTCTATCTACGACGAGACTGATTTCGGCTTCCGACGCATGTGGGGGACGAGTGGCGAATGGACAGATGTGAAGGTTTGGGACACGTCTTTACGCATCATCGCTGGCGCAGCAAACGGTGTTTTCTGCGGCAAGCCGCTTTGTAAGTGTCTACGTAATCATCGTGATGGCCTTGCAAGACTAAACACCGCTTATGTAGGTCGCAACACCGAATTTCTGGACGCGTTACGTGATCACGCAATGGGCATCTTTGGTAGTGCCATCGTGATAGGGTGCACACCAAACATGTTGAAACCAATCCCTGGCGTACTGGCTTCATACGTTTGCCATTACTTGTTCCGACGAGCTGCCAAAATGGCCCTGCCCTTCATCAAAGAGCGTCTAGACGCCACCGCGAAGCACAAGGCCAACCCCGAGTCTGGTTGGGTCCCGCCGGTGAGATCTCGACTATTTATAATAATAATAATAAAGCACTGGATAATATTGACATAAGCCTGTACAGAACGATGGCCTGCAGTGGATTATCGATGAGTGCTATGGTAGTAAAAGAGACTCACAGCTGAACCCAGTCCGGGTCTGCCACCGTCTTCTTCTCATCAACGATGTCTCGTTGCACACTACCAGTTTCACTATGCAAGACTTCATCTTAAACCTATTCAGCACAAACTCTTCGTTTGGCTATGTTGAAATACTGCGGGAGGAGTGCGTGGCGGCCTTGGAGGAATCAGGTGGTCGATGGGATCGATCCGCCATTGACAAGCTCAGGCTCGTTGACTCCGCAATCCGAGAATCGATGAGGCTCTCCCCTGTCGGTCAAATTATGCTGCCGAGAAAAGTGATTCACCCCGACGGCCTAGTTTTGGATAATGCCAAAGACCCCGTACCATTTGGCACAGATGTGTCCGTGCCCATCGAGCCAATCCACCACGACGAATCAATATATGAGAATGCTCTTAGCTATGAACCATTCCGATTCGCCCCTATAGACGCTGTAGAAAAGGTTTTGGGCCGCTTCTCCGATGAACAGAGGGCGAGTTTCAAAGGAAACATGGGCACGTCTGTCGACATCCAACGGAAGCCAAAGCCTAGGATGACGGTGGTGCTGGACGAGACTTTCCTTGGATTTGGTGTTAGTGGCAAGCATGCATGCCCCGGAAGATTCTTTGCTTTGGTAGAGATGAAGTTATTCGTGGCTTACCTGCTGTTGAACTACGACATCGAATTCCTGAAGGAGAGGCCAAAGCCGGTCAGCGTTCTCTGGCTGAACCATCCATCGGGGGCTTCTGTGCGAGTTTGTAGAAGGACAAGAGTGTGACAGGTAGCTCAGTCCAGAATATTGTACCTAGGAACAGGCTAGATTGTATAATCTTGTGATTCCGACCTATCTTTCTAACACCTCGTCCCCCCTCCCAAAAAAGGACACATTTTGGGCCTCGATGACCCCGGACGTGTCTGTGCCGCCCGGGCCTCCCACGTATCATGTCGGTGTCTCCATTGAGAATGGATGGGAAGATTTGGGCAAAGTATGGTGCTTTCAACATTAGACGAATGTAGATATTTATAATGGACGAAGAGGATGCCAAGGAGGTCTTCCACTAAGTGCTATGCACCCATACGCACACTGTTATGGATGCACTACCTCCTATGCTAAGTGACATAAGTGGAGTAAATTCAAGAATGGGGTTTAATATACCCTAATCATAACAAAGACAAGGAGATGTCTGCCGGTAATGTTAACAACATGATTTCTGCAAGTCAGTGGCCCATGATGGGCTCGCTCATTTCTTTCCATAGTGACTAACCACGAGCAGGAACAGATTGAACTAGCCGTGACGTACCTAAACCTATTCTACTTTCTCCCTGCCATACTACTTTTGCTCGTGACAACCTTTATCCCTATGATTTCCAGGGCCACCTGTACTCACTCAACTTTTATCCCGGATAATAGTTTCTAACCTTTTTCCCACTTCTCTACTTGCGAATAAATTCCTTTGTGACTGGTCCAAAGTTTCATAAGAGCCTGATAATAGGGAACTACTAGCTTCATAGCAAATAAAAGCTTAAGAAAATCATTGGAGGCTAAGGAGATCAACGGTTATTTCCTACTTCCTTGTTCTCAGATGTTCACAAATAAGGAAAGAATATGTCGATGATTCCGGCAATAAGTTTTATCTCTTCAAACTCGGGTCTATGTTCACGAAGTGTATTACCAACAAATTCATCCTCTGGAAAGTTGAACGGCTGCTCATTGCGCAGGCCTAGTCGTCCATCCGGTGATAGAGTGTCCAAAGGTTGCTCAACTTTTGGTAGTGACGTTTCCGAGAACACCCGCTTTATAAACAACAACTCTATAAACAACACCAAATCAACCAGCAACATTCTTCAAGACCGTTGTGTGTTACTTTCCGGCCTTCAAAAGTCTCTAGGCTTTCCCGGCTTCTAGAAGAAAGCGCCTTCAGTTCGCATGGCCAGACTAGTCTGCAAGGAGGACGTAAGCATTGGCAGTCAACGTACATAGCAAGCGATTACAGCTCTTCTGGCCTGTTCCGACAAACTGCGAATATCGCCTAGGGGAAATACTGTACAAATAATGCAAATAGCCTTATTCTGGCGCAACTCACGAGGACGATGTTAACCCTTCCTATATCCTGTAGCATAGTGACTCATTTTCCAATTGAACTCCTCAACCGAACGTATTTAAAGCAAGTGACGGCGTTTGGTCCTGTTTTCTGAGGATGGTAGTACGCAATCATGTTTCTCGCCGCCATCTCCCATACAATTAATATGCCATTCCACTGAATCATCGCCAGCACCGCTCAACAGTTGCCCTCTTCTCTCCGCCAGTAAAGACTCCCTAAGCCTCTCCGTCAGCCTTTCAAATATCCACTCGCTCTCAATTTGGAGGCTCAGCAGAGGATTTTGGTCACCAACCCATGACCACACCAACTTCTGCTTATCCAAGCCCTCGCCTTGAGATTCGCGCTTCTTGATCGGCAAGGTGACCTTGCAGTGTGTTCCCGGTTCACGTTCGTCTTCTCCCAAAAGCTTGAGATACCATGCCCATTCCTCAAAAGTGTACCGGTGAGGTGGGGACTCTTTAAGATGACTGGCAATGACTTGTATCTCCGAGATGAGGAGAAAGTGGAAGTTTGTTCCTGTGGGAAGTTCGTCGTGAGCATTACGAAATCGTGCATATTTGTGTTCCGATGGGGCGTTCGCGTGTCTTTTGTGATGCCTCCTTGAAACATTTTGATGACCAACCGAATATGAGGCTGCCGCCGTGGCACCAAGCTCAGCCTCATTTTTGGACATGAAGTCATCTAGTCTCTGCTTGGAAAAGGATTTGGATAAGGCAAGTTCCGGTGATGCAGAATCCCAATGGTCTGAAAAGATCCATCCGAATGTGCCTAGACTGATTATGTGCTTCAAATTTCCCATAAAACTCTCATCACCTGGAAGAATTGTGATGTTCCCCAGTCGAAGACTGCCGTATTGGATGACCTTGACCACTGTGTCGCCAGCATGCGAGATGAGCATCGTAATGGTGGGCAAGGCCAACAAGGACCAAAACACGAAGAATGATTTTCCAGCATTAGAGACCGGCGTAAGGTCGCCATATCCGATAGTTACCCAGGACACAAAGGAAAAATAGAACGCGTCAAAATATGTCCAGCCTTGATATGGAGCCTCGGCCTTCATGAAGATGACCGCACCTATAAGCCATAGTGCGAGCCATAATGCCGTAGATGTGGTCATCACCATCCATCTCATCCGGGTCAATGCTTTCTTTTGTATCGTGCGCATTATATGAAACTCTGCTTTGCGTCGCTCAAACTCGGATGAGAGTGGTTGATCTGATTTCGCTCCAGTTGGCTGAGATTCTGTCGAAATGGGTTGAAGCAGTTCATCGTGTTGTCTCCGTAGCATCGTTCCAATCACCTTTCTCCGAGTCTTCTCCTCTGTCCTGATGACAAAGCGGCGTGTTCCGCGATCGAGGAACAGTTTCCTGATCGAGCCTATTACCAACCCCAGGCTGATAATGCCGAAGATAACATAAGGGATGAGGAGAGCTCTGCCGAGAGTAGTGTTCGGGGCATAGTCACCAAAGCCGACTGTGAACATTGTGACATCTGCCCAGTAAACAGCATCCAGATACTCCCAGCCTTCCACGGCAGAATAGACACGAGCTCCTATTAAGAGTTCAAGGAGAAAAATGATCGTCTGTAACATCAAAGTACGTTGATTATACGTCAATGTGAATTCCTTTCCGTAGTGACCGGATGAAGCGCCCCAAAAGGTTAAAGCCATAAGTGTAGCATCGACAAAGTAGAGCAGGGCTGCCCAAATGCCATACCAGAAGGCTTGAGACCAGATGAGTTCACTTTTTGGGAAGTCGATCCCTTTGAGGAGCGGTCCTGCGGCAGTGGCACCCATTGCAATACGTAGAATAGCTGAAATATACCTGTGAACCTCTGTTAGAAAACACATATGGCTTTATGGGAATTCTGTTTGTTGCATACCATCCAACTATCGTGATCGGCTGTGCTATGCTAAAACGAATCCTCTTTGCCATGTTGAGGAACAAAACAAAGTTGGAGGCGACAGCGATGAAAAGCTGGACGGCATTGACAATTGTCAACCTACAGTTTCACATATCAGAATCGCATCATTTTTGAAAACTTCCAGAGCATATTTGAAGCTACATACCACGATGGATTCTGGACGGTGGGAGCGTCTTGGACATTCCCTCCTGGTACCAACAGCTGCCGCCACGGTTGAGACATGGCGCAAATACTGAACGCTGAAGCTACTGGACCGAGGGTCCCAGCTATCATAGGGAACAGCATGGAAAAAAACCACCAACGGCTGCGAGATTGTCCAGTCAGCACATCGCACCCAATCGAGGAAGAATGGAAGAGAGGAGCACTCTTATGACACTTGTGTAACCTACCCTGGTTTCAGATGTGAATCGTCATGATGGAGTCGTTTCTTCCCGGAGCCGAACCCTTGGTCTTTCTGGGCTTCCATGTCGATCTTTCCGCTCAAATACGATTCTCCCACCCCAGAATTCGGCATCGTTCTTCGTTAGCCTGGTCAAGATCATGAAGCTAGATATCACCCACTTGAAGCCAGTTGCTGCCCAGGCCGGCTCTCTCATTTGACTGATCCAGAGCCGTAAAGATTCAGACAGTGTCAGTCGCAATCGCGGAGAAACACGAGAGGATGACGTTTGTGCTCACTTTGGCGACTGGCATTTAAACTCTGTTAGCATCACCCGCTAATCTCAAACAATGATAGCAGTATATGTTGGTTGAAACTCTTTTCAAGGCACCTTGTCACTAACCATTTTCAATTTATCAATATTATCGCTGTTCTATCATAATAAAAGCTGCGAAGGCTCACCCAGCTCCGTCCAAATGGGAGGGGAGCTTTCCATGAATGATATTCGAAATCAGCGTAATGACTAGATCATATCAATTGATTTCCCTGCTTATTATCCCATCTTCATGCAACAGCAAAAATATGATAGATTGAGAATAAGGTGTGGTCCTGTAGCCGTTTAGAGTAGTAGGATCGAGACAGTTTTAAATATGACACGGCTTTGATTGTGAAAGGGGTAGAAAACTAATTCCTACATTCAATACACGAATTCTATGACTCAACGGAAACAGTCGTATAATCGACGAGCTAGTCCTCCAGAGCTTTAGACCAACGCTTCGCATTTTCCAGCTGGAAGGAGATGGCCTCTTCAGTAGACGGCGCTTTATTGTCATCCTCATCTCCGTTGTCATTGCCCTTCTTGTCTTCTCTTTGCTTGACGGCACGAGCCTTCATTTCGCCCAATCTCCTTGCTACATCGTTGGCCTCGTTCAGTGAAACGAGACGACGCTTCATCGGATTGTTGTTCGCACCGGTGGCGCAAAAGTCCAGAATAACAGCCTTACTCAACCTTTTTGTCAATTCCTTGGGTGGCTTGACAGGCGTACCACCTAACCCAACCTGCCAGGAAATTATAGCAAGAACCCTTTCGCTGTATTTCTCACCCAGTCCAAGCTCCTCGACATTCACAGTCGCTGCTCGAGGTTCGCCGCTTCTACCAGGGGAAGGGACAGGAGTAGCGTTTTCATCGCCAAACTCCAACGGGGCCTTTCTGTCCCCTGGCTCGGGGCGGGACAGCTCAATCTGTCGCGGCCGGGCCAACTTGCTGGCGGTGACGATATCCCGAGCGACTTCTAGAGGGGTGCGGCCGACCGCGTTTTCCCTGTAGATTAGACTCGGCTTGAACTCAATCAATGTCTTGGTGATGGCCAGCTGCCGATTCATAACGGCTGTATGGAGACATGTATCTCCGGCACCATTGAACATTTCCAGCCCCTCGCCCTTGGAGGACTCAAGAAGCAGCTGTAACATCTCAACAAGGCCCGGCTTGTCATCTTTGTAGGGAGCAGAAGATTCCTCGGTATCGTAGTCTTCTTCCGGTCTACCATAGAAGAAGTAGGTGTCCGAGCTCTCCTGCTCGTACTTCGAGCCGGAAATCTTCGATATCCAGGAATGCACGGGGTTACTTCCATCCTCAGAGAGACTCTTGCGCTGCAAGAACAGATGCCTAAGTAAATGTGAATCCAAAAGCTCCAGGAATGACCGAAACTCGCTCGCTTTGGGGCTTTCGTCCAAGGCACGATGTATTATATTTTCCCCGTTGGAGTTGCGGACTGATTGGTCAGCGTTGGCCTCGATCAGGATCTTCACAAAGGGAACACGGCCGAGGAAGGCAGCGTTCATCAGAGGCGTGTTTCCATTCGAATCCTTCTTTTCTATGGCACTGGGGCAGGTCTTGACGAGGTAATGCAGTAGCTCGATTTGACGTCCCTTTGGAGGGGATACTATTGCACAATGAATGATGAAGTCCGCTTGATTGGAGCAAAAGAGTTGAGCGTCAGTGTCTGATTTAAGCACGCAGTATCACTAGTAACTAAACTCACCATCAATGCCAAGCCATTTCCCGACAGCCCGGTCGAATGCGCCCTGCTGTTGCGTTAGATGCTGAATTCTAGGATCAAGCAACGCCGTCTCAGTCTTTGAGAATTCGGTATATAGGCGATGAGGAACATCGCTGAGGAAGAACTGGACGCTCTCGAGGGATCCACCGAGAGCAGCGTAGAGCAGCGGAGGGGTCTTCAAGCCGCTTGCCCTGGCGATCATATTGCGACCCTTATTCGCCCAATCTTTCCTGTGCGTGTGTTAGCCTTTTGCTTTCGATTCTTCAGTTAAGTCATTCAAGTCAGTGGCACCCACCTCTTCTTTCCGTAGACGGTAAGACCTTGGTAGAACTTGGGCTTTTGGTCCAGCTTGATACCAGAGCCCTTAATGAAGCTGTTAAGGGGGATTCCCGCGCCAGTGTGCTTGATCATCAGGCTGGCCAGCTCCGTGTGTCCATTTTGAATAGCGTCTCTGTATTCCAGCTCGGGGAACGTGAAGACACCGTGGGTCTCTTCCTCCTCACCATCATCGAGTGTCTGGCCAGCCCAGTACTGAGCGATGTCAATGAGGATATTTAGACTGGCCACATCGTTGTCCACAACACAATGTTGAAATACCGTATGAGATTTGTCATCCTCCGGGATGCCACCATTTAGAATCGGCTTTTTCCATTTCTCCTCGAGGATATTGCTTGGAGTGACATGGCACTTAACTACTGTTAGCTGGCCGAGGTCATCGATGGTATATTTCTTGTCCATGTTCTCGCCCACGATATCTGGCTCATTGTCCAAGCCATCCTCGTCGCTCTCATCCTCGCTGTTTTCCTCCTCATCATCTTCCTCATCATCACTATCGTCACCTTTCATCCTGTACGTCTTGTTCTGCTTCTTCGGTGACCATTGAGCCTTGACAATCTCTAAGATAGCCTTAGCAACTTCATGATGACCACGGAAAAAGGCGAGGGAGAAAGGTCCATTGTCTGCAGTGTCTCGGATACTTGCCAGCAGAGGCGGCTCATCCTGTTCAGGGCCCCATGCTTGCATTGTCAGTGACTTTACCTCATCTAGGTTCCCGGCGAAGGCTGCTTCCATTCTGCACATTGCAGGTCAGCAAATTGAGAATACCATGGTGGGATTGTTAACTCACAATTGAATGTACCCCTCTCGTCGCTTCTCAGTTATGGTATTATCCCCGCGAAAGGAAATGAAGTGTCTCTTGGCCTCTGCATGATCCTCTTCGCTGGGAGTGGGAGACATGGGAGGACTCTTCTCTCTTGTTTTGATATTAGGATGAAGCTTAGCAAAAGTTTTGGCCCCCCTCGATATCAAAATCTCTTTGAGATCAGTAAACCCTGTGATCAGTCCCTGCAGACGGTCTACCTCCTCCGCGTCCTCTAACGCGTTGCGGCTTTTCAGGTGTTCTTCGTACTGCTCCGTGCGGATTTTGTAGCTCCTGTTTTGAGAAGCAATCTCTAGCCTAGCAGCCCAGTGCCTGTAGGTGTTTGGATCAAACCGATCAAGATACTCTTCCATTCCAGGGGCCTTCTCCGGTCTCTCCCTGTGAAGTGCTCGCTCCGCTGTCTTCAACTTGGACTGGAGTTTACTGATTCGAGATTCCACAGTGTCCAAGATCGACATACCTGTGTAATATCGACGGTCAGACTCGTTTTCCAACAGCTCGAGGGTCTCTGCATTCAACGAATTTGGATCGGCGCCTGACTCCAATATTTTGACAGCAGCCTCATGGTTGTCGGCCTGCACGGCGGCAAACAAGGGCTGCAGCAACTTCCGGTACAACTCCTGATTGGTGTCAAAGGTGCCCAGCTCGGATGATATCCTGGCAGATGTTTTGGCAGCCTTCAGCCACGCATCAAACTTGACAGTTGCCTCAGCCCCGGCATTCAGAAGCTTCAGGACAAGAATGGAGTCTCCTCGTTCGATGGCTGAATGGAGAGGAGCTATAGCCTCGGGGTCCCAGGTGGACCCGGCCATCACCATGTGGTTGATGGCCATCTTTACTCCTGCCCTATCCTGCTCTAGCAGGGTGTCGACCAGATCCTTCCTGCCGCTGTCTACGAATCGGTGAAAGGCAGTAGCCCCGTTCGCATCGGCCTGTGATGATATGGCGCCAAGGGTGAGGAGCAGCTTTGTCATGGAGATGGCCTGCTCCGAAGGTAGAGAGAGGGCGAGTGTCAGGGTCAAGATGGCGGCAGTTTGGTCATCATCAATCTGACTCAGGAACTTGACAGGGAGAATTGAGTCGGCGCCATAGTCACAGAGGGCCTTGACAGCGTCTTCGTGACCACCCGCAATCGCCAAGTGCAGCGGCGAGCAGGGGACATCCCATGCCAGAACATCGATGTCGTAGTAGTCCGGGCCTGAATCAGATTCCTCCAGGGAAAGCTGGTCAATACATTCGGTGACGCGCTTTAGTTTAACAAACGATCCTGTCGTCTCCGTTGGCGCTCCATCATCGCTATCTTCGGAGTCGATGAGCTCACCGTCGGAATCTTCGCCTGCTTCACCCTTATCCTCATCCACGTCGACTTCATTGTAACTGGCTTCGTCACCTTCCTCGTCGTTTTCTTCTTCCTCAGTATCCATCATGCCTTGATCCTGGTCACCCATGTCAATCCGGTCTTCTTGGTCTTCTTGCATCTCGGTGTCCCCATCATGATCCGACTTGGCCGACTTTGCGTCTCGGCGTTTCTTCTCCACACGATCCGCATCTGCCTCCTCATTTTCGGCACTCTTATCCAAGAGGATCTTAATCATCTCGGTGTTGTTACGCGCAGCCGCTAGATGAAGCGCCGTTCGACCGTCAGCTAATCGAGCCGTGATACGAGCGCCGCTTTCTACCAGACACCGTACCACGTCCGGGGTCGATGAAATGACGGCCAGATGCAGTGGTGTTCGTCCAGTATAGTCCCGCTTATTGATATCAGCATCTATTTGTGAGGTCCATCCTTTAATTTCATCAACCTGGTCATCGACAATGGATTGACAAAGACGTGCAGTATCCCCGATATACGCCATATCGGTCCAGTCCTTCTCCGTAAGAGGGTTAAAGGACCCTATTTGCTGACGGCCAGGGTCATCAATCAAGAACGAGATCTTGCCAGATATATAAATCTGCGATTCCCTCTCCGCAACCTCCTTCTCCTCGTCTGTGATAGGTTCAGGGCAGTATCCGCAGCAATCCTCGATAATGTCCTCAACACGGCCGAAGAAGGCGGGATGTCGATGTAGATAGACCTCCCGTTTATCATTCTGATTCCATTCGGCATTGAGGAGCAGATCTCGTGTGTAGCATAGCTTTTCGATTCGCTTGGCGTCGAACCTCTGACCGTACGGCACGGAGAAGGTATGATAATTGCTAACCTCCTCAGATGATAGCCAATCAGCGACCTCGTCCTCATAATCATCCTTGATGTTGCCTTCCCCCAGCTTGAATCGACTCTGCCGTACAATTGGCCGCCCGCGCTCCCGACGTCGTTTGTTGAGATAATCCTGGCGAGCCGAGGTGGTTGGCAAGCTCTCGAGAACCAGAAGACGCGCCAACCCGAGTGTTCTCTGAAAGCTCCTCTCGAAGATGGTAGGGTCAATACGCGATCGGTCAAGGTCTGGTCAATAAACTTCGAAGTTTCGGTGAGAGTACTTGGATAAGCGGTTCTCATATGAAGGGCTTCGACGGCTCAAATCGATATGGTTGATCTGGGTTATGAAGCTGCCCAAGGCGCGGGGTGTGACATAAACTTGCTTGCCGTCGTAGGCACCACCCGCGGCGTCGATATCGAAGCCGGTCAGGATTTCACTGACTGAGCTATAGACCCTCAACACAATCTATCTCTGTTAACACATCTCTATTATGCTCTTGACTTGAGGCTGGGCATGAAAGTACCTGTATATGTCGCACTGGGTATTGGCTGGCGATAGTGACGGCATACCTGGTGCGAACCACGGTCACTTCATTCAGAAGAACATCTCGCACCGCTTGCTCAATCTGCTTGATTTTCTCAATCGCATCCTCGGGCTTTAGACCGTAAAGGAAGAGATCAACGTCCGACGCGGGACAAAACTTCTCGTGATAATACTCGCGCAGTTTGCGCTTGGGCATTTTGTACTCGTCAGGAACGGGCAGCAGGCAATTCACAACCGAGGAGCCTGCCGCCACGACATTATCCCAATTCATTTCTGCCAGCGACGACTCTGAGAAGACGTTGAAGTTCTTCTGGAACTCGGAAAGGTCCGAAACCGTGGCCGGGGATCCATTCGCACGGCGCTTGTCCTCTGCCAAGGGCATCATGTATTTGGACTTTTCCTCCGCTGACTCGGTGGATAGATCTCTGGCGCGAGTAGTGATTGATTTGGTATCGTTGGTGAAGAGAGGCAGCACATTGATATGAGGGTCTTGGAGGACAGGATTCTTGCCATCCTGCGCAAACAGTGATCGGAGGCTAGCCTCATACTGGCGGTAGGGCTCGAGAATCTGGGCCACGGGCTTCTCTGGATGCTGAGAAATGTACTTGGGCAGCTCGACAAGGGGAGCTGGTAGCTCCGGAAGTGGTTTGTGTGCCATGGTGAGACAGATGAGACTGGCACACGTTGGCTGCTTGTTTCTCCTCTCACAACTTAAGGCTTCCAAGAGTGAAAGACAAGTGGCACCAGGAACGCGTGAGGAGGGATCAGCAGAGACTAAGATGGACGAATCGACCGTCAATTTTCTTTCTTAATTAATCATACGTACATTTTGTTCAGCTGAAGGTACCAGATGGGACGGATTGCTTGGCACCGTTCAGCTGAGTCTTTACAGTGGAGACACTCGCTAAGACCAACGGCACAGGCCCGAAAACAGCGCTTCAGCCCCTGGAGACACCTCGTTAGCACCGTTCACCAGTGCAGCCAAGCGCTGTGGGAAAGTTCACGCAGAAGGCACAGCGCTAATTTCAGGGGGTGGGCTGAGTCAGCTCCTACGAGTTGTTCGCACCTCGCTTTTTCGTATCTCGGCTGAGGGCATTTGCTCCAGGGTGATGATCATCTTTACATCGAAAGCTGTATGATTCCTCGGTTCATCTTTCCACATTCGTTTACACTTCAGTTGATTGGTTGATGTTAGCGCTGTGGAGGTTTGGTGTGTGTTTTGGCTGCAGGCTCAAAATAAACCATCCTTACAAGCTACCAGCTTGGTACATTCACAACATTAAGGTACATTATGAGATTAGTTTGAAGTCATTTGTGAAGGATGGATAACATGATTATAGGTTGCCTAAAGCGAATGTTTATGTTCGGTAAATTGAACTGATGAAGATGGGGAGAATTTTTATTTTTACCTGACCACGACAAGTTGTTCTAGGGTAGCCGTGAGGAGTGTTCTAATGCGGCATAGCTGAATTTTAAGCTTAATGTCCCTAGATTAAGATTAATAGGGACAGTCGGGGGCATCAGTATTCAATTGTCAGAGCTGAAATTGTTAGATTTGTTAAAGACTAACTACTGCGAAAGCATTTGCCAAGGATGTCTAGACTTTTAGTTGCCTGGGTTGACTCCGACGAAGCTGTACAATTTCCGCCAGAGATATCCCTTGTTGGCTAGTGCCTCTCTAGAAACTCTGGAGAGCTATATAAGAGTATAGTTATGATACAATTTTAAAATAAATAAATGACAAAAGAGCAACTTGGAGATATTTTATTCTCTAGCCAGTATTGCAGGAACAAGGCTGGATAAAAACTATTTCTTCTTTTATGTTCCCTTTGTCAGCTATAACAAAAGGAACCAATACCAATTGATTGCTGAACAGTTCATGTTTAAGAAGGGACGCCAAGTCTAGCAGAGACAGGTTGCTGGTTGCAACAAAATAGAACTAATGGATAAATTAGTGTCTAAAGTGTCTAATCTCATTCTAATATTGACATTCGCCGCACGTCTAACGTCTATGGGGTGCACACGGTTTGAGCCAGCCCAGAGCTTACAACCTTGCATGACAGCATCCAGTCGATGAAGGAGATGGTTTGTGGCTGACAGCTGGATGCGACGCCACCACCAGCGTGCTCTTATTCACGGCCTGTGTGCTCTGGGGCACGTCGAGCGCAGGGTTCGCAGTGAAGAAGTCAGCCGGCTTCAGGGAAATAGTCGAAACTTCCACAGGCATGACGGGGAAATCTTCCACTCTCGGGTTATGGGTCATGCCAAAAGTATGCCAGATCACAATATCCTGATCCCGCACGTCCTCATCCCTGGATGCATAGTCCGCCACGCCATCAATCTCTTGGAGTGACTGATTTGTCCACCTGCCGCCCGCCCACAAGTCGCCATCTCGGTAGCGGGTTACCCACATGTGATGCTCAGCAAAGCGAGCTCGCTTGCGGACAACAGAGTTCTGGCCTGCCAGGAGCAGCTGGCATGGCTGCGGTACGAGCTTGAAGCCGACGGGGTTGCCTGAGACGGGGTTGCGCACAGACTCGTTGACAATCTTGAAGCAGCGATTGGTGAAGGGGGAGGCGTCGGCAAACCCTGACTTGGCAAAGGGTGTCTTGACCACGCGCCATGCGTTGCCGTGAGGGTTCTCATCCTCTGATTGCGGCACTGGGATTGATTCTTCCTGGATTAGGGAGTTGTTGTGTCCATCAAGCATAGGATCGACACGGAGCGAGAATAGATGTTGGTGATTTGCGGCCAAGACACCAGGCGAAACCACATTGCCCCATTCAGATGTCTTACCGGGGTCGATCAGCGAGGTTGAGAGAATGCCGGTCGCGCGTGTCTCCATCTCAATGTTGCCGTTCTGCCAAAAGATCCACGCGAAGATGTACTCATAGTTTCCTACCGTCAGGATGCTCTGGAAGATGAGGTTCCTCGCCCTCGTGATGGCCACGCCCTGTGTCCGATGGTTGGTGTGCTTCCACCCAATACCGCCATCTTGCTCATGGAGGCAGATGACGTTTCCTGCCTCAACTGGCTCACCGTCCTCGTTGTTGAGCCACCCACCAAAGTACTTGATCGTTCCAAGGCAATCACACCCCAGCGCCAGGTTATTCGCTGTGCTTCCGGCGCCAGCGTCGCCAAGATCGAAAGCCTGCTTTCTATGAAAGGGACTACGGGGGTCTAAAGGCCGAATGATTAATCGCTTGAAAATGGATAGAGGGTGATGCACATACCTCCGTAAGGGACTGTCATCTCGCTGATGCTCAGACGGTAGAACATGGGGCGGCCGTCGTATCTGATGTCATGCAAGGTCAGGCCTTCTCGATAGTTGAAGCCGACCCTGATCCTCCATTTTTGCCACGACACACAGTTGGTATCGGTGATTGTGAATGAGGGTCCCTCGGGCTGTTCAACGTGTAATGGCCTGACATCTTCGCGTGTCTTTGAGCTCTGCAATCCAGGGTAATACTCATTCTCTACACAGTGTGCCATGGGTTCTTCTCCGGCAGTGTGATACTTGAGACCGTCCTCCTTACCACCCGAGGCGAGAGGCTCCAGGCGCACAATCTTATCCTCAAAGATGTCAAGAACAGGAGAGAATGGAAGAGGAAAGGAGTACTGATTGCTCTCAGGGTGTCCGTTGGGGGCACGGGCGTAGAGAAGACCTTGGATGTACTTGTGAGTTTCCGGTGTTGAGTCACGATCGGCGCCATACGGCCAGCAATCGCACTGGACTACACATGATTCTGGAAGCTTGAGTTTCTTGATAGCCTCTTTGACAAGATCATCATCTAATATTTTGCGTGCTGATTTGCGCATTTCATCTCTTCATGTTTGTTCACGTTAACATCATGGAAGGCTTCGACTCAGTTATGCTGGGGGACTGACCTGTCAAGGGATGAATGTTGCCCAGGGGTAGCCTGGATCCGCCCTACTTCAGTGAAGCTATCGAGGCTAATAGTGCTCTGGCAGAGTGATCGCTCATTTCCGGACGTCCAGACGATGTCGGCACAACGGGGGACGAATGGTCTGTACCTGGCATCCACGCCGGCGGCCTCGGCGTCTAGGTATGGCAGAAGCAGGGCCTTGGGGGGCTCCTGGATGCTGACATTCTTGAACCTGAACTTGAAGTCGGGCCCATGTCTCTCTCGGAGAATGGCCTTGAGCAAAGTGGATGCCTTGGTAATCTCCTCTGCCGTTATTGAGTGTAGGGGGTGAGGGCGACTCATGGTTGCAGGGTTTGCTGTGTGATATTGACCAGGTGATAAGCTGGGTGTATGGATTAGAGAGTGCTCGGTTCTGATGGTGCTATGAATGAGATGAAGCATCGGCGCTTTCTATAGCTGAAGTGTTTGACGCAAATCGTAGCAGCCGCCGAAAGATGATGATCATCTTGGGCGCCTGGAGCGCTTCCCGCCGTTGCCGCCGCCCGCCAGTTCCGCCTATCTCGCGATCTCGCTAATGCACGGCGGTAGCAGCGTAGATAGGCGATTAATTGGGCTAATTGAGCATTGAATCACATAGTAAGAGCCATTACCAATAATAATTTTATGGTCCAACAATGCCATTTCTAGGTATTGATGTCAATCTCGCGTCGAGGATGATAATGTGGCGGGTAGATAATGACTGCTGTAGGGGAAACACGCCTATCCTACTCCTACAACAATACAAAGTAAGAGGAGGACTTTTCTATCTAGTAAAGGATTAGATGCTTCCGATACTGTCAACATCAAGGAGGCTATAGCAAGCTGATGGTATGCACACAAGCCTTATTGTTCACAAACGGGTTTATTCTGTGAAGAGATTCTACGAATGGCAATTTTTCGTCGAGCAGTTGGAACTTTTGAAGGAGAGTGGTTGGAACGGAACTTGTGTAGATATTTCCAACTTGCCATTATATCTTGGACTTCACATCTAGACTTTGCAGAGCGTCCTTGACAGACGACTGCAAGCCAATCCATTTAATTCCCATCATTTCCTCAATCTTCTTGGTGCTAATGGAGTAATAGTCATTGGCTGGAGACATGCTCTCCGCCGAGGCGGCGCCACTCTCGTAAATCTCCTTGATAGCTGCCCAGGTAAACTTGCCAGCACAGACAACAAAACGCTCACTATTGGGAATTTTGGCAACGTCCAAGGCGTCGACATGTGCCTGGGCGACGTCTCGAACGTCAACAAACACAGGCATCCTTGTGGGTGCAGGGTCTGCGCTGGTCATGGCGTGAAGTAGCTGTGCTGAGGATTCATTGAGCGCATCCTTGGTGATACCCGAAGCTGGATGGACGGGTCCAAAAATCATGGGAGGGCAAATTGTGACGAGGGAAGGTGTCTTCCCATTTCTAGCCTTGGAATCAATAAAGTCCCATGCGGCCTTTTCCGCGAATGTTTTGCTGGCCTGGTATCCAAACAGGTTATTCTCCAATGCCTTTTCTGGGGTCATTGGATTCCAGTCCTCTTCTACTCTGGGTTTTAGCACAGGACCTAGGTAAAAAAAGGTATGTAAGTGCATGTATTCACGTACCTGTGTATGAATATCCGGCCCGCGGTCCCTTTGTTGGGTCCACAACCGCTGCAAAGGATGATGTGAGCACTACACGCTTCACATTGCTGCTGGAAGCAATGGCTTCGAGCATTCGGGTGGTGCCCTCCACTGCCGGTTCAATCAAATCCTTCTTAATGTCTGTAATCTTGAAGGTGAAAGGAGAGGCTGTGTGGATGACAAAGTCAGCGCCCACAATGGCTCCCAAAAAGGCGCCGGGGGCTGTGATGTCTGCCACGATGCATGTCTCAATATTTTTGCCGCCGAGTACGTTTAGGAACAGCTGGCTCTTTGACTCGCTGCGGAACGTAGCCCTGATTTTGTACCCCTGATCAATCAGACGGGCAGCAATGTGGCTTCCCAAGAAGCCAGAAGCTCCGGTAATCTTGTCACCGTCCCCTGTATTAGAACTGTGTCCCTCATATTCGACTTCGATAGGTAATCATAAACTTACGAGTACAGTACCCTTGTACATTGCGAATGCCTTGCCTGTGATTTGCACTGTTTTTTCTTCGGGGCTGATATGAAGCTGCGAGACGGAAAAGACAGTATTTTGTTCAGCCTGTCATCAATATTTCCAGATATTTGTTTCAAAGTGTCTTCCTATAACTACCTGTGCTGGAACTGGGCGTGTCGATACATTACGAGAGAAGCAAAACAACCAATCATGATCAACGAATCCCCGCCGACTTCTTATCTCTAGCCGCTGGCGCCGGATGCCGCTATCGGCCCAGACTTGTGCATCACGATAGCATACAATGGAACTACTGGGAATCTGGTCCCGCCCTCAAATATTGCCTCTTATAGGGTCGAGTGGCTTAGATCGAATGTAATCGAGAATCTAGGGATTGCTCATCGTAATTATGTGATGGTCAGGTGTATAGTATCGCTAACTTGGTTGCTCTGATTGTGACTACCGGTAGCCCTTTGCATTGCGTGTAAGACTGGTTCGTGTAGTCTACTTGGCCCCAACCTGCATTTAGAAAAGGAGACAAAACCAAAAATTAATATCTCCAACAAGGAGCCATGTTAATAGATTCGAATATTGTAAATTTTCTACTCGATTGAATGTTGATTGCCTGGACCAATACCCACAAAACTAGCAGAATTGCCATTACTCATGCGTGTCCTCACTATCTTGATATGGGAGGGATCTCCGATAACGTCCTTCAACTCACCCCTGTACTGCTTCCCCACGTTTCGTCCCCTCGATCTCGCCAAATTCGACTCATCACTCACCCATCAGCTCATTTTGCTCCTTTCTCGTCTGATTTTCCAACTCGGCGACCCTAGAGAACCACTATCCCCCAGAGTCCCCACCAATGTCCGAGACTCCAACCCACATTGTCCCCAGACGGCCGCGCCGATATGCGCCCCGAACTCGTCTGGGATGCTTGACATGCCGGAGGCGGAAAAAGAAGTGCCCCGCCGACGGCCCCGAGTGTCGTACATGTATCAGACTGAGTCTTGATTGCGAGTGGGACAACAGGAGACACTTCCCTACCTCTGAGCCCAGTCCAGCTAGCACGGCCGCCGGAGAAGAGGGGCGAGCCTCATCAGAGCCGGATCACGACTTTTCACTCAGAGTTGCCGAGCTATCAGCAGCGATCCCTCCTTCGCCATCAGTCCTACCAGCCATGACCGATGCCGGTGATCAGAACATGTTGCTATCCTATTACATACATTCCTTTGTCCCCAATATCTCCGTCGTGCATACCTCTTCCAACTTCTTCACGTCGGTATATGTTCCGATGGCGTTCCGATGTGAGCCAGTCTTGCAGGCTATCCTGGCATGTTCAGCTGCACATCTGGCCAAAGGAGCCCCGAATTCCGAGGACCAAGCCCGACTTCTTGAACTATCTCTGCGTTCCCAGGTCCGATGCCATCGATTCTTACAGGAACGCATCAATCTCACTGGTCGATTACAGAGCGACCACATTGAGGCTATTGCCATTATTCTTCTGCTCGTAGGTCTGGAAGTCCAAAACGGCGCCAATACTGGCAAATGGGTCTGCCAACTTGACTGTGTACGCAACGTTATCAAACAATCAGGTGGGAACGGTGTGTTTTGCAGAAGGTCTTGGGAGGCGGAGGCGCTATATGAGCATTTTCTCTACCACGACGTAATGAGTTTGATCATGTCCGGAGTGGCAGGGTCCGAGACTGATGAATTGGAGGCTGCTTCTCCCTCTGAAATCACTGCCTCTTCGCCATTGCCGTTTACTGAAGCGGAAGTGCCTTGGGCAAGATTCCTCCCACAAGATAGGGCACGCTCGAGTTCAGCTTCATCGTCGTCTACTACGCGAAGGCAAAAGTCATCTAGCTCCATCCATCCACTTCTGGGGTTATCAAAGGATTTATTCTTTCTCATACAGAAAATCCCTCGTGTCAAGCCCGTCCAACATGCGGGAGAAGGGTGCCTGAACCCAGCCGAGAATGAACTTTTCCTAAATCTAGAGAGGCAGTTTGTCGATCTTCGATTCGACCTTGCCAGCGATGCCTGCGTGGGGATAGACTTGGCCGCGCGGCTGGATCTCGTGGTTTTAGCGGAGACTTACCGTCTTGCAGCACTCATTCTTCTCTACCGGCGATCCTGCCTACACGAAGACCAGATACCTCTCCTGGCGCAGCGCATCATAAGCTTTGCGGAGCGTATTTCGGAGGGGAATGCGGCCGAGGCTGGACTCACTTACCCATTGTTTCTGGCTGGGGCTGAGTTGGTTGATGAGGAAAGCATTGTCGTGTGCGCTACGAAACTGATGAAAATCAGGGAAAGAGTAAAGGTTATGAATATACAATCGGCCGAGGAAGTCTTACAGGAAGTCTGGAGAGACCGCTTGAATGGGGGACCCTATCGAGATTGGGAGAATATCCTTCGTAGTTGGAAGTGGGTGATAAACTTGGGCTAGGGCGTGTGACGATATTATGATTCCATGTGCAGCGCTTCAGTAGCGAGGCAATAGAGAATTGATTCTCGATTTTAGTTGATATTCTATCTCACGTCTGTTACAACCTTACAAGAGAGCTAAGACAGCAAAGCGCCCTCGATGATCTTGGCAGCCCTCAGAAGCTCTTCGTCGCGGTGATGCTTCCCAACCAGCTGAACCGACACCGGAATACCATGGAACAATTCTGGGTCATCTGAAACCGAGAGTTAGCAAATCAAATACGTTGAAAATAAACCTTGGAAGAAACTCACAAGCTTCCCATTCCTTCTTATCCACGTCAGACCGCGGTTCGTAAGCTGCATCGGCTTTGTCCAGCTCCTTATCGGCGACGACGTTACTTGGAAAGCTGACGGCTGGTTGATCAAGGGCATTCCATATCGAGGTGTATAGCCAGTATGTCGGTGTCCCTTGAGCGGCTCCCACTCCTGCGTACGATGGACATAGTATGACATCCACGCCCCTTTCTCGCATCAGAGCATGGTGCTCGCGACGCAGCTTCTCGCGCCTCATGTTTAGCTCCCAAGTTTGATGAATTGTTAGCGCATCATTGCTTCCTCGAGTGAGCGCAAACTCCGTGAGTGGCATCACAGGTTCACCTGACTCGTTAATTACGGCCCGGACACGTTCCCCGCCATCCGCAAAGTAAAGTTGCCTCTTTGTTTCATGGTTAGTTTGCAAAACACCCTAACTGTTTTCGAAGAGATGTGGTACGAACCAGAATCTCCCAGCCTTCAGAGTGATTGTGAGGCTCCCAGCGAACAGTTTTAATCCCTGCTGCTCTCAATTTCTTCTCAGCCTCGACGATGGCTCTTGTTACCGGCGGGTGAGGATGCACGACCCTTGATTTAATTAGCCATATTCAAGTCAGGAGAAGAGTGGATTAGGTTACCCATCATCGAACAGAATTCCAACAGTCAGAGTACTTAGTGAGACTTCCACTTCACGCCAAGGAAGAGGAACCAGAACGGTGTCCGTCTCCCAAGGTTCCTGATTCCAGATTACCTTCTCGAATGTAATCAAGTCATCAAGGTTCCGTGCTAGAGGGCCAACGCAACCTCGGATGCCCTCCTGGCCGCCCATAGCCCCGACTAACCCCAAGGATGGATTGCGCAGCGCGGTTGGCTTGAAACCATAGACGTTGCAGAACGCGGCCGGCACTCTGACTGATCCGCCAATATCAGTGCCAACACCAAGAACGGAGCAACGAAACCCAATGGCGGCGCCCTCGCCACCGGATGATCCGCCAGGGCTAAGACGTTCGTCCAGTGGGTTTAGAGTCATTCCAGTGATATTGTTATTGCAATCCAGATGCTGCGAAGATATATGTCGTTAGGCTTTGATAAGCTGGTGACATCGGGTTGGCTACTGTATTAATACATACCATGATACTTTGGGGTTGGTTAGTCCGGACATGGATGACTGCCCCGGCTGATTTCAACAGTTTAACAATAAGAGCATCTTCTTCAACTAGATTGTCAATTTTTGATACAAAGCTTGCGTTGCATCTCGCACCACCGATACCAACATGTTCCTTTCACATATCAAGTTAGCGACGCACGCAGTATCGGGAAATCTTGACCTACCTTGACTGAGACAGGTACACCATGAAGAGGCCCTATAAGAGTACCTGTCTCCCGAAAATGTTTGTCTAGGTTTCTAGCCGCATTTATTGCCGACTCCGCTAAAAACTCTGTCGCGAAATTCAACTGATTGGCACTCTTCAGCAGACGTTCAATGCTCAATTATAACGGGAGATGACGGACAAACTGATGTCCTATTGTAGCTCTCTTGAGATATGCTGTTATAACAGCTTCCGCTGTCCAACATCCGCTCCTGTACTTCTCTAACAAACCATCTGTAGACGTATTGGTCATTTCGATCTCATCATCAGTGAGAAGACCACATTTTTCCACAGCAATGGTCACGTTTCGAGTTCCGGCTGTCTGAAGCAATTTTGGATCTACCAACCATTGCTTCGGAATGGAATTTTCAAGAATGTCTCGTGCAATCTGTGCCTTGGTTTCCCAGGAGGTCTGCCGATTGGCCGACATCGTTCAAACTGATTATTATCCGGTGATAAGCGGACCCAAAACATGTTTCCAGGGCATAGATTATTGGATATTATAGACTGGATTGTTTCTTTTGTCTCCTCTTGGGGCATTGCAGAAAAAGCCGCCTTGTGGAAGGGTTGATAATCATAACTTTGATAAGAAACAGCCAAACCTGAAGCTTATCTACCCGCCCATCTCGGCGGCGCCTGGGCGCTTAGAGATAAGATTACGTCAGGAGGTGATTCACTCTTGTCTACTAACATAGTTTGGTTCTAGTGGATACGACGACACACAGGTAAAGGCCCCCGGATTCGAGATTGCCGAGGCCTGTTGAACTAACGTTGGTCTAGACCAGCAGCGGACGAGACAGATCGATACCGATAAGGAGACAATCAAACCATGCCCATGGCTCGACATGACATAGACTTTCAATAACATCCATCGCCTACATGAGGATGCATAAAATGCCAGTCGGTGCCTCACCGCGTCTCCAGGAATGAGGATAAGCTCGAGGCCTGTTAACCATCCCTTCGTCAACAAGACACCGAGACCCAATGGAAACTACAGTTATGAAGACGCCCGGAACAGTCCGGCTCATTGACCTTAAACAGTCCTCAGATGCGAAGCATTCATCTGACGTCAATGCGACAGACATCATCTTGATCCCAACACCAACAGACGATCCCGAAGATCCCCTGAACTGGAGCTTCCGTCGGAAATTACTCTCGACATCATGTGTCGTCGTGTAAGTTGCACCTATTCTTCGAAGTTGAATTTGCCATCTCATCTTTCTAACATCCACTGCCTAGATATATGGTCATGGTTGTCCTGCCGTCTACAACCGTGTATTCCGTGACGAACCCAATTTCCAAGAGCACCTCTCTTTCGATCGATAATTTAATTACAGGATTGGGAATCATGGTATTTTTTTTCCTGGCCTTGGAGAGCCCAACATAAAAGATTGGATGCTAAATGTTTCTAGTTTCTATTCGCGGGTTGGGCATGCATTCCATGGTACGCCGGATTCTTGCCTCCGATGCTTCATCTTCAGCTAGCTAACTTGGAGCAGGCAAGCCGTCGCCCTTCAGTACGGAAAGCGACCCATTTACTTGGTTTCTAGTGCTGGGCTTATTGTGAGTACACCCCGTTTCGCATATTTTATCCCCCTACTCACGAAGATTTCTTTTAGGTTGTCATGGCACTTGCACCAAGATGCAAAACTTGGGGCCCGTATCTTGCGAATAAGATTCTCCATGGTATCCTGACAGCACCAGTTGAGTCGCTTTGTGAGATTTCTATTACTGACGTTGTAAGTTCGCTACTGTGATATTCGAATCGTTGCATGGTACATCGGCGGCTAACGGAATTCAGTGGTTCGCCCACGAGCGCCCTCGATATCTAGCCTTGTATGGATTTGCCCTCGCTTTTGCTGGAAAGTTCGCTCCCACATTGGCTGGTTTCATCAACGACGGGCAAGGTTGGGAATGGACCCTGGTATGTCTCTAAAATACAACTTTATGAATATTTGGTGATCTAGGCTCATTTATAATAGTATTGGTCCGGAATCTGGGTTGGATTCGCGTTTTTGTACTGCCTCTTTCTGATGGAGGAGACAACTTATGATCGGCCAAAGAACACTTCGAGATCGACCGTCAATACCTCTGCTATCGACGCGACCGACGCCGAAGGCATCGACCCAGAGAAGAAGACCGCACAGGTTGAAGCAACGAGTCAGGATGTTGAGAATGGGCAGGTCTATTCCAAGAAGACGTACTGGCAAAAGCTCAGTGTCTGGCCACAAAGCCGTCCAAACCGACTGCTCCGTACCATGTGGGCGCCCTTGAGATTCTTCTCATATCCCATCGTGGTATATGCAGGCCTCATGTATGGCGCCAATGGTCTTGTGTGGTCCAGCATTCTCAACTCGACAGCCGGGACTCTGTACCCCAGGGTATATGGTTTCTCAACTTCTGGAATTGCCCTCGCATATCTTGGAGGCGTAGTGGGTGTCATCGTTGGGTGAGTCAGCGTTGAATCCCAGAATGAGCCTTGATTTACCTATCATGGTATACTAACTAAAGAATCAGCGCCTTGTATTGTGGCAAATTGGGCGAAGTATTGGTGATTCGCCTGGCTCGAAGAAATAATGGCATCTCCGAGCCCGAGCATATTCTCTGGACATTTATGGCTTCTTTGACCATGGTCCCCTTCTCCCTAATTCTTTGGGGTCTCGGTGGAACCTACGGAATTCACTGGTTCGGCATGGTATTCGCCCAGTTTACTCTGTCAATCTCCAACGCCATTGCCTGCCCGATGGCACTGGCATATGCAATCAGCTCTTATCCAGAGATGAGCGGCGAATTAGTCACGACTGCGGTCATCATCCGTAACACCATGAGCTTTGCAATCAATTATGCGTAAGTTGCGCCTTGCCACTACGAACTGATGAGAGAAGCTTGAACTCTGACTCGCCAATCACAGAATCACACCTTGGATCAAGGCTCAAGGATTTAGAGACACCTTCATCACCGCTGCCGTAATCGGGTTCGTCTTCAATGCTTCCATGTTTGGCATGATCCGATATGGGAAGAAGCTTCGGGAAATGAGCGCCAGCAGATACTGGAAAACGGTAGAGAAATCTGGAGGCGGCCACTAATAGTATCCAAATTCAAGAGCAAGTACGAGGTATAACGCTTCAATGGTCTTGAACAGGCCGCTAAGTAGTAATACTGAATACTCTATATATTAAAGGGTCTAACATCTCAAGGTAATGCTAAATTTAGGCAAGTATAAACTGGCTAAAATAAGCAATTATATAATTCTACTATCCATATATATTTCCTACCTATCTCTCTTTGTGTGTACCCTTTTTTCGAGACTATTTTAGGGTCTGTGTTATTATGAATCGAAGCCCGGATGAGAGCACACCACTGAGCCTTTATCGCGTAGAAGAGATTGTCACGTCATAAGCGATTCCTAAACCCTTCGGCAAGGGAAGCTACCCTAGGTAGCTTTATTCGTCGATATGTCCCGCTACTCATTTTCTAAGCCCCGATACACTCCAGGAAGCAGAAGGCGGATCACACTGACACATGAAGTATGTCAAGTGTGGGCAAGTAATGAGGCCTGGCTCCCGCGGCCTCTAGCATTCGGCATTCGCTACTCTTACCAATCGATCGGGCATCGGTCCCCTTGCCACTGGCCCGGAACTGGGCAGAGGCACGTCATCTACAAAAGAGCTCATGTCACTCCCAGTGGGGACACTCTGTAGAGTAAAAAGACTACAAGGATTGGAACCTGTTTACGTAATGTCTACGTGAGATTTTGATACTTCAATCAGACATTTTTCTTTCTTCTCCCCATTTTGGATGAGAGTATGTAGATCTAGCCTACGGTTAACCAAAAAAAACGTGTGTAAGAGGCCTTCTGCTGATAAAGATAGATTAGATTCCCCATTCCGAACTTCCCAACAGATATGAACATTGCAGAGTGTTTAGGTTATGATAATATTGAGGATAAAGGTAGTCGTCTTCAAATGTTCACTTAAGTAACGATCTTAGGCCGAGAAATCCCTTACCGTTTGAGGCAGAAAACCAGTCTTCGAGAAAGCCCCAACAAAAGACATTCATTGGAACAAAGCGGGCGAATATAGCCTCGAGTTCAAGTTTAGTAACAAAGCATAAAAGTACCAGATCTGCAATCGATCGCTTTGCCTAAGCTGCCCAAGAAGTATCAACGCGTGAGACGCCCACCCGACCGACGCAAATAGTGTATTCACCCGAAAGAATCCATCGCACATACCAGAGCTTCAAACGTTAATCATGATGCAGCGTGAGGTAAGAGAGATGCCGCTTGATCCGGAGGGATCGCCGTGATACTGCCTATGCTCAGCAACTCAGCCCGAGGTTCGGCCACACTTCCTACCGTCTTTTATCGGCACGTTCGAGGCCGGCTAGAGTTGGCGAGGCGCCTGAGTATATGCACTGTCTAACGATGAGTGGTGATAGATCTGACATTAGCAAGAATGAAGTAGCGACAGGATAGACATGAGCTCGGCGACCGAGGTGCAATCTTTCACATCAAGAAACAAACCGGCACCCAAGCATTGTGCTTGTTTACTGCACGTGGATGATTGGGCGTCGTTGATTTGTTCCCCGAATTGAGTTTTCCTTAGTGTTGCAAGCCACAACCCAAACCCTATGAGTTAGTAGATATCGTTGAAGGTCGGCGATTCAGACGCAGCCAGGATGACTAGAGCCGAGCTTCCGATGTAAAGGAAGAAAAACCGGATTCTTTATGATATAATTACCTGATAATCTACTCCAATAGAAAAAGTCGGGGTGCAGCTGATATGGCTTAACTTATTTGTTTCAACGTTCTTCTCATAAAGACTTATAGGCCTAGTAAATCCAACAACCTACAGCTCCCAGCCGGTACGCTAGTACTTCCTCGAGGCCAATAAGCTGCCTGGAGCTCAAGACTTTCGTTCTTTTGCTCTTGTGGCACAGATCTTTGAATTGGAATTAATTCCTCCGACCTTCAATCGACCGCCTTCTACAAGGGATAATGGCTGAACAAGCCCCAAAAACCACAAAGAAATCGAGTGTTTTTAGCAAGAAGGGAGGTGGCAACGCCGCCTTCCGTAACTTCAATAATGACTTCTCCCACATAACCGACTTAAACGAGCGTCGTCGCCTTGCCCTCGCCGAGATCGACAAGGCTCCATTTGGCCGGCGCCATATCCGCGCTATTGTCGTTGCTGGTGTTGGCTTTTTCACTGATTCATATGATATCTTTGTCGTCTCTACGTTAACTATCATGCTGGGTATTGTATACTATGATGGTGAACTGCCAACCAGCTCTGATACTGCCATCAAACTATCAACCTCTGCTGGCACTGTTGTTGGCCAGCTTGGATTTGGTGCTTTGGCCGATGTTGTCGGTCGTAAACGCATGTACGGCCTGGAGCTCATTATCATCATTTTCGCTACTCTCGCTCA